CATTCAAGTTGAAGTGTAAACTAACTACATAGTTACAACCGGTTAGACTGGAGCCGTTCGTTGCCTGGATGATAGATACTATTTTAGGCTTTGCCCTTTAAAAGCAAACTAGCTACATTCCTAGTTGTGAGTTGATCGTTTGAAACAAAGTTAATGTCACAGGGACTTGATCTAGCAGTAGTGTTTATTTTTATCGGAGTATTAAAAGTGGAAATTTTAAGGATGCCTAAGAATCAAAAGGAAAATGTTTTTGTTTTGTCAATGTCAATGTTTTGCGGATTAAATCAGTATTAAATTTGAATTTTGATATATAGTCCATAGGTACACAACGTACAGTACGACCAGTACTTTTTTTAAATTGTGTCGAAAGCATAAGTAGGTACACTAATACTAAGTTACTAATACATACGTGTAAGTTGCCCTATTTAAAATTTTGTAAATGGGATGAGGATTAGAATAGGCGGGATCATATACAAATAGTATGAGATGACAGCTATTCATCTGAAAATCTATTACTATATTTAATAAGAAGCGTATTGGTATATACTATAACTGCTATCTGAAGGTTCCTATAAAGTTAATGTCTTTAAAAGCTTGTAAATGAAATGAGAATTACCTAAGGAGAATCTTTAAAAACAATAAGATAAATTGAACTGACTGACATTTATTAAGGCCTATGAACTGATATAACTTGGATTTCATGGTAAACAGCTTGTTTTAAAATAAGACCTTTAATATCTGTAAGATAAAATAATAAAATAATATAGACAAATTGAAAACCTCTATCTCTTTTTGTATTTATAAAATGTAATTTATATTAGTTAGTTTTGATGTAAATTAGAATAATTTGAAATGCCAATAGTTTTTGAATTCTATTCAATAAAGTAAAAATAAATAAAAAATGAAAATTTATATTTAATATGTATAATATTTATTCATACTTATCACATTATTCCACTGACTGACTGATGATATCATTGTACATTTAGTTTTCTAAGTCTACATATCTGAAGTTTTGGTACATATATATATATTTTATAATGTAGCAAAAATCTACTACTAAAATCTTCTACTAAAACTAGTTTATAAACACGTTACTGCTTTAATTTTTACTAGCAAATACACATAGCAATAATTTTAATGGTCCACTTTAAGAAAATATATTTTGAATATATTTCTTTGTATGCGCTACAAAACATTTGAACCGGTAAGATTTTAAATGAGATCTTGTTTTATATTACCAACAGAGTATTATCTCATTTAGATGCGGATACGCTTACAAAGCGGAAGAACATAAATGTGTCCTACCTAAAAACAGTTATTCATTGTTTATGGTTTGGTTTGACTTTAAAGGTATGACAATAAAAGAGCACGCCGGTGAATCCTTCATTAAAAGAAACTCACTTTTTTAGAATGAATGTGTAATAGTAACGTATTGAAGAATGTCGATAGCCAGGACAAAAATCTCATTATATTGGTGGCACATGCGATGGATTGTAATCGAATAAACCGTTAAGTAATTAAATAGTTCCAAAGTACCAATATAATGTAATGTTCTCTTATATCGTTTAAATTATGAATCGGATTTTAATGCAGTTTTCAGCAACAGATAAAGTAATTTAAGAGGAAAGTTTATATATATAATAATACATGCGTGTTATAGTATAAAACAAGCCGAGAAATTCAAAGATTTCTAATGCATCCATGTGAACCCCGAATTGGTCGCAAGTATAAGTATAAAACAATGTCTCCAGCTGCGTTTGTCTGTACATTTGTCTTAATCTCAAAAACTTCTGAACGGAAATTAATGCAGTTTTCAACCACTAGAGTGATTTCTTAATATTTTTTACGTGTATAATTCTTTTGAAGTTTTGTATTAAATAATTGATATAGCCATGCAAATCCGGGGTGGATTGCCAGTATTTTTATAATACCTTGCTTATATTGTACATAGTTTTGAATTAAGATCTAAATCACTAAACCAATTGCATTCTGCCACAAAAATGTATTTACATCTCTTTGTAGTACGTGCTAATAAAGAAATAAAGATGCTGGATAGTTGTATAATTCTTTAAAGTTTTGTATTAAGTAATTGATATAGCCGTATAAAGCCGGCCCGGGTAGCTAGTATTTCTGTAATATCTAGCTGATATTATATACAGTATTGATTTAAGATCTAAATCTCTTGGCCCATTTGCAATCTGCTACAAAAATGTTTTTATTTGTCTCTTACGTGCTAATAAATGTTAGTTGTATTTTCAATTTGAATAAGGATGCCACAACGGTAAATATTTTGCATGCTAATTTTTTGCTCAAACGAAGCAATTCAAAAGCAGCATTAATTCGTTTTTTGACTTGCTTACATATGAAATTAAAGTGAAAAAAGTTTGACTGACAGAAACTGCTTTACAGTTAACTTTCAATATGTTGAAGCGGAAGGGGGCGTGCATCAATTAACTATTGAAAAAAACAGTTACAAGAGTTATTTAGCAACTCTAGCTCGCCTGTTTATTCTACAACGTAACTTTCTACATACACATATTCCAGAATAATTCGATGGCCTCAGTAGTCTAGCGGTTTCGAACTTAACTTAACTTGTATTCATGAGTATAATTGTTACGGGATTTTTGTATGTATTTACAAAAAAATATCTAAGTATTTGCATCAGTTGGCTAGTACCCATTATGCAAGCTCAGCTTAACTTGGGACTAGATGGCGTTGTAAGAATAGGCCATATATATAAAGGTTTGCACCGTGTGAGGAATCGAACCCGCGACCATCGGAAGATGGATATGATATATGATTATAAAGCGGTGTGCTAAACCGCTAGACCATCGAGGCCTCAAATGTATGGGTATCTACTTTAAAGTAGGGCATATACAGCATGTGTATTGACTATTATGTACATATACATTGTATAAATGTTCTCTTTATGATTATAAACACGGAAACTATTTAAATGCAATACCGTCAGTCGGTGATTGAAGTACAACATGTAGTGAATTTAAACCTCCTTTAATCAGTACGTAGTCTAAGAATACAATTTTATCTTCACAAGATCACGTTGTTTTTGATAAATTTAATGGAATATCCCACGCGTTCTACGTAAATATACTTGTGTTCCATAGGTATTCCATTAATAGGACATTCTTCCATAAATTTACCGTCATCAAGACTAATATAGTCAACGTTGTTGGAAAAATATGCTGTTATTTGTAACAACATAGCAGTTTCCTGTGACATCTTTAGTTATTATCAGATGTAGGTACTTATTTGTAAATGAAATAAATATGACCTGAGCATTTTCTGCCAGTTTCCAGCTGCAATTAGTGCAGTGAAGACCATTAGACGTTTAAAAACATTATTATACTTACGTTTTGAGTTAGCTCGGGTTATATTCCATTCTGTTTATTACCTGCATTTTATGTCACGGTATATACTATAAAATATAATGCATAAAGAATTAATAGTAGATACTTTACCTTTTAAGACAGACTAGTTAATTTTACTATATTGTGCTTACATTATAATGAACGGTTTCGTTTTAATACTACCATCAGATTCACACGAAATATACATATACAATACACAAGAATATTATTGTTTTACTCTTCTATTATGCAGGTAATAGTAATTATCTTAGACAATTTTATAACATTTTTTTTAAAAAAATAATATGATATAGTATTTTAGACACGTATAGATTGAGCTAATTAATATAAGTGCGTATTATTTGTGTTAGTAAATATCAATATAAAACATGTAATTACATAATAAAATAAAACTCATAACTATGCATATATACGGCATAGTGGTAATATAGAGCTGGACTATGGACGTTCAGACGTATATGGTATACATTTATCAGATTCCACTGACAATGCCAATTATAATATAACGTGTAAATTATACTAGTGACACAACCGGCTTCACACGGGTGCATTATAAATCTTTGCTTATATATATACAATTATTATAAAATATACAAGTAAAATACACATATAAGTCTTCCTCTTGAATGGCCCTATCTATTACTGAAAACTGCATTAAATTCCGCTGCGTAATTTAAAAAACATCTATTCAAAAGAGCAACACCCTGATGAGTCTGCGTTCCAAATGAGTGGTAGATTAAAAATATGACTAGGTATTTAAAAGTGCTTGTATTTAATTTATTCGAAAAAAAAAATTCTATTTCTATAAAACAGCATATATATAGACAGTGCTTATGATGACTTTATACTGCATAAAGATAAAAATATATAAGAAACCAAAATATACGTGTACACGTCCATCAATGTACTTTGTACCTACATTGATGTATCTTAACAGTAACTATAGTCTATATGGACAAACAATATTAGTTAATAATTAAATTAAATTATATTATATATACTTAACATCACCGAGGCACACTTTGCAAAATATTGTCTGTACGGGTACCTCACCTATTTTAGCTGCCAAGCTTGCTTTTGTGTATTCCGGTTGTAGAGTCAGATCATGCAGTGAAACTGCAGGATATAGAGATGTAACATCTTAGTACTCCATAAAGGCAGTATGATTAATATCACGGATGTTACATGACACGACAAAGTTACCTGTGATACTATTAATGTATATAGGCGACCACCATCACCACACCATCATTAAGCCTCAGTGACATGAAAATAATATTGATCTAGGCTACTACACTCTTAATAAATATAATTTTATTTTCACCTGCTAAAGTGTATAGATACGTCTAATTCTACTGTTTATTAAATTATTTAGAGTTTTATATAGTCAGTCTAATTACAGAACATGCAAACAGTACATCAACTTTATACTATGCCCCTTAAAGATATAACATTTAAAGTACATTTTCATCTACTTATCCTCTGGGTGATCTAGTGGTTTAGCACACCGATTCCGATGGTCGCGGTTTCTATTCCTCGCAATTCATACTTGATCTTGGTAATACATTAGTTATCATAATAATATAATGAAATATATTTTCATTACAGGAATACTTCCAGAAGCATTAAGAACGAAATGTGTCCGATGTACAGAGCGACAAAAGAGGACTGCTGTTAAAGTAATAAAGAGGTTGAAGTATGAGTACCCGGAGGAATGGGCCAAACTGTCCTCCCGATGGGATCCCACCGGTGACTTCACGAGATACTTCGAAGAGTTCCTCTGCAAGGAGCACTTCAATATTATACCTAATTCTGGTAAGAAGCTACTTTAAATTTATATAATTTAACTCAACTGAACACTAAACACTTGCTTTGCCACGCTGTAGTGAGTTGAGTAGATGATATCTCTTTTAGAGATACATCCTGCTTTGTTAACATTTCTAATGAAGATATTTTAGCAATGAATTCAAAGTACAATAAAGAATATAATAATATTACAGTAAGGCTCTAAGAGGTAACATTCACTTTTTTATATTAGGTATAGTGCAAACGATGAAATATATATCAGCTTAAAAATTTTAATATACAATATATAATAGGTATATATATGCCGAAAACCTGTTTGCCACCATCATACTATAAAAAAAATCAACATTTGCACTTAATTGAAATCTATATTACACTGCCGTGTTATTATCCGATATAGTAGGTACGTACTTCATAATGTTACTTTATAATTGTTAACATTTACCTACTGTTATCATGAACTAAGTAATAATATGTGCCAGTTCAATAATTCTAAGGTAGTAAAAATATCTCTAAATTAACATAGCGTATGAACTTTCATGGGTTTCTCATTCTAAAAGGTGAATAAAAAGATGAATTAAGCAAAAAAATCTCTTTTACAAACGCAAACATTTTGTTTTTATCAAATATCTTTTGAGAAAACTGATATTCAACATACGTGAACTCGAAATGACGAGTATTCTCGATCAAACTGTGACAAAGTGTTTATTTTTGGACACACCTTAAGTACCTATTCACGTTTTTGCGATTATTAATTCAAAACAAACATGGTGGGAAAAGTATGTTAAAAATAATAAGTTATTTTTGTCAACAAGAGCTTTTTATATGCGCATCTATAACAAGGATCTTGATAGTAGACAGAGATTGTTGTTTTTAAATTTACGTACTGGAAATGAATTATGTTTTATGTCATAAATGTCTATCAAGTATCATAAAAGTGTTTGTAGTAATACATTAGTATACAGCGTGGATATCAGTTTTATTTCTAATTTGTAGTATCTTCAATATTTTCTTTTTTATCAATATTATTATTCTAGCTTGTAACTATGTTATTTGGAGATAATATGAAGACGGTAACGGTACTTGAAACAGTTTGTATAACAATAATATTTAAAATAATCTTATGTTTAGATATTTGTTACAACCCACAAATAATTAATACGAAATGTTTACTTCCACAGTTTTGTAAACAAATGGACAATCATCATAATAACTGGATATCTTAAAAGAAGTACAATCAGAAAACTTTTTATGAATGTCTTAACATAAGACTTCCTCGTGCTCATCTTATCATTTATTTATTTATTTAAACTTTATTGAATCGTACAATAGACCGGTTATTAGCATTCTCTACCAGCCAACCTTAGGGAGTGCAAAGATACTCTAAGGCGGTTTAGTTAAATATATTAAATAAATTACATACACAAAATAAAATATAACATACATACATATAAAATATATTATAAACAAACTACACATATAAATAAGACGATGATGAGCCTTATTACAGTACTAAACTACTAAGATACGATTTAAAAAATATGCAGTAACTCTTTTTTTAAAAGTAGGTATATTTAGAAGGAAGTGCACGGATGTCCTCTGACAATGAGTTCCAGATACGTGAGGCTTGTAAAAGAAAAGAGTCGGTCATGAAATTACTTTTATGTAGTGGTGTAGTCAGGACGAGGGAATTTTTAGAGCGCAGACACTGAAATTTACATTTCAAGTATTCAGAGGAAGAGGTATCATTGGTACACCAACCTAGTAAATGGTAAAAAATGCGTAACGCAGGCTTGTGCACCACTACATTATCATCAATTAAAAAAACTTCAGTCTATGGAATATTATATATTGTAGTGATCACAAATAGCAGTGTTCTTTGGCCCCTTTGTTCTCTAATAAATAAGGCAAGATCTAAAAATACATTTCAAAACTTAAACATATCTCAATAGGTAGGTAACTTTTTATGTATAATATGTCTGTAAGTACTTACCTACATCCAAAGAGACATAGTTTCTTGACCTTGCAAGACTCCTTGAACGTTCTTAATGATACTTTTGACTCTTAAATTATTCAAATAGTTTTTATCAATTAGCCTTTCTAATGGCTAACAATTTACCGTTTCGTTGTGAATTTAGTTCACAGTAATTCATCATGTCATATGTTAATATTACCATATGGTAATTTACCTCGATAGGAAAATTATGAAAGAAAGGAAACGTATTTTTTCTTTGGATTGTATGAACTCAAAGAAATAATTAAACGAAAAGAAAATCTTTCTTTCTTTCACTGCAACAAAGTAGTATAGAGGATGAAATAGGCTATATTTAAAACTGAGAGATCTCTAATAATAATGAGGAACTAATAATAAGGAAGCCTGACCAGTTAGTATTCTAATATGTGTAAGTATATGTGTGCACTACTCTGTCAATCGTCTCAATGTACTGGCTCAGCTTGATAATGACATATATAAGAAAATGCATTTTTTGAGTTCTTTATTCGATACCTTCGATATCTTAATCACTGATTTTAATGATTGCCTTTTTTCCTGTGTCGGTCTAATTTCGTCATAATTGAAGTTCTTTTGTTTTATGTTATTTTCTAACAAATAGTCGTCCAGAAATATAAATTGACATAAAGTTTTTTGAGCCAGGCAGATTTGAACTGATGGTTACCAGGGGATATACCTATACCGATAACCAAGTACCTAACCTAATAACCAACTAAAATAAATACTTATAAATGTACAAGTATCATACCCTTAAATTTATTTAAATAACACTTATTAAATCTTGTTGATCCAATAAATAGAGTTATTATTAGTGTCCTATATTGATACATAAACAGTATCACGGTGTCCGCTGTCCCCTGTACCCCTCACGTGTTACAGTACCGGGGAAATTAAATATCATCCCTTCCTACTTTGTAAATTTACTGTCACTTCTGTTGTAACTGGCTAATCGGAAATTTGTATTTAAATTTATAGTTCTTTTATCATACATTTTGTTTATACCTACTAAAACACTGTCTTGTCAATAGTTTCCTAATATATATCACCTTATACCAAGTCTTTTTCTATAGTTTTCCTTTTACTTATACACATATAAAACAAAACTACAACAATTTCTTACCCTTTCAACGGAAACACATAACTGAAATAATTTGTACTCATGTAGACGATTTAGTATAAGCTTACCTTGACTATTTAGTGCCAAATAAAATTTATTTATTGTTACTGCATTTCTCAGGGAATGAAATACCAGCATCATCGTCAATACCGACGTTACCTCCGAGGGTTCCGGCGCCAGAATCGCCACCGCTGTCTGTACTGCCAGCTATAGGCAGCATTCCACCACAAGAAACGACCACTTTCGCTCCACCGCGTCCACTTATTTTGAATAGGTAAGTATAATGAAAATACGGCGTGACACTCTACAGTCATAGTTACTATTGATTATAAGAAGCTTAATGAGATTGTAGATCAGGATATGAATACAATTGAGAGCGTCGTGATTTAGCACTTTACAACTTGCACTACCGAAACTGTACTTATAGAGGGGAAGGGAATTGTTAGTAATGTGGATTAATGACCACATTGCGAGCAATGAACCATGTCAGGTTGACCTCCATGCGGTTCCCCTGGTAACCATCAGTTCAAATCTGCCTGGCTCTAAAAAACTTTGTGTCAATTTATATTTCTGGCTGACTCTCGCACGATATATATGGCGCTGTGTGAGTTATACAGGGATATTATTATTATTTTTCTCTGTCTTATCTCGCCATTCTACCGAAACATCTTACAATCGAATATTTAAATATACCTACCTACGCAGTCAAATGTGCGCATGCCTAGAACATGATCAACATCGAACAAAGGCAAAAATATAAAATTAAAAAAAAGCATTAAAATGAGTATGGCATTACTTCTTAAGTTAGATTTAGTTTAATAGCTCAAACTTCACCCCCCTAAGTAGGCGTGGATGCCCTGTGTTGTTTGCTATAGTAAATAGCCATGTAATACTTTTAAAAATAAAATTATAAAATACAAATTTGGAACGTCACGCATGGAACATCGATGTTGTTTTGTTTAACTTTATATACATTTTTTCACTTCTTCTCGAACATTCCGTGGCGTCACTATTTAATTCAGTATACAATATATTCTAACCATTTTTTTTATTTCAATATTATAACTTAGCAATATTCCTCCAGCAAACAAGTGTTAGTAAGTCAAATTTACAATACATTAAAAAACTTACGAAATTATTCTTTCTGTCTTTCTCTAGCCTCTTCCCATTTCATTTGAAATGGGTTCTCCTGTCATCCTTCGCTAGTTACAAAATCAAAATAAAGCTGAATTAATACGATACAAAACATGGTAATAATGTTGTATATCCAACAACAGAGCAAAAATATTGTTTCAACTATAAATGGCGCTGGTTAATTTATGTATGGTATATGACATCAGAATCAAACATTCCCTGCATAGCATATTGTGCTAGTCGTTTGGATATTGCATTATAATTTATTGTAATGTATTTACATCTTTACTGCTTTAAGATACGATCTCTTTTATAATCGCTACCGTTGTTCACGCTAGCATTGAGTTTATTATAATTAGTACGTTAAAGATGAAGGGGAAAATATCAAATAATAATTATCACACAATACGTGGAAACATATTGTTAGTCTTCATGAGAGACTGCTCAGCTATGATGTTTTCAACTTAAAAAATGATTCTCAGTTTCGTCAATTGGAATTGTTGTGTATTTTTAAGATTATATATATTTGAGTAAACTAAATGTTATTACTGGTTTTTAAAGTCTTATTTTTTAGCAACAGTATTAGAATAATTTTTAATATTTACGCTAACGACTATATTTTTAATTTTTTTTCATACAAAAATAATTATATTGTAAAGTTCTTGGATGTCCTGGAAATATTACACGGCGCCATAACTAATAAGGGATTGTACTATGCATACATTCTGGTCACGGAACAGAGTTGTCGATTATGTAGCTCTAGTCAGGTAAGTAATGTAATGACACGTAGAAAAACACCCATTACAAGTAAATCATAGTAAAAAAAATGTTGTATTGTGTGGGAATCGAAGCCGCGCCCATCGAAAGATAATGAATGTGTTTACCTAGCTGTTACATCAGTGAAGTTGTCAAATATATACGATTTTATTCCCAAAAGTGAAACCATTAAATAGAACCTTTTGCGTTGATTAAACTTTCAAATTCAAATTGTGTCAATCATTGGTAGTCTAGTATATTCTATATACTCTATGATTGGTACCAAAAATATGCTATGTGACAGTCTAAATTACAATCGATTTTAGTACTACGCTACGCTATAAGTAGAGTGAGTCCAATAATCGATTTGCGTGGAAACAATTATTGTAATCGATGTTTCGTCCCCACATACCACGGTTCACGAACTTTTCAACCTGTTCCTAAGTAGTGTGACTACTAATTGCAACCACTATTTCGTGGTTAGTAACTAGATTAGGTACTTGCACTGGTTACATTAATGGGCATACCGTAGCATAATGCTTTAAAATTGTCTGTGACCTTGTAGGTCACAATTATACCTCAAGTAATATATTTTTTCTCTTTCATTTCTTTTATATAAATGTACAAATAAATGTTTTACAATAGACGTTGAGTGCCGAAGATTTTTACATAACTACATAGTGAGCCCAATGGACTAAAATATAATATGTATATTCTTATAGTTATTAAATAAATAACTCTGACTAATAAAAAACAGACATATTAATGAAGACAAATCATTACTAATATTATAAATGCGAAATAGGGCCAGTCTGTTGGTTTTTTACTGTTTCACTACTAAACAGCTGAACGGATCTTATTGAAACTTGACGTAATGACAGTGTCACAAGTATGGACAAAGGCTATCTATTATCATAACAAACATGGATAATTGCTAGCGTCAAAAACAATGTTATATATATATATATATAGAACTTTATATATAACAGAATATATCGTATATTTGATATTACAGGAGAAAATTGTTATTGGCACATTATTTTTATGGTGTCAAATAATTAGGTATACAAGTTTATTCAATTGATTAAATATTAATTTTAAATTGTATAAAAAATGTTATTTTAATTAATTAACGTTACAATGTAACACAGTCTGAATAGACTGGACATAATATTTAATATTGTTAATACCTATAATCACTGTATTCTGCAAATAAATTATTTGATTTGATTTGATATGCGGACAGTATATATTTTATTGATAGGGCTTCAATGTTACCAAAAATATTTTGACGTATCCAGAACTAGATTACGACCTGAGCCGATTGTTCGTTCCTCTTTTAATTTTTTTTAACATATACTTTATATTTGCAATAGAAACTGATTTCATTCATCGTCTTGTAAAGAATTAATATCATCTTACAATTAGGTAGATAGATACCTACGCACCTATCTACTTGTAAGCTGAGATAATGGCTACCGTAAGTCGATATGAATGCTTGACGTAACACAGAGGATAATGCAGCCGAGTAACTATACTAATTATTTTCATCTTAATAATGTCATTGTTCTCAGGACTAATAAAAAAAATTCTCAAGGAAAAGTAAAAAATGCATACAAGTAACATACCTCATTATCGTTTTAAATCCTGTAAGTTATTAGTAGAGACGTCAATCAGTAGATTAGTAACTACTTGGATAATTGTTGCAATGAGAAATCATTAAATCTCACTATACAACGCATTGTCAGTGATGAAAAGTTATTACAATTTATCATGTATGTATCTATTAAGACACGGAGGTATCAGTAACATCAAATATATATATTATAACATGTATATATCGGTCTTATTATTAGAACATAACAACAAATATTCGCTGTACACCCGACTTCGTCTGCGTGGAATGTAACTTTATTTTTCTAAAATAAAATTAGCCTAAGTAGTAACTTAAGCAGTAGCTTATTACATCAGCTAAGGTAGCTGCCAATAAAAGTCCCATCAAAATCGGTCCAGCCATTTCAGAAATTAACCGGAACAAACAGACAGACAGACAAAAATAAAAATAAAATTGGTATTTATATTTATATATACATGTAGTAAAAAACGGTTATTGAAATATTATAAACAGACACTCCAATTTTATTTATATATATATAGAATAGATTATGTGGATAGATAGATAGATAATTATTTTATTTGCATCCTACTTATGTTCAGTGTATTTAGCCTGCATACAGGCATGCAAATTTTAATATACTTATTCATATCGTTCTAATATTGTAACAATAATAATATTAAAATAACCTATATTATACATATATTCATAATTTAAGAGTCGCGCTCTTATCCGTGGAGCTTTTGGCGCTTTCCACGATCTCTTTAGTTGTTAATACGACACGACTCCAACTATTTCCTTAATCTGCTTGATATAGCTGTGTTGTTGATAGTCTTTCATTAGAATTAATGGCACAGATGACTATTGATACTCACTCTAAACTGTTTATTTTAATATGCACGGGTGTTACTTCAATGCTGTGCATGGTTTTATATTACCTCATAACAAATTATATTTTCGTATTCCTATAAGCTACGTAATATCTAGTTGTAAAAATGGGAAATGCTCTATCAATGTCTTTTATTTATTTATATTAATTACTATGTAACGATTTCGTACCCAAATAACTTAGTTGTTTTTAAGTCGGCTAGCATAAATGTATAGCTTAATTTTAGTGAAACTTATCACAACACATAAGTGAAACCCGCAATTAAGTCGATTAAGTCGTTTCTGTGATTATCGCGTACAAACGTTTAAACAAACCGAAAACTACTAGCGATAATTGTTTTAGGTTCTATTAATAAAGTCCCAAAATTATATTTTTTCAAATATCTCTTTTATATGCAGGTAGCGATTTGTTACAATTTATTATATATTTATTTATGAAATAAAATAAAATAGAAAAAAACTTCTTTATTGTTTCTCAGATTAATAAATCTAAATATATATAACTCAAAGGTGACTGACATCAACGCACAGCCCAAACCACTGGACGGATCGGGCTAAAATTTAACATGCAGATATATGTTATGACGTAGGCATCCGCTACAAAAGGACTTTGATTAATTCTACCCCCAAGGGGATAAAATAGGGGATGAAAGTTTATATGAAACTTCGTCAATTTTAAACCGATCGGGCTGAGACTTTGCTTGCATAAAGCTACTATGGCGTAGCCATTCCCTAAGAAAAGATTTTGATGAATTCCACCCTTAAGAGGATAAATTTACGCGAGCGAAGCCGTAAGCAAAAGCCAGTGCTGAATATATATATTAATTTATGTAATTGTTCTTTACTTTCTGTGAGAAATTATATATGTTTATATATATATATATAAATGCACTCTGCATTTCCGCAGCAGTGTATGTATGTGTTCATTATTATAGCAAACCCTTAATGAACATAAACTTTCATAAATATACGAAAGCAAATGTTCATAAATTACAATTCTCATAAATAAGGAATTTCTAATAAAAAATAGGTGTTCTATATCTCGATTACTCTTGCTTTACAGATTTGGAGACGACGGTGAACTAATGGTGGGCAGTCCGTCCTCAGCGGCAGGTACCACACGACCGACTACACCCCCGCCCTACATGAGACCCATATCACCGAATACAATGCGGCCTGTGAATCAGCCTAGGTAACTATCATAATAATTTATAATACTCTTTACTGGGTACAGATAATAAATAAAGAACAGAAACTGTATGTTAAAAAAGTGCATTCTAAAAGAAAATCTTATTGCTCTTTCTGTACCTAGTAGAAAGTTTCTTTTTAATGGAATCGTGCACCCGCCTGCGCTAACGGTGTACGCTGGTGGAACATCAGTGGAGGATAAGATGTTAATGAGGCCAGGTTAATAAGCCCATGGCATTAATAAGCCAATTTATCATAACCGCTTGACACAACCTGAAAAATCAAGATTATTCGGCCATCATAATGTCATGTTTATCCAGGTATATAGCAAAATATATAGGGAATATAATATACAGGGAGACAACTTTTAAATAATTAATCCAATCGAAATCCAAAATGGAATTCATTTATGAGTATAAATATATTATCACTATATAGCTTTATTAGTTTGCTTGATAAATAAATAAAGGGGACTCAATTAAATGATTTACATACATGGCTACATACATTTCGTAATAATATGTATAAGTTACTTTACCTATAAACCTCGAATCAAATGCTATCAGAATTAAGGAGGTAATAAATAATTTAATACTATGCCAGTGCTTATTTTATATGTGAAAACTTAATAGATGCCTAGTTAATACTCACACGCATTGCATAAGTTCAAAGTTCACGTCCAGTTTTGCAAATTAATAACAATTATTAAATTTTGTAATTTACATATTACATATTGGTGTAGTACGTTATTCGTGATGTCTCGCTATTGAATAATGATTATAATATTTTATTTAATGTCTGTTCAACACTATTATTATGTAGGTATGTAGGTTCAGTTTAAAAGTTTCAACGAAGTTATATAAAAGAACAAATTTATTATTTAAAAAAAAATAAACTCGTTTAGTCGCTTGTCCATACAAAAAATTAAGTAGGAAAGTTTATTTGTCTCTCTGTTTGTTAGATTTGTAGACTAACCGGCTGGACGACTCTTTATGAAATTAATGTCACGCCAACGGAAATACGTTGTCTTTTATTTAAGAAAAAAAAACTATTAAAATATTAGTAACAACAGCTAATACATATTGTTACTAATATTATAAATACGAAATTATGTCTGTCTGCCTTCTCTCCGTTTCTTGCCTTTTCTCGCCGATGGAAGGCAATATAATTGATGATTAAACGAACTTACCTGAAGTGAAGTTCTATCACAATTATGGCTGCGCTTCGTCCGAAGAGATTAAGATAACTATGTAGTAACGCGCATGGTGCTGCCATCTAACCACTAAATTTGAAAACCTAAATAAAGGGTAGGAAAATTTAAAAAAATAAAAAATATTATGAGGTAGATGTTGAATTACCGTCTCTCTACTGCCGGTCCAGTCATTTAGTTTAAAGTCCACGTAGGGTGTAAAAGAATCACACGTTACAGATAATTCAGGGGGTAAAAAAGGGTTTGGGAGGGTCTTAATCTCTTCGGACGAAGCGCAGCCATAATTGTGATAGAACTTCACTTCAGGTAAGTTCGTTTAATCATCAATTATACCAGCGCTTCGTCCTCGAGATTAAGATAACTATGTAGACTTTGAAAGCTCTGTAACGTGTACAGCAGTGCATAACTAGATTCATATAAAATTTAAAAACATGAAATAAAATAAATTTAGTTCAAATACTAAATATAAAAACAAATCCATTACTAATATGGCATAATCTTTATTATATAAATATTCAGTAATAAATTTACCATGATAATAATTAAGTTAAAGGTAATACATTAATAGTACTTATTTTTAAATCACTAACAAATTTCAGTGATTTACAATATAAATGTTTATTATAAAAAAAAATCTATTTATTAAAAAAAATATTTTTGACACTATATAAACGTAAAGGTAAATTAATTGATAAATCATAGAGAACTAATTGACTTAATTGTCACATCCATTAAGAATTGCCCTAGCAAAATCTTCGTCATGATTATTTGACACTGGTCTATTGTAAAACTTTCCAAAGACCGATGACTCCAGCCCGCTGTTTTCCTAATTAAATCTATTGATATTCCGGATCTAAATGCAGCTGATGTTGAGGCATGCCTGGTGGAGTGGGCGGAAAATAAACTAGTGTCAATACCACTGTCAAAAAGTGTTTCCTTGATCCATTTACTAATGGTCTGAGATCCTACCGCCCTGTGTGGTTTTTTATAACTCAAGAATAATCGAGATTCATTCATTCTTAGGGGTTCTGTTCTTTCAATGTAAGCTTTTAATGTTTCAGCTGGGCATATTTGTGGACAATCGTTATAAAAAGGCAAATGTAAACAAGGTTGAGATACTCCTATTTTTGATGTTTTGATTAAATCGGTTATATTAATCAAAATATGATTGGACAATATTTTTATATTATTTATTTCAATTTTTGTGAGCGTTTGCATTCTACTTCCTGTAGTTAGAGAAATCAACACTACAGTTTTCTTTGTCAATTTCTCTAAATTTAACTCATTACTAGATAAATTATTAGAAAAGTATTCCAAAACTACTGAAGGATCCCACGTAAAATTATATTTCGGCATTGTAGGTCTCATTCTATAAAAACCTTTAAACAGACGTTTAATCATATCATCGGAGCCTAAATCAGAACCTAATATTAAAGATAATGCAGACCGATAAGAATTTAATGTACCATATTGTAAACCCTGTTCAAAGTATTTTGTCAGAAAGGACAAAACGCATGGCACTGATTTTTCATATGGATCTAAATTATTTGCAGAACAAAAGAAAACCATCGCTTGTAGGCGATATCATATTGCTTCTTTGAATTATCAGATAAAGAGGCACCCATCACTTCGGTAGATGTAGGGGGAACGCCGCGCTTCAATAGTGCCGTCCGGATAACTTGCCAGCAACCAGGGTAAATCTGGGCAGATGGCGATTGCTGTGGGTAATTGAAATAATAGGTTCATCTTCAGGTTGAAAAGTTAATATATCTGATACTAGTAAACTTTCAAAAGTGGATACCAAGGTTGTGTTGTCCATAGGGGTACAACCACAATACCTTGAGCGTTATCATAATATCTTTCTTAACGTTTTTAATATTACCGCACATGGAGGAAAGGCATAAAAGTTTAACTCCTGCCAATCTAAAGTATTAATGGCATATGCGTCTGGATCTTTATTCCACGACACGTAAGCTGTACACTTTTTATTGAGACGTGTAGCAAACAAGTCTATAGCAGGAATGCCAAAAGTGCTTGTTATCCGTTTGAAAGTCTTATTGCTTAGTTCCCATTCCATGTCGGGGTGATTCCGTCTAGATTCTGCGTCGGCGATATCATTATCTTTGGAACTGACATATGAAGCAAAAATATATAATTTTCTTACTTCACACCATTCCCACATATCCTTAGTTATCCTATTTAAATGAGGGAACCTAACACCCCCATCCTATTTATATAGCTTATGGCTGTCGTATTGTCAATTCGTAATAGAACTTGACAATTAAATAAATGTTTTGCAAATATTTTTAAACCGAATAACGCAGCTAGTAACTCCAATTGATTTATATGGTACTCTTTTTCTGTATCGCTCCATTGACCATTGGCGGTCTCCCCGCCGCACGTTGCCCCCCACCCTGTTTTGCTCGCGTCTGAGAATATTTCTATTTTGTAATTGTCGTTCCTTATCGGACAGACAGAATTTCCAATTGATGTTAACCACCAAGATAAATCACTATTTATAGCTTCCGGTATATTCATATAAGTATCATAATTATCAGATTTTAACAAGGCAAGATATTTGCACCTTTCAAGTTGTTTCGTGTAACACCAACCATATTGAACAGCAGGGCAACATGATGTGAGGAGACCCACCAAGCGAGCAAAATATCTAATTTTACATCTGGATAATGTTTGGAATTTTAAAATCTCGTTCTTTACATGAAGTCGCTTTTTACTTGTAAGACTTATATGGAACCTCTTAGTATCGATCACGAACCCTAAGTATTCACAACAAGTTGTAGGGTTGTGAGAACCTTTATCATAATTTATTATGAAACCTAATGATTCTAAAACTAAAATCGTTTTACGAACATTCTCTAAACATTCTTCATATGAATCAGCTATACAACATATGTCATCTAAATATATTGTTGATTTAAAGCCAAGAGCCCTTAATAATGCTATTACAGGTTTCAATAATTTAGTAAATACATACGGAGCTGTATTTAACCCAAATGGAAGAACATTAAATTCATAAAGTTCACTATTGATATTATTTGAATCACTCTGTAATGTGCGAGTGGTAGGATATTGAAATCTTAGGAATTTTTTATAATTTGGATGAATTGGAATTAAAAAATAGGCATCTTTTATATCAACGGTAGCCAGAAAACAGTTTCTGGTGACAAGCTTAATAGTAGATCGAAAATCTTCAATTTTAAAGTGTTGTGTTCTAATATGTTTATTGAGTGATTTTAAGTTTAGAATAAATCTCTTTCTACCATCAGGCTTTGGAATTAAAAAGGTACTAGAAATATATTGATCGGGTGTTGGCTGACACGGCGAAATAGCACCTTTATTTAAAAGATCATTGATTGTCTCGATACGAATTTTCATATCGGATAAAGTCAACGATGGCATCAAAGACACATTTGTTTGACGTATAGGTTCATAAAAAGGTATTTTGTAACCTCTGACCCATGATAAAAGCGTACGATCTTGTGTAACAAGACGCCATTTATTATAAAAAAAATATAATCTACCAGACGGACTAACCGAATTTACTTGTGGGTGTGTGTGTGATTCCGCGAGCGCTGCGTATACGCGCGCTGCGGCGGCGCGGGCGGCGGTGGGGGCCGGCGGCTCGGCGCGCGGGTCACCCGCGCGCTGGCAGGCGGCTGGCGCCTCCCCGCTGGACCCGTCTGCCTGATCGACGAGACCGGAGGCTTCGAGTTTAAATTATGTTGTTGTTGAGGTCTCTTTTGTTGATATGTACTGGTAGACGGTGCAGAATGTTTCATTTCTGTACCAGATCTTTTTATAGCCTTAGCCGATTTTAATATATCAGGTAAGTTATCTCCAAAGAGGTTATTTTCTATTGGTGTGTTATATAGGTGGGTTTTTATATCTTTGCGGATTGATGAACACACGAAGCTGCGCCTATTCATTGACTCAGTATATTGTAGGTCACAAGCTAAACGTCCTGCTTCATTCAATTGTTGAATTAGTTTTAAGTCAGTGTCTTTCTGAGATAACAGAAGTGTCAATGACTGTCCAATAGAGGAAATAATGGCTGCTATTTGTTTTTGTTTATTTTCAATTGCCTTATCTTTTTTTATTAAAATATCTGTTAATGCTGCTTTAACCTCAGGATTTAAAACAGGCGCATCAAAACGGCGGCAATTATCAGGGATAAGTTGTTTATTAAGTAAATCTTTTTTGATCTCTTTTTGCATTCCTTTTAGTGTTATATTCTCCCACCTAAGTGCTATGTCTTTTTGTATATTGTTACCATATACCTTTTCTGTCATTGGGGCTTCACCCAAAATATTTAAAATATCTACAGCCAGGGATTCAATAGGTACATCAGTACTGAGCAGGTCTGCTGCCGTCGCGGTACATTCCACTGATGTTGTTTCCTCTAATGAGGGTTCGGTCGAGATCAGAAGAGGATTTGGTATAGGATCCCCAATGCGTTCCTCAACATTGATCTCATTGGCTGACAGGACTTCGTTAGCATACTCGTCTGTAATAGACGATAACATTGAATTAAACAAGAGGGTATCACGAAGGTAACAGTCACTATAAACTGTACACAATCGAAACCCTTACGAGGTTGTCGGTAACATTCCCACAAAATGTACACACCTCGATTGGCACTTGTAGGTAATAACCCCAAGAGTTATACACAGTGCATTAAATATATATAGGTTTTTACTCGTAGATAAATAGGTTATCTACGAGTAAAAACCCGCACATTTTCTAATGTCGATAAATTCATAATTTCATTTCGAGTTTATAACAAAAAGCGGCGAAGTATATTTATCCGAGTATAAGCTTGAATAATTCTAGGTAACTAAAAAAAGAATAGTTAAAAAACTTACCCACAATTACCGACGGTGACGATGTAATCGAACTATCCTGTGAATATGAATGTAATTCTTTCTTTTTTGCTTTCCTTCTAAGTTTGCGTTCAATTTTCCTTACTTTTTTCCGAATATATCTATCTAAGTCGTCTTCTTTATGTCTTTTAGGCATGTTTAAAATAAAATAGGTATTTTTCACAATTAACTATGAGAAACGTGGTTGATGACCCGAGCACTAAAACGCTAATGACTGGACCGGCAGTAGGGAGACGGTAATTCAACATCTACCTCATAATATTTTTTATTTTTTTTAATTTTCCTACCCTTTATTTAGGTTTTCAAATTTAGTGGTTAGATGGCAGCACCATGCGCGTTACTACATAGTTATCTTAATCTCGAGGACGAAGCGCTGGTATAATGACTGTATTTCGTTAGTTGATTCCAGAGTTTTTCTTCTTATACTTCAAATATATATACGACTCGACGGACTTTAATAAAATGCGTGAAGATAGATCACGAGGATAAAACTATAGACCATCATTTCTCTAAAGAAAAGCAGGCGGAGGTGCTATTAACAGCAGTACTTTATAAACTTTTCTGTAGAATTATTTTGTTTTCAGACCAACAATAGTGTCGTGGACAGCAGCTGCATCCGATGCCATACCCACGCGGTTTCCACTACGCCCATCCAAGGACATGGGCCCGCAGTATACCACGGCCATCACGCTCATCGACCAAATTGGTTACAAGATTATCAGGACAACAGAACTTGTGAAGGATATCCTCAAGAATACCGTACGGGCTGTGGTCGGTCGGTAGAAAGATTGAGACAACGGCGTTAATGTTATTTCTGTTATAAATACCTAGCTGTCTTCGCTAAGATCGTATTATCGCATACCATTTTGTTAGGAATTACATAACAAAAGTTATTCCTACCAAATGTAATTTATTTGGTAAAATTTTATTTCGGCAACGATTATTTTTATTATAAAATTTGGTGGTTCACATTCACAGTTTACGAAGTTTCAGTCATCATCCTGTTAAATTGTGAAAAAAGAAACAAATAGAAGAAAGATTCTGTAGTTTTTTTAAATAAATAACAAACTTTTTAGATATTATAACACTTTTGTGGTTTTTACCCCGTGGTATTACCACCTTAAATTCTATACTTAGATTTTTTCAATTATTCAGTGTAAAAATAATAATGTTATCTGCTTTACTTTGAATTACATTGAATATATTAGATAGGACGGGATGATGGTTTCATATACACAGAAATAATCATGATGCCTTTGGCCTTGCATAATATAGTGGTTATTCATAATGTATTCTAAAAAAGCTGCTATTGCAGTTATAAAAAGAGATTTGTTGGCAGTACCACCGAGCTGTATGGGTTTTTGTACGAATTTATGTATGTTGACATTATTTAATTATAAACTAATATAGTAAGTTTATAAATGAGGATATGACTCAACTAGTTGTTTGGATATTCGAAGTAAATTTTATTTAATATAATGTAATATAGTACCTCTGACACGAGAGGTATAAAACTCTTTAGTTAATGACAAAGAATTAGAGCGATGTTTGCCATGAGTGGTAATAGAATAAGTGTGCCTACTAGTGCTTAGTGTCTTCTGTGAGCATTTTCCGTGGAGAAACCGGCAAACTACTACCGCTACTTGTACTTAAAAAAATATTGACTTAATGAAATTAAATAGAATAGAAGCACATTCTTTATTTAGGTTGACTTTGTGCCTAGATGGTAGGTTGTAGCTATAGGTACTTTTATATACTTAATATTGCTTACTCATAACCTGCCGTCTAAATATTATTAATTATTTAATTATGTCGACAATAAATAATGTTTACGTAAAATTATTTATGTGTAAGTGAGATAGATGAGTTAAAACTTAATTTAGAATTTAAATACGAGTCAAATGACATAAATCATCATTAGAATTAATTTTCTTATTTTTAAGTGTTAAATTATTTTTTTAAAACATGACGTAAATGTACTTATAATATAATTATTGAATTGAACCCGTGTAACCTTGCTCAGAAGTTGTTTAGAAGCAACAACAACATAGATAATAAAACATAGTATAAATTAGAGCCATGGAACAATAAACTTTACATCTTATTAATTTCTAAATTGTTTTATTCATATTTGTAATTAAACTTAAGGGGAAATTTTGGTAAAGTAGATAACGATTTCAGTACCACTGTAGTTGTAATCTTTTATGTATATTTTTCATGAAAGTTATTTATATAGTTCGAAGAAGGTAAAAGCAGTTTAATAAAGTTATTAATCGGAGACAATTAAGAATACCGTACTGGTAAGTATCTACGAGTATTATTTATTTGCACATTTTTAAGCGCCTGACAGTAAACATTAAGCAATTTTTACCGTCGCCGTAACATATAAAATGACTCAGATTATAAAAGTCAAGTCAGACACCGGTGAAGCTGTAAAGATCAGCTGCGGTCAACAGCATTAGAGTAGTCCGAAAAAAGAAAAACAATTTGTATGTTCTATACAATGATTAAAATATAAACTTAAAACTTAGGTGAGGAGTGGTGTTTTTTTATATTTTTAATAGTATGGTGCATTCACTTGCGTCAACGGTATACGATGACGAGTGAAACATGATAGAGTGAGGATAAAGTTAGTAGAGTTAGCTCATCGTGATAAAATTACTAGGAATATGTCATGATGGTTTTCAGAGGGAACGACGTGGAGGTCCACCTGACATGGTACATTACTAGCAGTGTGGTTCACAGTCCACATTACTAACAATCCCTTTCCATCCTCATTCATACAGGCGACGGTTACCACTTACCATGAGATGGGCCCTCAGAATGTTTGCCATTCCATTGATATAAAAAAATAAGCGCGAAGTTATTCAGGAGACACTGTGGAGACCTGTGCAGACTGTGGGGGAATGTATTAAGGAACAATGGGTAACTAATCCTCTTTACTAACACTCCTGTCCCCCTACCCCAGCGCCCACATTTTCGACCCGCTGTATTGTATAGGTATAGATATTGTTCAATGCGGCTGAAGTTGCAGGACCGCTACTGTTGATCTACAATCTACAATAATATCTACATTGTATGACAGTATGACATCGACAAACCACTTTCCAATCGTTATGAGAAAGTGAAAGTACCCCGTTGTATTATTTATTTGTAACAAACCTGTCTCAAGATATCATTTGAAAATATTCCGTAATCTAGTTAATGTAACCGTTATTATATTATAGGATCATATATCTTTTGAAAAATGTATGTTTTTTTCTCAGTGAAGTCGGTATTTGTATGTGTGTAAAGTCGGTATAAAAACATAGACAGTGAATTGTTTTCTTACTAATTGCTGTTTCGGTTTTCAAATGACAACATAGTTTCATTTCAAACAAGAATTAAATAAAAGAGATTTCACGTTCAAAATTAAGTCCACTCGTGACCACGGTTAAAGCAACGAAGTCGAAACGTTCAGAGAGATGAAGAAAGTTGAAGATATCGTATTTACCATAAAATTATTCGTCTTGAGATCCGATTATCTAAGTTAATAATGTTTATTAAGATTAAAAATATGTACCTACATAATAAAGCCGATTTTTCCCTCAAGCAACAAATTACAGGTATAATAATATCTACGCAAGCAAACTGAAGAGGAAAATCTAGCAACAAATAAACCAACGTAACGTGTGTAGGTATTGATGTTTAACAAACCGGTACGTCACTAATTCCTTAGTTGTTTACTTGGAAATATAAATTCAATGACTAAATTCACACAGGGAAAATATAATTAAGTTAATAGCAAACTGACTGCTAAAAGTCTCCATTACAAAAAATCCTACCCTTCCAGTTCCCAAAGTATAGTATTAAGTAGATATAATTTTCCATATTGATTTTCATTGACAAATAGGTTAACTGGGAAAACCAAACATAAATACTATTTCTAATATTAAATATATTATAAAACAATGCATTGTAATTGCATGTCATTTCTCTTGCATTTACAATTATTTATTACTGTAAAGATGAATTCTACATAAAAATAATATATGCAAATTATAAATGTATAATATAATACATAATGCATTAATTATATTTTTTTATTATTATCAATACATATAATTTCTTTACAAGTCTATTATCTATTAATTATTATTGTGCCTCATATCAAAAACATATCAGTAGTGAACTTTTAACACAATAAAACCAGATAATATTTCAACAACATTTATTAAGCTTTAAATATAATTAAATTACATTCACTGTGTATACTAATAGCATTTGACACTTAAAATTATGAGACTTGTTCCCTTATTGTCTGATAACATTATATTTAATATATTATACATTAAAAGCATATAAGTGGCAGATAAAATGCCTTATGTAAATAGACATCGCTTAACTTTAACAAAATCACATTCATTTTGTAAATATTCAATATTACAACCACAATAAAATGCCTACAACATATATATATATATGGAAACTGACAATCATATTGCCTTTAAATATTTCCTAAAATTCATCCTTTATTAGTGGCCAGTGGTACTGAATAATTTAAGTTACTGTATGATCAGCTCGGTTACATTGTTCTTGGTGACAAGTGTTACTAAGCTACCACTTGGGGGCCTCTCTTCTCCTTTTATCCATTTATCAAACAGTTGAGCGACATAAGGAAGTGGGGTCCATGAACTGAAATCAGCCTTTGGCATCCATTTTCTATTCATTTCTGTGTCCAATGTGACTGGCAATATTGCTACGGCCAATGAATTGTCTGGAAGACCAGAATCCTTAGCTCCAAGTGACTTTGTAAGCTGGTGGACTGCTCCTTTGGCAAGTCCATAGCCAATCATACCTGGTGTTGCTTCAAGGGCAGCTTTTGCTCCAGTCAAGGCGAGAAGACCACCAGGGGTGAGATATTTAGCTGCCAGTGTCGCCGCAATCGTCGAGGACCATACTGATTGGCGCCACATCAAATCTGCTTGCTTGCTTAATTCCTTGGTAGCATTCCCGCCAGCCCAACCACCAGCCACACAGATCACAGCATTCACTTTCTGACCTTGAAGTGCCGTTGCGAGTTCATTCACGACATGCTCTTCTTGCTGGACCCAAGAACTCTCTTTAGGCACAGTGATATTAACATCTGCACTATCATTGGGATTCATATCAATATTGGCTACCCACCAGTTAGCAGATTTAAAGTGGTTGACGCAAGCTGCGCCGAGGGCACCGCGACCTCCATAGACTACAATTCGTCCACTAGCCATGGTGCGTATCAACACTGTCGCGGTGTAAAACTAACTAAAGTCGAGTTGAATGAATTCCGCCAGTAACAGAAAATGCCGAACGGGGGCAATCGAACGCGGCGAACTCACTATCTTGTGCAGCGTGAAGGTTACCCCGACCTATCTCTTTTTGTACAGCTTCGACACGACACAAACTGACGCCGGTAGTTGATAAATGAAAGATGAGGTTGGAGGTTGTTTAGGTTTGATAGTATATGAGAGATATAAAGTAAAATTACTTGTCAATTTTCAATAGAGATAACAAAATATTTTAGATATTCAGATAATTTCATTAATGTTTTTGATAGAAACAATCAAATTAAGATTTTAAGAGAACAAGATCTTGAAAGCTCAAATAGCTCAATGATGAGATGAATGAAAGTAGAAAAAGGGAACAAAAATCAATCGTGTTGAAATGACAACTATATGTCATCTCGATATGTCAAAACTAGTTTTTTTTAGTTCTGTTTATCCTTTAACGGAATGGCAAAGGAACTGCACCTGCCATGTCTGTGCAAACCAAAGAATTTTATTATTTTTTACTACATTTCCATCCCATTTTCCTTTATGTTGTAGAGTAAATTCCCATTTTTGCGTCCATTTACTCCTTATATATGATTTGTAATGAACAACTAAATCACTCAATGGCAGTTTTTTTTTTCTTCAAAATGAAAATTACTTGAATTTATAAATTTAGCTATATATAATAGTTTTAGATTCAGCTATTCACCGATAATAAACCAAATGTAATATGTGACTGCGAATTTTAAACGTGTGAGCAAAATAGATCTATGCTGGTCGCAGTGTTACCAGTCTTAGCATCTGACAATAGCCCTCAATAAAAAAAAATGCGACACAACGGTAGGTTTGATTCTCTATTACGTTTGATTCAAAATTCAAATATACCGTGCGAAATATTAGTTATTGCAGCCCACAGTTCGCAATATCTCTGACTACCCCATTTCTATTGGTAGTCGTGAAGGCATATATAAAAATAAAGAATAAAGACCATTATGTTTATTTTAGTGAAATTGACCTTTAATAGAATAATTAGTCTTATAAATTAACTTACATACTTAGGTACTAAGTGATACATGTATCTATGTATAAATTGTTAGCCCTATTATTTTCTCATTACTTATTCTAATTGCTAACTTAGTGGATACTGAACGTACAAACTGTCCTTTACAATTACCTCAATATACATGAAATATGAGTCCACCAGTACCAAAAGAAAGGGGGAAGGGGATTGTTAGTAATCTGCGTTAATAATCTCATTGCTAGTAATGTATCATATCAGGTTGACCTCCACGCGGTCCCCTCTGGAAACTTTCACGTTAAATTTCTGCTGAATTTGCCAGGATGTGCTAACTGACTTGACCACATACTCATCTTATTCTACTCCACTCCACACCAGCGTATACCGTTAGCGCAAGGGAATGCACAATTCCATTATCATCCCTTGAGTACCAAAACGACTTAATGTACGTGAGGACCTAATAAAGAAATAATAACACCGACCTACCGATGAAAGAGTTAACATTTTACCTACTATAAGAAGTATCTAATAAAACAAAAATAATATTAAAACAACTACTTACAATGTTACTGGAATTAGTAATATCGTATGTTTAGGTATACTATGTGCGCTGTAGCATGGTGCGGATGACAGTTGCTTTATTTAACAGTTGCTAAATTTAAGTTACTACAAAGATTTAATATATCACGAATGTGGTACAGCTGATATATTAAATCATAATTTGTAAATCGCGGCAACTTTCATGTGTGAAACGAAATTGTCACCCTCATCATGCAACAGCGCACATGGTATAGACATTGTGATTCTAAAATTTAAGTTAGTAATAAAATTGAAAACCGTTCTGTCACTGCCGTGTTGACCGTACTGGCAAAATATATTGAGGTAATTAACATGACCAATATAATAAAGTATTTATATTACACTTATACTTATCTAATATAAAATAGTGGACAAAAAATCGAATTATTATTTAGTATTAGGTAGGTTGGAGTATAATAATAATAATAGAAATATCAAAACAAATTTTAAAAATAATATACATTAATAGAACAGCACAATACAAACAGTCATATGGATTTAAATATTTGTACCGTTCAAGAATCAAACCCGCAACCATCGGAAGTAAGACGGTGCTGAAACGCCAGACCACTGAGGCTGTTACATATATAAATAAATATATTTAGATACAAAAATAAGGTAAACAATAAATAATAAACGTAAACATATATAAAATATTAAATTACACTATAATATCATCAACTTCAGAGGAATAAAGCACACTGATCAATATATTCAGGGCGATGCCGACGGATTTGAAACCCAATGTAATGTTGTTTAATATCTCAGCAACGCGATGGTCAGGTTGATGGTTTATATTGTAAATGCAGCCTAACACTAGCGCCACTAAGGCTGATACCACCTGTTATAGAAAAAAAACAAATAAAATTAAAGCAAAATGAAACAAAAAAACATAATTCACTAAAGGCGATACCACCTGTCTTACACAAAAATAAATATTAAACAGGAATATAAAACAGATTAAATAAAACCGACAGATGAGATTTTGGAATGGTGGAGGATTTGAGGATGAAATCAGTCATATCAGAAAATTTATGGAAAAACATGCTTTCATACAATGAATTTAAATTCAAAGACTCTTTCCACAAAATAGGCTAATTCTAATACTAAGGCTAATTTCCTCTAAATATTTTATTAAAATTAATTAATTTATTAGCTTTTACACTACCACATACATTACTATACACATACTATGTTATGGCATTTATGGCACATTATATATTGCTGTTACTCGAGAATTGTCGACTCCCAACTATTTTAGTTGAAACTTTCTAACACAAATACGTTTCTTTACTAGCCAGTTGTAACTCTATAGAGAAATTCTCTCTTCGTAGTCTCAAGTCCATTTTAGAGAGCTTAAATTGATTCTCAATTTATTTTACTTATTTAGCATTAGGCATACTTGCAACTGGTAACAAAATTTACACTCTGAAATGGACTTAGTTTGCCGTTTTCAAAAACATCTACTTGCCATTTATATTATATAAACTACGGGTTGTTCATAAATTATGTTACACGAATTTATTGATTTTTGACCTTTCCCATGTCTTTGTCACAATTGTAAGACTACATATTTTACTATTTTAAATATAATATGTAGAAATTTGCATCATTTCATTTTGAAACCTCAGGTCATCAATTTGCAAATTTTGAAACCTCAGGTCTCAAATTTTATTTCACCGTCTAACCCATGTCACCTCGCCACTACACATCTTTTGTGGTTGTAGCCCACTTATGCATATGCATATGCAACGAAATATCTCCTTTGGTAGTATACACTCTATCCTTAGCAAAAACCATCGCTTCTAAGAATTTCCTTCAATTTTTGTTCTACGGAACAAAAATTGAAGCGAATTGTTTGAAAAAGGGCGAACTTTGAAAAAGATGCTAAGATCGTAATAGATCTATGCACCTGACAATAGCCCAAAACCCCCCCAATAAAAAAAACATCAACAACTCTGTTCCTCTCCTGTTGATTTGTGGAATAATTTATGGATGCCACTATGAATTACCATTAAGTTTGATACTTAAATACTCGTATATACTTATATGTGGTACTTATTTCATTGCTTAGAGCTAAAATAGTCATACAAATTCGACGTTCTGTTCCCAAGAAAGTCTTGTTCAGAGAGCGCGGGGTCAAGACCGAAAGTCATTTTGATGACGTCACAAAAAACCACGCCGGTCATGAGACCAACAGACACATGATAGAGCCAGTCTGAAATCTTCTTCTTGGATTGGCTGCCTTCTTCGTCCATAAATGTAATGATTAAAGCCAGGACTCCCGCGCTCGCCTGTACCAAGGAAAGCAAATATAATTACTGAAATTTTAATATGAGTAACTGCATTCATAAACAAACGTCTCTATTATTAACATTATTAGATAATACAATAAAGATTATTCCATATAACTGACATTAGGTGCTCTTGTAATTTAAAAAAAAATATTAATCCCTCTATGTTACATTTTAAATAAGTTTGTGTAGACAGTGTTACATTAGTTAGTGGAATAATATTACTAAATAAATGCCTGTAACGATAAAATCATTCATTTACAACTATGTAATATCAACAAAGAACTATCTAAAAAGAAAGATAATATAGATAATAATACTTATTTAGGTTTAAACAAAAATAGATGCCCAAATATCCCACTTTTTTCAACCTCTTTATTTTTACACAGTTTGAAAACAGTTTATTACATCTGAACACATTTTTTAAATACTAATTTAATACTAGTATTCACAGTAGTAGTCTGGTAATCACAGATTTATATGAGTCTGACATTTAATTAAATTATAAAAAATATAATGAGGTATTTTAAACTCCTGTAAAATTTCCTTTCTTTAAATATTCACTGTTGATATATTTAAGTCGTTCTAACACTAACGGACTATTCGAATATTCTATACCAAACGCCGAAATGACAATATTAATGACGGATATGACAAATATGAATATGACAATGACGTCGTTGAGGACTAGCGCCGAAGGTTGATCCTCGTGGTCGTTCAGATCCAATCCCCCAATAATGACGAAAAGCAATCCAATGAGAAGCTAGAACAATTATTTAATGAATGGAATCAGTAGAATGTAACAGTCCGGTCGCTGAATGTTACAAAGTTTGCGTTTCTGACAGTCTTTCTTATTTGATTATATCAAAACAAATAGTTGATATAATCTTGAAACAGCGCAGTTTGATGTGGTTTGACTTTCAAAATGTTAAGTAGTTAATATTTAAAAATTTTAGGCCAAAATTAATACGTTTATTGTAAGTAGGAATAATTATTAAATTTTTAATGTTATCAACTTATCACTCGTCAATAAGGCAAAAGATATTTAAAATTTTGGCATAAATTGTACGTCAGTTCAAAGTTACATCGCCATTCGATCCCGACCTGTCAGAAACGAAATCTCTGAGCGGCCGGACTTTACTTAGGTCAGTGTTCCGCAAAGTATGTGCTCGCAGTACACTGGTGTAGGAGTGGGAGTCATATTATTAGCAATGTCACTATGTCAGGTCGACTTACAAGCAATTGCATATGGAAACGATCGCGGTTAATTCCTAATGAATTTGCTAACAGATCTGACTTCATTCGTTGGTGTCTCGTCAGCGTGTACCGTTAGGGCAGGCGGATGCACAAAAGTACACTAGTATACCATGAAAAGTGAAAGGTCACAAATCAACCCAACCAATAATATTTGTCCCAGTACGAAGTAAGGGACCTTCATAAATTACATCAGTAACCCCCTTCGACGCACCTCATGTTTTTATCAATTATATATCAATTACCATAATACTTAAACTTTATAATTGAAATGTAATATCACAAAATTTAAAACCTCTCCTAGGAGGCTGTGCAGGAATCTTAGATTTCATGATCGTTCAGTTGGCGTCCTGTATGGAATTAGTTGGTGTGCCGTGGACAAGCGACCTTATCAATGATTGTTCTAAGTTTTGATAATGTACATATTTTTCACATATACATAATTTAAACGTAAACATCTTAGTGCTCTTTAGTGTCCTTTTGATTTGATAGATACCGTACCTTGAACACAAAAGGTTTACGGAACACTGATTTAGATAATAGATAATTATAATGAACCTTCGTCGCTCTTCGACTCATAGGTAATAACAGAACGCTGAATATGCAGTAGTATTCAACAAAAACATCAAAACAAAGATAATTAATAGGCACATGCTGGTATTGTACTCGTACATTGTGTATATAAATCTTTAATAAATTCCTAACGGATAGATATAGGTAACTTAATCTAATTAAACAGATATCTACATTAATAATCTTCAACATAAATTTACATAAATATTAGCTAAATAGGTACATGTACGTAAACTATACAACGATCGGTATTAGTATCATTTAATATCGATGCAGATCTAAAATATCTAAATATTTTAGGAGGGTTTTGTGTGCCATCTGCACTCGCACCCTGATGTTGTAAAGGCTAGCTACAATAAACACCAGTTGCTGGTTACGGCCTTAAATAGTTCTAAGAAAACGATATCAGTATAGATAACGTCTATAAATTACGTCACACGTTAAGGGTCGGGGAGGAGGTTACCTTTCTATGACATGGGGGCTGACACTAGGTAAAATTCAGTCCAAAAATACGTTTATCGAAATGTACATTGAACAAAATAATTCTTAATTGTTCAAACTCTGTATGCACATGAGTTTAAATTATTCTGTTGTTTTAATTTAGGACCATCTATTTTAATCATTTCTAAATTTAAAATTGCAAAATGTGTCGCAGTCGCATCGTTATTCTTATCAGAACTAGAATAAATAGTCTTTAAAAATCATGAACTTCGTGTGACGCATTTACAGATGACCTTTTAATCGTATCAACGGGCTTAGATTTAAAAATAATTGAATCAGATATCATGCTATGTACGTAAGTAAATAGTTCTAATCGAGCTCAAGATATCTAGCTAACGAAGAGTCGAAAGCTGAAACAAGCACGTTCAGAGCAGTGACAATAAACGCTGTGGCCGTAGTGGCGTAATTGATGTTCAGGGCTGATGTCTTGTGTCGGGGCTCGTGGAAACGGCAGTCATGCAGTAGGTTTAGTGAGAGAAGCACTAATCCCATCGCGACCTAATGTCGTTAAGTTTAGTATGTGAGCACAAGTTTTATAATAGACTAATTAGACCTAATGTTATGCCTATTGCATAAAATAACCGGATTCAATTGTAATTAGTAGACAGGACTACTACTATTGATGGGAGAAGAAATTGTTAAAAAGATCTAAAATAACCAGTGGAATCAAGAAGACTAATGTTACTAATCTTCAAGCCTACTTTCGCGGGTAGACGAAAGCAAATATTAAACTGAACTGACTAATAGTAGAGTGTGAGTAGAGTTCTTGTCAGATCTTCTTCGTTGGCTCGAAATATTTTCAGAACTGATGATAGATTTAAACTTATAATAAATGCAATAAGACCTACATGAAAATATGTCATTTTTATTTTTGACTAAAACGTATTCATTTAAGGAATCCATTGTAGTCTCTACTATATTTTAAACTGAAGGCAATTTGATTTATCAATAAAGTCGAAGTTAAAATCAACACAACTTAATTTTATCCTCGTCACTATCTCTACCGTTCAGTTTGGCTTGCTGCTTCTTGAGCTTGAGCAGTACAGTACTGTCATGAAACTAAATTGGTATGTGTTTTTAATCAGCTTAATAAAGATAAATCAAATAAGATACTTTTCTTTTATTTGACATATTTTGATTAAGTTCATCCCTTATTAGACGTGTTTATTTCTTGACAATATCTGATGCTACGTGTTATTTCATAAGATTCTTTAATAGGCCTGTATTTTGGAGTACATGTGTATTAGTTCAAGACCTTACATTATTATATGGTCTATATTTTCTACAATATACCACATAAGTTAAGTGCTCACCTGAAGGACGATTGATATGGAAATAAGTACAACGAGTAGAGTGTAGAACTCATGTTTGGGCCCGACTTGCAGCACGTACTTCAACTGAGATGCGTTCGAAGTGAGCAGGGCGATGTCCAGCATGCCCTGCGCCACCGTCTTCTTTGTCGCATACCTGTTTGCATCCAGCCCTTTGACCTGGAAATATTGTTTCCAATTTTTTTTCAAACTGGATAATATAAGATTATATTTTTGTCTACAAGAATTGAAATTCCGCTACTTTATTAACATGAATCCATATCTTCTGTTTCCTTTGAGTAGATACAATCTTACGTGTATGAATTTTATAAGCATAATTTTGTTTTAGGTAAGGAATCCTCAATTTCTTGGGATAGATAGATTAGATACCTAATTAAGGAAATCCTTATAGTCCATATATTAAGAGATTCCAGATATTAAGTCCACGACGTTTATAATTTTTTGTGTGCATAGGAATAAAGCTATTTATAGTATATATAGTAGTTACTTAATTATCTAAAAGAAATAAATAATTATGTTAAATATTGTAGATCAAAATAATAATTCGAACGAGCAAGTGCTCGAAAGATAAAGAATTATTTTCAGTATGCACTTGCGCCCGAAAGCACACAGTTTGCGGTCTGTCGAAAAACTATAATTATAAATATCTATTTACGTCAGTGCGGATAGCAAGAAGTATATTTTTAGTAAAAACCACTGCGTAATAAATATATCATAATAAAAATTACATCGTCGCTAACAATTTCCGTAGGTGCATTTTGTCCGATATAAACTATATCTTCAATATTCACTGTAGGATTTTCACTAGCGTCACTATTTTCAATTTTCTCCGTTTCCCCTGCCATTATTTATTATTGTTTACACTTAAATATAGTTTTATAATGTTTGTTTGTTCGCGTGTCGAAGTCTACTGAAACGGTTAGTCAAAACTATGTAAGAAATCGAATGTTTTGCGGTACTTCCTTTAAACAAGGCCAATACAAAAAGATGATTAAACGATAAATAAGTACTTCCAGATACCTTGTAGGGAGAATTAAACAATTAATAATGCGAATATTATTAATATAGAAAGGAATATGCGTTGTACTGGACGATGATTGCGTTGCAGTTAATTTCTTATAGGTACTTTCTCTAGTTTGAGTAAATTGGATGTTATCTAATCTATTGAAATGATAATAAATCTTTTATGTATAAAATTAATAGACAATGCTAGAAACATTGTCTATGAATTTATTATCATACTATTTAATTTAACTATAAAACAAAGAATTTAATAGATCTTTATTATCATGCAGATAATAAGTGCGAATGAAAAAAAAATTGTACTCAATTTAATGAAAAACATAGTTATAAAATATGTACATGTATATTTATGTATGCGATATTTATGATTATGATAACCTACCTAATTCGGTAATATTTATATTTGTGACAAATTCTATGCATTTTTTTAATCACACATCTTCATGCTCACCCTCTCATCGTTCACTGTTGCGCCTCGACCGTATATCTTTAGCACAGGCGGTTGCACCATTCCATTATCATTCATAAAAAAATCTAAGCAGCTTTGTAAACTGTGTACTGATTTTTATAGCATACAATTGGGTCTACTTTTTTTTCTGTGGTCATACCCACCACAAATAAAACATGGTCATGCAGCGTGCTCTATCTCTTAAAAACTAGGTTTGAGTCAAAGGGTAGGCCATCTTAGTCCTTCTGAATGGCACAAAAGGGATAGCGATATCCTTCTCATGATGAAGTGATATGATGTGTGTTGTTTGTATTTAAAAGGCGACGTAAGTAGGTAACTTGCTTGCCAGAGAAAAAATATATTGCAAGAACTAGTCCTACTTAAAGTGGAATATTAATTCTTATATTATAACCTGATTTTTAGAAAGCTACATAGATCCACTGCTACATAGAGATATAGAGTATCGAGACAAGACTTTGATTGTTTTTGAATTTAATTGAATGAACGTGAATTAAACCGAAGATAAGTGTTACCATCATGCAATAGTAATTATGTGCTATATACGATTTCTTCTAGTATGTAACAATTAATTTTTCAGATCAAACAATTAACACACTTATACATGGCAATCACATTTTAGAAATTGATATCTGCTAAAACAATAGCCCTAGCAGCACAGTTAGGTAGCCAAACTCTACTTGTAGAGTAGAAAAACAAAAATTCATAACAACGTAACGAACAGAAACTCAAAAACTTCGTTCAAAAAAAATATGAAATCTAGAAGGATCTAGTGGTGGGAGGGTTCTTTAATTTTGTGATGTTACAATTTTCTTTGAATATTAAAACTTTTCAAATGTGACCAACTGTGATAGAGGGAAGTTGGTGTCACGTATTTATGGAGAATGGCCCTTAACTTAAAACAAGTAATTATGTTTTAAAATACTTATGTAATTATTTAAATAGAAATTTTATTGTTTTATTTATGTAAATTAGTTATATATATGTAATATATTTAATGGCTTCCCACTGCACCCGTACGAGGCCAGGGCGGGCATTTAAATAAATAAAACAATGAAAAATTTATTTCAATAATTACATAAGTATTTTATATGTATTATACCTATAAACATCCCTCTATGTATTGGTAAAAACTGCACTAAAATCCGTTGCGTAATTTAAAAGATATAAGGAAAAAGACAATGGAAGCGGCTTCATTATATAGTGTGAGTATAGACTGTTACTAATAATAATTTATATATATAAAAAAATAAAACAGTTTATCTGACTGCATTTATCTAATGCGTATTGTTATAATTGCGACTTTATTATATAGTATGTAATAATTATAGACTGTTATTAATATCTAATAGTTTACATATCTATGTAAATAATAAAACAGTTTATCTAATTCGAATTGTTATAATTAAGTAGATATCATGTCATAAGTAGGTAATTGTTCCCAATATAACCAATACGTAAATATTGCAACCTCGGTAGAAGGCCAGATGTATTGAATCAATTAGATACATTTCAAACACGCAATAGTTTACATAGTTGTAGATATTTTGAGTAGAGATAACATAGAAAACAATATTGCATTATAATGTGTGATAGATCACATTGGCTTAGAAATAGAATGAATACAAACTTAAAAATTAATGCCTAAAAATTATCGAAGCTGTTCAACTTTCATTTTTTTTATACCACGTAGGCGGCAAACAAGCATACGTCATTCACTTTGCAATTATTTTTTAATTTTACTTAACTGTTGATTCTATATTAAAAGACGATTTTCAAACAAGAAGAAATATTTTATCAGATCTAATTCGGACGAAAAAAAAATCTATCAGTCCTATATTAATCAAAAATTTGGAAGACTATCCATATGAGCGCCCTAAAATTATGTACAAGCAAGGAGACGACACTCGTTTAATGTTTCATGGAGAAGAATAGAGCTGGACAAGCAGGATCCTATGTCTATTGGGTCTATTCAACGGTGTTGTTTTCTTGGAGAAGAACTGTCCAAACAGGCTCCTATTTCTCTTGCATAGACTCATCTACTCAACGGTGTAGTTAGTCGATTTCCAGATCTAGATATTTACATGTAAATTGCTGGTTTTCTGTAGTAGTCGGTAAATTATTTAGATTGTATATAAACTTAAGATTGTTTTATTTATTTTGTATATGTATGTAATCTTCTAGATCGAAATATACTATGATCTACTCACATTTCGAAGGCCTGCTGGTAATATCGAAGCCATTGTGAAAAATTTCTCTTCAACTTAGAACTCTCATAATTTTAAATTATGTGAAAAGATTTTATCAAGCATTTTATTTTTTAGTGCAAAGTTCGTGAGAACCAGCGACAGACAGTCATTGTCGATGACTCGGTTTAATTCAATACTATAAAATCGATGTCGTTACTTAGGTGACGGGAATAAACAACATTTACCTATACAAATTATTGCTTTGCCTATATCTTTAAATAATATATCTGCAATTTAATATTTCGGTCAAGTGTGAGAGGATTATTTTGTTTTCTTCTTTTATAAATTGACATGATGGAATTCGGTAGTATATAGGAATAGAAATTTACACTACTACTCATTTCACAATATATATTGGAATATCTTTGGCACACCTTATTTGTCATGCTATACCACTCCTGAGTCACTTTCAGTATTTAAAAACAAAAAAACTAAATATTAAAAAATATACCATTTCGGACTGGTATAAAATTATTTTTTTTCTGTCTCAATTTCATTACTATTGATGTAACCGTTAAGGCGCCAAACAAACGAACTTTCACATTCAAAATCAATTATAATACATATATCATTGGCTTTCAGGCCTTTTTTCTTGACTAATATCCGTAAGGCAATTATTTAACGAAACAAAACAAATGAACCCAAAATTTCGATGGACTGACATTGTCATTATACACACAGCGTTATTATTACATGACCACGTATGGCCTATTTTTGAAAAATGGATATGGTAAGAACACTGATGACCCACCTGATAGTAAGTGGAAACCGTCGCTTTAAATAGGTACATGAACTGTACCAAGGACATCACGTCGTCCTATAACGTGGTACTTACCGCAAGCTACCGCTCCAGACTGCGATGCATGGTTTCGTAATTTTCGTCCTACCAGATTTTTTTGCTAAGTATATCTCACACTTTTACCGAAATAGAGCTTACAAAGCATGCTGCTTGGCGGCTGAAATAGGTGAGGCAGGATTACGTACCCAGACAACTATGTACAATAATCTAAAAATCCGTGAAAACCGATCAAAAACTATTCTGTCCAAATTTACATACATATTATGTACATTGATTTAACCTTTCGTCAGTTTTTAGTTCCAAAACCTTTATAAAAACATGTGCGCTCATGCAACTCTGCATTAAAAAAAAATGCAAATGTTTGTAACTAGATATTAAATTTTAATCCTTAGAGTTAAATCCCCATAATAATATTTTTTTAAGTTGATGCGGAGTTGAATAAAACTCAATATAATAACTTACATATTGACTTCCTACAGCAGTTATATTTATACACCATACTAGCTATTCGGCCTGGTTTTGCACGGGTGTACATGTATTATATATTTATATATATACCTAAACCTTCGTCTAGAATCACTCTATCTAATAAAAAAACTGCTTCAAAATCCGTTGCATAGTTTTAAAGATTTAAGCATACATAGGGACGGACAGGCAGCGACAGCTACTTTGTTTTATAATATGTAATAATGAAGTGAATGTTCGGTTCTTTCACTCCGCGAACCAAAATATGACTGTAGAGATCATAATTTAGATTCATTGCACACGTAATTATTAAAATCGCCATTTATATATAGCACTTTATGTATATATGTCAGTCATCAGCTGGTTGCCATTTCAATCAAATGTCTTGTTATATCGTATAAAGGTTCTTTAAAACAAAACAACCTGTAAGGGGATTCCACGTCAGTGCAATATTGTAATTACAGCCCTAGTGAATAAATCGATACCCAACTATTACAATTAATATAATAATATTGACTAATTGTTCAGTTGCTGCAGTTGGCAGTGCAGAGTTAAATATATGCTTAAACAGATTCATCTACTGCTAGGGTATCATAAAAGCTATTATAGTAGTACAGTAAAAGCATATCACGTCAGTTGTATTAGACAAGAGAAAGATACCTAACTAACGATTAGCGCTTTGTTATTATTCCTTAACTTATATTATTATTAAAAATCATACCTATATTTATTATGTTTTAGTTGTCTATCAATAAATATTTCTTAAATAATTAAAATTATTTTCTACTAAGATTAAACTGCGTATTTTTTCTAAAACTTCGAAACTGAAGTTTAAAATCCCGCGCTTGTTTATTTTTAGATTAATATTTTTTTAAAGCAAAATTTGGTCCAATAAATTTAACTTCGTAAATACATAGATAATTTATAGTCTAATGAAATCTTTAACTATCTATGACAGAAACAGATTTTGTTTAAATTACTTTCAAAATTTCTATTTTTGTTTTTGCAACTTTTAAATGTTAATAGGAATGAAACGTGTGTGCGCTCGCTGTTCGTTTTTGCGTCCTTCCTTCCGTCTGTCAAAAGTGTTTCCTTTTCTTTCGAGAGATCGTATTTGTTTTTGCGAAAATATAAACATTATTATTTTTTTATGTATATAAACCTTTATTCTGTATATTGTATAGTGATTGCATGTTATATTAATTTTATATTGATTCTATTTTAAGTGAATAATCATGTGAAAAATCGTGTCAAATCGTGTAGTGCTGTATGTTGTTTTTGTTAGAAGTAAATCACGCAGATCTTCCAGATGCTGCCTTCCATGCCCATCCTGTTTACGAGAGACAGTCAGGATGCGTTTGGTAATAAAATCGAACCAAGTACAAGCTTTTTCAACCAAAATTCACTTCCAAAACCCGTGATCAACCCTGAGGTGAGTCAGTGTGTTGAGGATTTATTTTTACATATCTTGCAGTTATAAGGAGTTCTAATGAAAAATCTTTACCTAAACTCGCTGATATAACATTCTAGCTTATGATATTTACACTCTGTGAACCAAAACATGACTGTAAAGATCATAATTTAGATTCATTGCACACATAGTTATTGACGCCATTTTTAAATAGCACTTTATGATTTCGCTAACAATTAATATTTTATTTTTCTTCAGTCACTCACTCAGAAGCCTCAGAAAAACGCGAAAGAATCTTATGTCACACAAAAGGAAACAAAAGGCAAAGGCAATTCTAAAAAGAAACAGGACCCGCCTAAAATTGACGACAGAGCATTGGAGAATGGTGAGTGGAATAGATAAGTAATGATTAATATTCTATTTGTAATATAAACATGTATTTTGACTATTGTACTAAATGTTTAATTTTTTGAATTCCCAGATTGTTAAATGCTATAAGCAGATAATTATAATTAATTTGTTATCCTGTAATCCAAAAGAAATAATGGGATGAAATCTGGAATTAGTAATTTAAATTAAATTATTAATGGAAAAAATTAAAAACGTTTTAAATCAGTAGTGGATAAACAGAGTCAATGATAATAGTATATTTTTAATGCTGCTATACTAAATAAATTAATATTTATGTATAAATTAATTACATTTCTCTATAATAACTATCATACCTGGTTAATATTTGTAAATTTAATTATGTGTTAATATAATGTATATTTCATTATTTAATCCATTTTCTTTCAGCATTAGTCACATCTTATTACAACAAAGTAAAATCAAAATTCTCCTCAAACTCATCAGCGGTAACTAATAAATTTCGTCAATTCCAAAATATATTAAAAATGTTTGACCCATCTAAAGAGACTCCAGTGCAATTGTATAGGAAAATTGAAGAGTTATTTGGAGATGATCATAAGGATATGGTAGAGGAGTTTTTATTGTTCTTAAAGCCAGGCCAAGCTGCAGAAATTGGGCGGTTCATGGACTATTTCACACTCGTCCAGATGACCGGTTTTATTGAATTACTTCAAGTGAGTATCTTTTATAAAATTGTAAGTACACAAATTTATTATTTGTTTACTTATTTTTAACATCCGAAAATGTGCTTTTACACTCACATATTTTTAATATGAAAGTTAACGAATGAAAAAGGGTAAGACAACTAAAGGAATTATGAATGGACTGTATGAAAGAGGGTACACATAAAATGAAAGTAACCTCAGATATGGCAGCAGTATATTATCTTCTAACTAGGCACTGGTAGAAGAAGATGACTTACTGCCCATGATGACCCCAAATAACAGATTAAAGGCAACACAATGATGATGACACAGGTTATGGACATAGAGAGGAATGAATGTGCTTTCTAATTCTATTATTTATTCCAACCATATGTTTGCAACATTCCAAATAATGAAAACCTGACAACTACACTCTATAAAGTAACTTTCATCATCCTCAGTATGAGACAAGGTATAGGAACACCTTTATGTGTATAAAGAAAATTTACGAAAGCATGAGCCAACTTGCTATCCAGTGTATTTGCATACTACTGATCTGATGGTTTATCTATCAGGAGAATCTTCTCTTGTTTCATCCCACCACCTATTAAAGTATATAAATATAAATTTTCATCCTTCACCCTTTTATTATTATAGCTTTAAACATTCACATAACACATACTTTTCTAACATATAATGATTAGGGTAAAAGCCTCCATCTTCTGCTGTTCACCATTACAAATAGACTCAAAAATTTTACAAGAATTAAAAATTTTGTTACATTTCTACGATTATAGATTACATATTCATCACTAGTTTGTGCCATCTTATGATTACGAAAAAATAGAAGATCAGAAACAAATTTAGCATTTTTTTTAATGTATGTATGTATAATGATACACATGCCTCTACTAACGGTTTACACCAGTGGAGGATTATAGGATGAACATGAAGTCAGACCAATCCAAGCACTTTGTGATATATTCACCAGGAATTTATCATGATGATGTCTAGGAGAAATCATATGGAGTTAACTTATGGACTTAACTTGGTACATTCAGAGCAGTTCCAGTAGTGCTGTAGATTTAAAGGATCTATTTACTTGACATATGTCAAGATTCACCTTCACTACTCATGTTCTCTTCCTAGCTAAATTTAGTATAACCTGCTAGAGTAGCTCTAGACACATTCTATTATAGATTTTGATATTCCATACGCCACGTCCATTATTATGCTTTAAATTATAGATTACATTTTCCCGTAAGCCGACGGTCTTACGCAAAATACTGAGGGCGCTCACGACCGGTATCAACAGTGGGAGAAGCGAGGACATGAAAACACGTGTGCTGCCCCACCTGCGATCGAACCCGCGCCTCACACAAATGTTCAAAGCGATGTTTCCTGATGAACGGCCCCCAGAAAGGTATTATTTAATCAATACAGACAGCTTTCCAATTTTAATAGGATATGAAATTCACTATGAATGACCTTCACTTTTGCGGAAAGACTTATTCTGATGGGTACTAAAACATGCTTAAAAATAAATTGAATGAACAAAAAATATTCTTTGAAATCTACTTGAAGATCATGATTTTCTTACACTATAGTAAGAATAGCAATGCCTGTGTCAGGTAATGAGGATAAAATAAATAATCATAATAAAAAAAATATATAATTTGGAGATGCATAATGAATAGCATAATATTTTTTTATGGAAGTAAATTATAAAAATAGTTTAATTGTATGATAGCTGCTGAATATATAATAATAATTATAATAAATTCACAAAAATCATATCATCAATATTGTCCACAGTTTATATGAGAATGGGTCAGACACAATAAATGAAAGCTTCCTCACCAGAGACAAAGGTTATGATGTATGGGAATTTGATGAAGAGACTGACAATAAGAGGAAATTGAATGACAAAGAGAGTTTGGATACTGTGGTAAATATCAATATTTCTTATACATATTAAAATGGTAAATATACCATTAATACAAATGGTATAGTTACCATGATTTCTTTGTTTTAATGCATGATGATGGATTTACTGATGACCTGTACTAACTGTTTATGCTGACTGGGCGCCAGTGCAGGATGATTATGAGTATGAGGTCAGGTCAGTTAGCTCATTGTGACAAATTCACCAGGAACTTATCACAATGGTTTTCAAATGGGTTGCTAGCATTGGGGTCATTAGTCCACATTTCTAACAATCCCCTTCCTACCATCAAATCATCAAATCACCATGATCAAATTATTTCTGTGCTATTTGTATTAAATAACTAAAAAAGCTTACAACAATGTGAGTATTGAATCAATATTCATTTTTACAATAGATATTGACACCTTAGCCTACTATGTTCTATTTTTTATTGTAATGTTGACAGTAGCTGTGAGCCTATACAGCTTCACCAGACAATGACTGTATCCCCTGAGTTGTATGTAATAATAATAATAATCTCATGCTCAGCTTGTGTTAGGGGTACTAGATAACTGATACAAATACATAGATTTTTTTTCATAAATTCATACATATTATACATAGAAAACACCCAGACCAATATATAAAGTCATATTCATGAATACAAATGTCTGTGCTGTGCGAGAAATCAAACTCGCAACCATCGAACGTAAAGCGGTGTGCATTTTGACAAACTCAGTGGTTTACACTGAGGTCGTCAAAATCAATATGTAGCATATACATTGGGTCTAGATGAATTGAGGTTTCAGAATAGGCATTTAGTATGATTGTGCCTAAACAATAAAAGTTCATTAAATTGCTGTGAATACAAAAATCTAATATATATAATTCTTGTGTCATTATATTAGTTACCATAATCCTCCGAAAAGGCTTGTGAGGTCTGTATATAGTATATAGTATACACCATAGGCTTGACTGATTTTTATGACATTTTATATGCATATACGGAATATGCATATAAAATGTCATAAAAATCAGTCTGAAAATCAACTACTATCTCTATATATCATACTCCTAAGAGATAAGGATTGTCACCCCAAACATTTTATTTTTATTTTTTTATAATGTGGCATTAAAAGTGCATCAACCTTAAATTTTTACCCTTCTGCCATCAACACTTCTTTTTTAATAGCGATTTTAATGTATATGGCAAAAAAATTTTTGGGGGGTCAGCTAGTAGTTATATAAAACAGCACACATCTGAGTTTTATGTAATGTGGCTTAACATTTTTATACATATTTTTTTAGATCAACTAATTCACTATATTGTATGATTTAGTGAAATAGTTGATGTCAGTATTTATTTAAAATTAATGACAAAATTAAAATAATTTACAAGCTATCTAGTCATTGATAATCTGTCTTCTAAAATGCAAGCAAAAGAATAGCATTTTTCTTTTTAATATTTTTATCTTACAGTATCTTCATGGAAGAGTTTTCCTTCAGCATGGGAGGTTACTGCGCTCAGCGCGCGTCACATATCCGTATAGCAAGGAGCCGTATCGGGTGCATGCACGGCGGCTAGCACCTCCACATTGTCATCTTTCGCCGTCTGAGTCGGAAGAAGAGAGGGCGTCACCAAAACGCAGCAGCAAAACAACATCAAAAATCCCACCGAAAAAAACAAAAAAGCAACTGAAATCGCCTACAAAAAGTGTAAAAGACGTAAACGACAATACAAAAGTTAAAGAAACTGTCCCTAATGTTTTAAATAGTCCTAAAACCGTAAAAGGTAGATCACAAAATAATACTAAGAAAAATTGCAAGCATAAAAAAGAACATGATAATATTGTGCAAAAAAAGGATAGAAAAGAAAATAAGAATCAATCAAGTTGTAAAAAAGAGGAAGGCTCAAAAGCGAAACAGACAAAAGTGGAAACTGTTCCAATTAGTACAGAAAGGAAAACGACTGAAATTAAGAATAATAGTTGGACAAGAGATGAGGACAAAACTATGTTAGAAGTGCTCAAAGGCGAAGCAAGTTCGGAACAAGTTTTCTGCAGGATAAGCAAACTGCTTCCACATCGTTCAGTCACTGAAATAAAGGAAAGATTCTGTCATGTAATGAATCTGTTACAACAGATGCAGATGGACGTCGGTGGAGTAACTTAGCAGAGTAATTTTAAAATTTATCTAATCTAAGATATATTTATAATTTTGTATAAAATAAAATATATTTTTGACTTACCATGTTTCTTTTTTTGAAATGTAATAGGAACTATTAAAAGTATATTAAGGTTTTGACAATTATAAAATTAAAAAGTGTCAATAGTGTATTTTGATAGATAGCATTATATTTTTTTAATGTTTTTCTAATAAAAATAATATGATGTTCAAGTTAAGTGAAGAGTATTATTTGAGGAAATGTTTTCTTGAGCGTGAACAAGTCCCGACCCAAACAGTGATGAGGAATAGGATGTCACCATCATTCGCAAATGTTTATTTTAAGTCAATGACCCCGAAGTTAAAAGTACTCGCTGGTTTAGAACCACCTATGAAAGGTGGTGGCAGTGATTGGTTCGTGCCACCCGGAGAACTTTTAAAGGGACGGGCCGTCATGAAACCTGTGAAAAAAGAGTATCTTTCAAAGTTAGGGTGCGACGGCATTGGTTTGTTTGGAGAGAAGTTAGTTGAAATTCAGAATAAGAAAATGGAAGCGGAAAAAAAATATTTGCTTCAACAAAACGACATAAATTGGAAGAAAACTATTAAAGCGACTTGCCGCCAACAATGGGCCGATTGTTCTAAAGAAGCTGCTAAACAAAATACTATTAAAATTCAACAAGCCTTCCACGAATTTACAACATTGTATACTACGTCTATATCTAAAATGGAATTGATACTTCATGAGGCAACTGTGAAAGAAATCAAAAGAGTTAAAGAAGAGGCCTACAATAAAATGAACCTTCTTTACAAAAGATTGTTGAAGCAGCAAGCCACAATGCTGTATGACGAATATACTGAAAAATTGTTAAAAGAGAAGGCTGATCTTAAATCCCAATTTATACAAAATGTAGACGAAGCAAGGTCGCTTACGGTAGAACAAATACATGACATAAACGTTGAAAAACATGTAGTTGTAGAGAAGTTAAGAAATTTTCTGGAATGTCAAAACTTAGCTTGTCAAGTGTACGTAGCTTTGAAAGAAAGAGAAGAGTGTAAAAAAGAAATGCAGCTATCAACGCACGAACACAATAAGAAAGTAAAATCTTTGTCAGAACAAATAGCAATGAAAGATTTTGAAATCCAGTTAGCAAAAGAAAAGGAGCGGAAATGTCAAGAGTTCAATAAGATATGGCAAAAAAAGGTATGCGAAGTGGTTAAAAGATTTCAACTATTTGTTGCATTCTGCCTAAACACCTTACCAGAACATGCCGAGTTTTTCATGAACATGGAAAAATTAATGTTGTTGCAATTGACTGAAGTATTAGAAAATCCTAGCGTTGAAAGTATTTTTATGGTTGAACAAGATGAAATGCAACAAACGCCAGTACCTCGACCACATCCGTTCTATCTCTTTTGTGATAAAGGATATAAACCAAAACTTGAGCAAAATCTCTGTCCGAAACGCTGTACTTCTAGTGCATCACAACTGCCAGTTATTGTTATAAACAAAAGATGCATCTATTCTGCTTGCGACAATTTTGCTATGTTCACAGATAAAGTAAAGCAATATATTCAGGGTCGCGGGGGAGATGATGAAGATTTCATTGATGATTATGTTTATGAGCATGCGATTCCTTTTAAATTTACTTCATCGCAGCAGCTCTTAGACTTGAAGTTAGAAAGCTCTATTTTCCAAATTTTACAAAATGAATTGCCAAACATTAATAATGTTCCTCTTGATTGTTGTATTTGTAAAATACCTTACTGTTTCTGTAATCCACTGCAAGCAAAAATGATGCCATCAATTACTCGTATAGAAACAGATAACGAACCAACTGTATGTATATCTTCGGGGAACAAGATCGAAACTGTAAGTATTGAATTGAAACATGAACGAGAACCAAAATGGGAGAGTTTCATGAATTACATCGAATCTAAAAAATGTACATGCAGCAAAAAAGCCAAGAAACATTTGAAAGAACATGTTCCAATTTATATGAGAAAAATGTCTTGTTTCGATTCACCTGATTTGCCCAACTACGAAACATGTTCTCTTACTACTTTAAAGAGATTGGTGACGAAAGCTCAAGGCATACCTTCTCCTTTGCCACAATCTAAATCACTTGAAAAAAAAACTAAAGATACCAGCACCCAATACACAGAACCAAATTTCGATTACCTGTGCAACTGTTTCTCCGAGATTGAAGTAAAAAAACTTTTCCATGATATTTTAAAAGGATCACAAATGTTCCACATTGAAGGTGAAAACAAATTTGAAGTAGTTGATGGATCAGTAACACCCTCACACTTAACAAAAAATGCAAGCACGTTTGCATTAGATAGAGCTTATTCTTTAAAAAAATTAATTGACGACTCGCCGCAAATTGAGGAAATATTTAGATTCAATGACTGTCATCAATAGAAATGAATTCTTTTGTAACATATATAATAAACAGTACTATTATATTTTACTATATAAATAATATTGTATTACATCTCTTTATTGAAACATTTAATCTTTAACAAATTGACAATGCTGGATCCAGATATTCTCGTTGTGCTGCTGCTCTTAGATCTAGAGACCCTTTAAGATCCTAGTTTAAAAAAGGAACGGGAGTCGAATGCGTAGCGCGAGATTCTTACCCACCAAAAAACCAGTCAATCTCGAGATATGTTTCCACGTTGTTTTTTTGAGAGAGAGAGAAGTTATTCAGTTTATAAATGATTTTTTCGGCTTGGTATACACAATTTTATATTTAATGTATGTTAGTTTGTTTATTACTTAATCAGCCCGGCTGGTCAGATTACTATGAATTTTGCTTTGCATTACACGACATATATTTTTAAAACTTATTTTAATGATGGAATGTGTTCGTAATGCAAATGTAAGAGACCTACATATATTATCCAAGCTTTGAAGTTAAATAGGTTAGACGTGGGTGTATGCTGTGTAATGTTTAGCTTCGGGTACAACCATATTATTGATCACATTAATTATTTTTTCATTTAGTATAGGTACGATATGATTGTCATCGTCACATTTAGTGTACAAAAATTCAAAAAAAGAAACAGAAATGCGGGCTGTGGCGTGACATGCAGCTATTACAAAAGAAAAGTAACCAGGCTTGTCAATAATTTTTGACAGAATTTTTATTATTATAATAATATTACATGTTAGGATGCAGATACGAAATGAAAACACAAGTTAGTCTATAAAAATCTTTTATTAAAAAATCACTGCGATATTGTATAATGTCAGCGACGATACCAGGGCACCGCAGCCGACGTCTACGCACAGGATCCGGCAAATACAATTAACAATTACTCTATCATATGATCTTACGCACTCGCCGAGCGAGCTTACCACAAACATTTGATTACAACTAAATATAAGCGAATCGGAACAGAATGCTATCGAACGATTGAAGTAGAAAATAAATACATTTACATTTTATTTGTAGATATAGATCAGTGAAATTTGAGTCGCGGCGCAGTCATACTTGCGCATCTCGCGACGTACATATTACATATAGACATATAGAAATGGTGAACATTGCGACATTATAACGTATTCGCCCCGTCTCCGATACACCGAATTACTAAACCGATAATTCTTAAAGTAATTTCAGTCCTAGAACTGGGTACCTCGGTCATCAAAATCTCGCCCTTTACCACCATTTCATTCTTTCGTTTGGACAATACGAGCAACGCAGTTCATGGATAGATGCTGATCAACAGGTATTCTATCCCGTCGTAATTGTATTGACAGATCAAATATAAACTTTACCAAATTGCTGGAGCAACGATAATGAGATTTAAATGCTCACAAATACATTAGGTAAGATCTATATGAACACCATGGTTTTCAAGTGTATTAAGTAGTATGGTAGAGCATGGAGCGAGCGTGTGGCGCGAGGAAGCAGCTTAACTGTAGAGGTCGTCATCGCCGCCTTCTTCCTGGAAGGTTGGCTGGTCTCCGCCCGAAGTACCTGTGCCACCTGTGGTGCCCCCACTCGACGGGAATCTGTTAATGTCAGTGAAATGCGATCAGTACATAATGTATCGTCAAACAACAGATAGATAATCCCCATCATATTTTGGGAAGGGATTGTTATTAATTGATATTTGCAGTCCCATTTTCAGCAATGTACAATGTCAGATCATCCACCACGACGCGTTCCCTCTGGAAACCATCGTAGTTTAATTCCTTATGAATTCGCCACGAAGGGCGAACAATCTTAAGTTTGTTTATCCTATCATCTGTTGCCTCGCCAGTGTATACCGCTAGCGCAAGGAAGTGCACCATTCTATTAAAAAAACCGCAATTAAGTTGATCTATCAAAACGGCAATTCAAACTACGAGCATCATACGTTCAGTGTTCGTTTCAGCTAATGCTGTAGATGTGGATTTAGAGATGAACTTCATATAGTGTAATCACGAATAAATGATACAGTAGAATTAAAAAAAAAAACTTCACTCATACGCGACGTAATGTCCTACGCGAATAAATGATTTTTGAATACGAAATATAAATTTCATAACATGTACCTGAAGTTGGTACCGAAACCGCGGCTCTGCTGCAGCGTCTGCGCGAACATCTCGTACTTCCGAATGTCGTTGTCGGAGACGGAACGGCGCGCAAACTTCATCGCCTCCTCGAAGTGGGCTCGGCTAATCTCCGGCACCGGGTCTTCTTCGTCCATCTATAAAAGAATAGAATTACAATACAATAGAAAATCATTTATTCAAATAAACTTAATTTAAGCACTTTTGAATAGTCATAACATTTTTTTTTTATCTACCGCTTATTCGCAAAGCTGTCTTATCACAAGAAGAACAAGCAAGAAACTTGGTGTTGCTCTTTTAAATAATCCTTATAAGTTCACATTTACAAGTCGAAATGTGTGAATACAAACTACCAACCAGCACTGATTTATTAGGATCAAATATAAATACACAATAAGATTAAATCAGTCGTAGTGATAAGAGCAGAGCAGTCCCTACAAGCAGCACTCGTTCACGAGCATGACGGATGAGCCAGCCATCACTCCACTCGACCATATTTTAGGGAGCCCTATGACCCGGCCCACCACGCCGCCACATGTCTGGACATTTTAGTTAACATGACAACTCATTCCACTCGACCACGTCACAGCTACAAAAAATACTATATGGTAGTTACAGTATTCGCACTTACGACGTATGGCGGATAAAAATATAATATAATAGAAATAGTCTTCATTCTAAACATCATTTAAGCACTATTATGACTATTTATTTGACTGTACTCATCCAAAAGCAGATTGTCCGGAACAAAGAATTAATAAAATAGAAAATTCTTTATTAAAATAAATTTAAGCACATATACGTACGTCCATGACTGCGGCGGCAGTCTGCTGCTGGCGGGCGCGCTCGCGGTGTATCTCCGCCTCGATGGCCTGCCGGATGGCCAGCTTGCACGCCCGCTGGCAGATCTCCGTCAGATCGGCACCACTGAACCCTTGTGTCACCTGTTACGTTGTAAATTATTATTAATTTATTACTTCCGATAGTTATGGGTTCGATTTATTGCATGATACAAATATTTGTGTTATATATGAGTATGATGTTTTGTTGGTTTTGTACACGTACAGCACCAAAGTTTATAATTATGTTATTGTATTTTTAATTTTATTTCTTTATTGTACTTCTTAATTAAATTAACAATAAACCATATTCCTACCTTAGCGATGTAAGTTAGATCTACGTCCTTGGCGATGGGCGATTTGCGCAGGTTGGCGCGCAGGATGGCCTCGCGTGACTTCTCATCCGGCAGTGGGATGTAGATGAGCTGGTCCAAACGACCAGGTCGGAGAATGGCCGGGTCGATGATGTCCGGTCGGTTTGTTGCACCTATCCACCATTATAAACTTTAAGTCCACAATAGTTGCAAAATATGGGATTAAGCGCTTATATGCAAAATTAAGAAAGTCATGGGGTTTTTTTTATTTAATAATATTTAGAGAGTGTATATATAACCAACTTCTCAATTGATTGTTTAGGCTCTCTAAAGCATGGAATCCAACGATTAGATTGATTAAAAAACAAAAATTGTGATCAGAAAGTGTATTGAATGTATTATGAAGATAGTGAGTACAGTTTTCTCAGATGAGTATCAGTAGTAGGAATTTCAAGTCAGTCAGGAGTAGGAACAGTTCAATAGTAGGAAAAAAAAAAGAGGCGTGAAAGTAGATTAATATACATATATGCCCGCTGCTCTTCAGTTTACTCATGATCATGGCGGTTATAACACCGTCAAAATATCGGAAACTTAATAATAATAAACAAAAAGTAAGATCACCTGATATTCTGGCGTATAAACGATAACAAAAAGGTTATAAAATAATGCTTTACCAATAATGAAAACATTCTTCTTGGCGCCCATGCCGTCCATCTCTGTGAGGATCTGATTGATGACCCGATCAGCAGCACCACCCGCGTCTGAAACGGAACCGCCGCGCGACTTCGCGATGGAGTCCAACTCGTCGAAGAACAGCACGCAAGGTGACGCTGACCGTGCCTATGGAAACCAGAGTTACATTAAGGAACATCCATAATTATACAAATCACACCAGTTTCAGTCATTATTACCTTTGCCCCTTTGTTTATGACAGGAATGAGAAAACAATAAATATAAATCATTTACTACAGTGTCATTCTATAATAGTTATATAAAAAAAAGCTTCCAATAATCATACATTGCTATTATTGTAAGGGGAATATTAATTAATTACATAACACCCAATATTTGTCATTAATCGACAGACAAAGAATGTTTATATATTTTTTAGTATAAAAATACATTATTGAAATATTTTTAATATAATAAAGGTTGACTTATCTTCAAAAGAAATTTCTCCCAGTGACACAGGAAGTGATGAATGATCATAGAAGTGCAAATAATAATTGTAAGAAAAGATATAATAAAATAACTAATAAAACAGTACATAATTACAAATTCAATAAACATATATGTAGTATACAATGTATAAATATATCAAAAAAATATATACTTATAATACTTCCCAATCACTCAATTCTATATTTAAAAACAGGATATTCATTGATTTATGTTATAGTTGCTAAACTGATAATTAAGTCAATCAGATAATGTGAAATACCTTATCAAAGATGTCTCGAACATTGGCTTCAGATTCACCGAACCACATAGTGAGCAATTCGGGACCCTTCACTGAAATAAAGTTCGCCTGGCATTCGTTGGCGATGGCCTTAGCCAGAAGAGTTTTACCTGTGAAAATAAAAAAGAAAAATAAGGATACTGACTGCCTTGGATGGGGAGAGAATGTTAATAATTGTAGTAATATTTCTAAAAATATACATTAGTAGGTCGACCTCCACGTGATTCCCCTGGAAACCTTATGAATTCGTCACTATGAGCTAATTGATGTGACCTAATATATAAATTTGATTTCGACATTTGTATGAACAAGTATCGTGAACACCACACACCATACAATATTTTGGCGCATCATCAATCAAAATAGTTTACAGTTTAGTTAAAATTAGATTTCATAATGTACTTTTTGCGCAAAACTATTTGTTATTTCAATTACTAAGTGAAAATCATTTTATGACACGTCTTTAGTCTCATTAATAACTTATTGAAAAGAAATGGTACTTTACATACATAAAGGGCCAATACTTCAGTCCAGGAATATTAAAAAAATCTTATTGCCATGATATTCATATTCAATATGGGTGAATCATAACACTTACCACAACCGGGCGGTCCGTAGAACAACACACCACGAGACGGTTGCATGCCAAACTTGAGGAACTTGTCTGGGTGTTCCACTGGGTACTGCACCAGCTCCTGCAGTTCGCGCTTGACGTTCTGCAAGCCGCCGATGTCGCCCCACGTCACGTTGGGAACCTCCACCACGGTCTCACGCAGGGCCGATGGCGACGATTTCGTCATTGCATACTGGTTGAGTGAAATAAAAAATAAGCATTTATGAATATTTCTTTGATGAAACCAGTGAGTTTGTATAAAATCGGCATGGGTACCTCTATAACACCTCGCTTTGCAACTTGGAATGTTCCAGATTAATAACGGTAAAGTGGCAAATAACATGTCATGATAGTTTGCCATATTAAGAATATAGAATTAGAATTCTTGTTTCTAGTTTAGTTGTTGGCAACAGTTTCCACTTACTATCAAGTGTCAGTTTATCTTGTTTGCCATTCTAGATATATGAAAAGAAATATGGATAGAGATGTGATTACAGGATATATGTAAGAAAAGAACACTAGTATATAATGTAACATTAATTTACAAATATTCTATTACCTTAATATGTAGTAACAAGTAATAGTAAATTCAATGCTATACACAAATAGACAGCTATATACATATTTCTTAGATGGATTATAAAAAATAGAACACAAAGACTCCTTTATTATTCCTTCTTACCCGGAAGTTGTCCATAGAGACGGCGAGCGAGTTGAGCACCTCCGCATCGATCTGATCATCCTCGAGATCGATGAGATCCATCTTTTCACGGATCTGCTGCAGCGCCGCCTCAGAGCACAATGACGCCAAATCAGCGCCAACGTGACCGTGGGATTCTGCCGCGATCTGAAATAAATATATGCATCAATGACAAAAGAACAAGATATGATGTACCTAAGATTCGAAACAATCGAACATAAAGGCAGGTAAAATTAATAGGGGTTTTTAAAGAGTTGAAGATTCAGATGGAATAAAAATTGCAATTTGTGAAAAAATCTGCCTAGACAGTGTTTATACAGGTAATCCTATATAAGCACTCCTATCAGGAACCTTTCTATACTTGTATATAGACGTCAATTATCGTTGATGGAACTTCTAGGATGATTAAGAAAGTTGAAATTTGAAATGAAAAAACTCAGTTGCTGGGAGTGGGTACAAGAACAGCGTTCTCGCAAACATGTAGTCTCATTTTCTCCTAGTTCAAATTGCTATCAAATCACAGTTAAACCTAAGTATTGAACATAAAAAATAGTTTGCTGGCTGTAGTGTGGTGGATATTCTTATATTGAAAAAAAAAAATAGTTACCTGTTCAAGATCGACATCATCTCCTAACTTCATGTTCTTGGTATGAATGCGTAGGATCTCCAGGCGGCCGGTGGCATCCGGTATTCCGATGTCGATTTCACGATCGAAGCGGCCGAATCGACGCAGGGCGGGGTCGATAGAGTTCGGCCGGTTAGTAGCCGCCATTACGATTACATGCGATGATTTCTTCATTCCTATATAATAACCATGTTAATGTATCATCTTCATATAAATATATTTTTTACTTAATCAAGATTATTTTATATTTTAGTAAACGCAATTTTATATTCAACTATTTTATTCAATTTATTTACTGGAATAAGTGTACATATTGGTCTTCTTATATATAAAATTCTCATGTCATAATATTAATTACCATACTCCTCCAAAACGGTTCATCAGATTTTTATGAAATTTTATATGCATATTCAGTAGGTCTGAGAATCAGCTACTATTTTTCATACACTTAACTGATGGTTGTGCCCCCTAACTTGTTTATTTTTTTACGAAATTTTACATTTTTACAATATGGCATTAAAAATACATACAACCCTAAATTTTCACCCTTCTATCAACAACCCCTATTTGTTAATAGCGATTTTAATTTATATGGTAAAACAACGTTTGCGGGGTCAGCTAGTAAACTATAAAGATGTCAATAATGCTCTGCCATTTCCACCAAAAAATCATAATATTATTTTAAATTAAATTATTAGTTTGACAATTACATTATGATACTGAGTTTAAATAAAAAAACTAGCTGCTAACTATACATCCATCAATCCACACTCACAAACTTCCGCGTTTATAACATTAGCAAGATATTCCTGATTACTCACCATCCATGAGTGTCAGCAACTGCGACACAATACGGCGTTCCACTTCACCGTGCGTCTTCTCTCTCTTAGGTGCAATAGCGTCGAGCTCATCGATGAAGATGATGGCTGGAGAGTTCTTGTCTGCCTCCTCGAAAGCCTTACGCAGATTGGATTCTGACTCGCCGGCCAGTTTAGACATAATCTCCGGTCCATTGATGAGGAAGAAGAATGCACCTATGATCGAAAATGAGAATATTAACTGTGGTTTTTTGGGAATTAATTATTTGTAATACCAACTATGGCTATAGTGAACAACTTCAGTTTCATTGAAAATCATGAAATTTTATAATTCTGTCGTATCAAGAGACTGTGGATTATAAACGAATTAAGTGGACTAACAGACAGGCAAATATGTACAATTTGTTCAATTCTATTGAGTGATTTTAATATTAAGTTGTATTTTTTAATATTTTTTAACACCAATTACAGCAACTGTGTCTGGAATGCCTTTGATTGGAATAAAAAGTATTAATATTAAATAGATATCTTCTATTCTATTCTTATTCCCTACACAGCATTAGATTACAAAAAAAAAGCAATATATCAATATGGATATACTGCTATATATACAAGAACGTGTAACTAAAGCTGCACTAGCAAGCTCCTATTAGATTTGGCTGGTTACAGAGAGAAATACGAGTGGTGAAGGTGAGTATTGACGTATGTCGGCAAATAGGCCCTTGAACCATCACTCGGGTCACCAGTCCCGTGATCTCCTATCCGATAAGTATCCTTCTCTGTCACACAATGGACCCAGCTCCTGCCCAGTGAATCCATGGATGCTAAGAATTTTATCTCTGGTAAAATAAGAAACTTACCAGTTTCATTGGCGACAGCGCGAGCGATCAAAGTCTTGCCAGTACCGGGCGGGCCGTACATGAGTATACCGCGCGGCGGCTTCACACCAATCGCCTTGAACAGCGACGGGTGGCGCAGTGGCAGCTCCACCATCTCTTTGATCTGGGCGAGCTGCTTGCGGCACCCGCCGATGTCATCGTAGCCTACAGCATTTAAGGCTTCCTCTTCTTCCTGTTATACAACAATTTAATATCTTAATCATTGTTATTATATTTCATATCTGCTACGACTGAATTCTGATACTGGGATTGATATATTGTAATATCTTTTTGTGTACAAGTTTTTAAGGAATTTCTACCAGTACTACAACTCTTCCCACCATCTTATGTCATCTTAATTGGGGTCAGCTCCCCTAAACATCTCGCCTCTAGAAGCTTCTTATTTGAATTGCCAATGGGAATATAGTTACGAATGAATTTTAAAGAAATTTCTGTAATCAAATCATAATATATACACTAGGAACCACATTCACACACAAAGTGTATTTTATGTTTAAAAATAAACTACAGAAATTCTCAACAATATGTTGAGAGATGAGAGCAGAGAAAGTATTTATTTAATAAAAAGAAACATCACAGGAAAGTCAATATAAAATGTGAAGTGGGCTAACCAAAAAAGAAATGGCAAATCTGTTTCGTTCCATGTGAAATACATTATATAAATTGATATACAGCAGATGACAAAAGCTTGCTAAACCGGATCAGAAGTACACTTTGGATCACATTTTCAGTTTAAAACCACGTCTCCTTATATTGTTATACATTGATAATTTTCTTACTAACCTCACGTTTAATCGGCTCCCCCTCACAATGTATAACGGTATCTGGGGCCACGATGCAGTATGGAGATGGGTCCGTCTCGACCACCTTAAATTCGACGGCGCGCATACCCCCGCGTACCATGAATGTGTCATCGCGATGTATGGGCCTGTATGCTTCCATGAAATACGGCTTCAGATACACTTCGAACAGATTTCTGCAGATAACAAAATATATTATTAACATCCGTTCATACGCATTCTTTGTGTAATTGAATGGTAAACTAGTTGACGGTTCTCCTGATGGTAAGTGGTCGCCTATGTAACAATAATAACCGAGGCCTATTCATACAGCGCCACCAAGTCCCAAACTAAGAAAATAATGTATTATGAGTACTGGACAACTAACATGTATTTATGTCAGTTATCTGATATAAATAAATATAGATACTTATAAAATACACTGACTGATATAAATAATCATGCTCATGAATGAATGAAACCTGTTTACCGCACCAGGAATCGACCCTGCGACCATCGGATAAATGGTCTGCTAAAACCGCTGTACCACCGAGGATATCGATTTACATTTACAAACAACATTATTACTAAATAGATTCAATTAATTCTATTTCAATTTTGTGAATTATAATTAAGCAAAAAAAAAATAACAAGTCCAAATGTAACTTACCCTGTTAACCCTTCAACGGAATCATCAATTGGCAGTATGTGTACCCGTTTGCCATATTTGACGGACGGGCAAGGCGCTATTGATACCACGTCGGAGAGGCGTACGCGAAGGTTGTTCCTAACTACGCGATTCATGCGAATCTTCTCGTCTGGACAGTTGTCGTCCGACAGCACTATGCACACAGTCTCCTTGCGTCGCTTGCCCTTTAGTAGCACTGTGTCACCGCGAAATAGTTGTAGCTGCTCCATTTTTGCCTAAATAAAAAAAATCATATGAACAATATTTAATAATATTTCAGGACAACTTACACAGCGCCATTTAGTCCAAGCTAAGCTTGTTATGGGTACTATAGAACTGCAATGACTGATATGTACAAGTTTTATACATAGAAAACACCCAGACTGATACAAACAATTATACTCATGAATACAAATGTTTATTCCGTGTGCGGAATCGAATCCGCGATCATCGGAAGTAAAGGTAAACCACCGAGGCCGTCTTCTAAATGAATTAATAAGAAAGCACCGATGGTCTACCGGTTATAGTTATAACCGAATATTATGAATATATTTACAAAAAAAAAGTATGTAAGTATTTATCTCATTTGTCAATTTCCCATAACACAATCTCTGGTTACCGTAGAAATAGATGACGCTTTGTTTATTGTCCAGGATTATTTATATCATCATCATCCAATATAATGTACTATATGTAATGAAATTAAAACCTATAATTAGCTTTTATATTGCCAAATACATTGTTGTAATCACAATTTGTGACATCATTGGTCTCAAGTATATTTAATTATATATATACCAATATTATAAAGAGGTAAAACTTATAAAATTATATGTTAGGTCCTATCTCCAGTACTGCTGATCCAATTTTGAATATTCTTTTATTGTTGGATTGCTCATTTAGGATATGTAACATCATGCTATGACCAATAGGAGCAGAACTGCAATAACATAATTACCTAAATGTCGTCTACACAAAGTTAGTAATTTATTCTATGGTAATTGCGTAAGATTTTATAATAAACTGCCAGAATCTACTATAAATCTGACAGAGAGGCAATTCAAAATTTATATTAAACAAATGTTATGTAAAAAAAGCCTATTATAGGATAGATGAATTCATAGATGACAGCAATATCTAGCAAGAATAAGTTTTTTAGCAGACAACGTTATAATTTCTTTTTCATACTGCTTCCTTGAAATATGATAGCGTAGCGGCTTTTGTATTGATTGCCGCATGCATCCTTATATAAAGTGTGAATACTGTAACTACCATATAAGAAATTTAAGTAGCTATGACAAGGTTGAATGGAATGAGTAGTCATAAAATAAAATGGATTGCTCATTTGATGGCTGGGATGAACGGGTGCTGCTTGTAGGAGTGGCCTGCTCTAATCACTAAGACTGATTTCCTCTTATTATATGTTTAACTAGTTGATTGTATATTTCTTATATTTGAGTATTTAATTGAATTAGTGCTAATTGGTAGTTTGCATTCACATTTCACACACTTAAATTTAAAAATGTAAAGTAACAATAAAATTATTTAAAAGAACAACACGCAAGTTTCTTGCTCGTTCTTCTTGTGATGAGTTGAGTTTGACTTGAGTTCTTGTGATGACAGCTTTCCGAATGAGCGGTAGATTAAAAAAATGTGATGACTATTTAAAAGTGCTTCAATGTAAGTTTATTTTAATAAATGATTTTCTATTTCATAATAAATGTTGCAAAACCGGCTATGTTGGTTAGCTAGTACAACGAAAAATAAAGGATGGCTTCTCTGAAAATGTCAGCATCTTGGATCTTAACTAAAAATAGTCAGTCCGATTGATGGCTAATTCTGTGGTTTCTATGTCTATGATAGCTGAATTCTCATTGTCAAATGGCACAAGGTGGTACATAATGTTATGGTGCATAAATACTCATTATATTTTAATTATTCATGTTGATTTCATAAATTGTTGTTATTTGGTAGTAAACATTTACACAAATTTTTATTTAAACATGAATAAGTTGTAAAACATTTGTTTAAAAGTGCAACAAGTTAGTTTGTTTGCTAGCTTAAATTTCGTTCCTATTTGTAATGAAATTTCATCAATGGATTAAAAAAAATAGGGCTATTAATAAATAAATCAATTAGTGAAAAAATTCTACATATTTGTTGGCAAATATTCTTTCCTCAATTTTGTCCCTACAAGATGATGACCTACATTCTAAAATACTACATACTATCCAACAGAATAAGAGCCCAAGTTAACATGTACATTACAGTATAGATATAAGTAATTAATGACTTGACTTTGTGCATTATATTTATTTCCATGTTACTACACTTTACTTAGTACATAGTTAGAGAGATAATCAGGTGCTTTTGGGTTCAATCCTTGTTTCATTTTTCATTAGCTTTATTAATATAAAAAGGTATTAATATAAAAATAATATTATATAAGTACCAAATATAATACTACTTACACAAATTTATTATGAAGATATGTTATTATTGCGTACATGTTTTATCTTTTATAATTATGAATATTCATTAGTTATTATCTTGATAAATTTTGAATAATTGAGCAATACATGATTTGTTCAACCCAAAGGTTAATTGAGAATTTCACTAACATTAAATTACAATTAAAATTAATAATGTCCTGCCTGAGTACAACTAGGTTGTTCAGTTCATAGTTAGAACTAAATGGAGTAATATAAATTAGAAATTGTTAATATTATAATTTTAGAAATAAAAATTATATAACCTAAATAATTATTTTTAGAATTGTCTTAACTGTGTATAAAGTGTCTTTGTATAACAATGAAAATTACACTGTTTCTACTTATTGGATTTACAAGTTCTTCAGTTATAGGTTACATACCATTAAACATTTAAGTAGTGTAGTTATTACATTTCATAGCTTGTGCTGTATATCTATCATATATACATGTAAAATAATAAAAAGTAGATTTTTTTATTTCAGACAATTATTAAATATTGTATATAATTGTATTATATAAATACTTTCAATATTATTAATGAACATTTCATTATGTTTCGGTTTGTAATTACATTTTATTACACAAATACTTTTGAATTTGTGTAATAAAATGTTAAGAGAGATTAAATTTGCAAGGGACCACCCATGCCAATTAAAATTAGTAAAACATATCAAATAAAAATGAATTATTAAAATCAGTTAAGAGTTTTTAGTTCATTATGTAAAATATGTAAGTACATTAAAAAAACTGTTAGGAATAGAAATAATCTTTATAAAATTAAACCTAGAGCACTTTTTTTTATTATTCCACCAATACCAAACAGGTGGAAAGCACATTCAATACAAGAAGAATGAACAACAACTGTGTGTTACTCTTTTATACAAATCTATTGTTCAACTTTACATTTTGTATGGTTTGAAACTTGTGTTATGAACTAAATAGCAAAATTAACAAGAGTGAATATATAGTTCATTGAGTAACAAATTTATTCAGTCATATCAGAGCAGATCCTGCAAACAGCACCCATTCATAAGTACAAAGTACCACTGTTTTTGCTTCCTGTCCCCTTTTTTAAAGTTTCATCGTTAATTATATATCCATAATCTCAATATACAATATATATCTGTACATGTGTTTGTTACCTATATCCTACTGAATTGTTGGATGGTTGGACAAATTTTGAATATATATTTAAATCAAACTGCTTTTCCAGACAGGACATCTACCAAGTCCTGTAGTAAAATATATTTTTAATTTATAATTTAATAAGCAAAGCAGCTATACTTAGTTATTTAATAGTTTAACAGAATGTTATTATAGTTGGCTTATAGGCCAATATCACTTTTGCTACGAACTATTTGTTGATTAGAGGTTAGAATGACTTAACACTATAGATATATTTAATGTCATATACAAATCTAATTTAGTCAAAACTAACATCATATCATATAACTTAATACTACTTATTTGTATGTGTATAATATAATTAATATAAGGGTAATATTAAATAATGCAATTATCATTAATACAAAAAAAATATATGTTCTTTTTGTATTAATGATATGAAATATCTTAATATACCATTAATATTCTGATGAGATGCTCTCCAGGTCACCTTCCTTATGAGTATGATTTATGTATCATTCATTGTACTTCCTTTGTTAGTTAACAGGAATTAAAAGAAAGGAAGTCGAAATTGCAAAACAATAATTTTATGGCCAATGATATCGTAATATTCGTTTTTATGCTGATGCTACTATGGCGCTTAATGGTACATTGAACTTACTTGTGACAAAGCGACGACGGAATTGTCATCGCTGACCGCCTCCTCAACGATCAGACGGTTGGGCCTGTCCTTACGGCGGAGGATCGCGGTCGAGAGATCATCGGGGCTGCACATAAAGAAAATAATTCAGCATGATAACCAAAAGATGACAAAGGGATTGGTCATTAAACAAAAATTCTTCACTGCTAATTAATATTGTTGCTAAATCAATATTGAAGAATACATGGTTGAAACAATGTAAAATAAACCATTGAATATACAAATTTGTTCCTAATTCAGACATGATGACAAGCCAATTTTTCAAAGATTCGTAAACTCCTACCGCTACTCATACGAAGGGAAGAAAACCTTATTATAACACATTTTATTAATTGAATTTGAGACTTACCTCTTATTATCTGCCATTATTTTATTATAAAATAAGGATTTTATATATATTAAATTGTAAATTCACAAGTTTTATAAAATGCCGAATGAAAATGATCAATCACTTAAGTTCTCCACTTCACTTCATGTGCGTGACGTTGCCGTATTTCATTTGTTCATTGATGTGAGTATTGTAGTGTTGCCGTTTGAAAAATTCTAGTTTATGGAACATAGGTTAGTTTTCTATTGCTTTTCGTTAATATCGGTTAATAATTGTATTATTATTGTCAGTAAAAAGTAATATTTGTATAAGTATTGAAAAAAACCTAAAATATTTAAAAAATCCAAAATTCCTTTGAATGCAAGATTGCTTTTTTATTGTGAATATCAATATAAAAATCTTGTGCGTGTATATAGGATTAGCAAGAAATAATAAACAATTTTCTTCTTATTTATATTGTCACAGTTAAACAATACAACTTAATTAATTACAAATTTTAATTTAAATCCCAGCCTTTTCAATTACAGAGCAAATAATCACTATGTTTAAGTAGCTCGGCCGATGTTTAAAATATTAGTGTATCGTTTTATATAGACTACGTAGTTCTGTTACTGTGCAACAATTAAAGGGTATAATTAAAAATACAAAAGCATATTTTAGTAGGTCTGCAGTTAGACTTATATCAAAGATCCAGTATTTTAAGAATTAATGGATGGTAAAATAATTACAACATGATGTGATGTTGATGCTGCATACCTACTTACCTCTCGTTTTGATTTGGTTGTCACTACTTCTGGAAAACTTATAAACTTATGTGTCTAAAATTTAGATGCAATGTAGTACTGATGCTACATCTTATACGAAGTAGGTGGCATGGTTGTTGATCTAACCGGATATCATAAAGTAATCTTTAAGTGGATAACTTATTTTTTTAAAACTACTGTGATGTACCGTTTACGTATTACACAGAATTTTTTTAGGATAGCTTTGTAGGTATGTAAACAAATGTTGCGATTATGCAAAACCGAAGTGGTCACCATGTCAAACGATTCTTCAAAACACAGAATTCGTTAAATTAAACTTAATCCCGAATCAATGACGAATCCATATACTAATAATAATCACGAAATTACTCAGAAGAGATTGTTGTTTGTTAGTTATCATTGCGATATTCTTTTACAGCCCTTTTCATTTGCCTGTTTAATTCAATTTGATCTCTAGCACGCAGTTTTAATACGCATTCAACTACAATATTAATAATTTTGCCGGTTTCTTCATCAATATCTAATTTATCTTCGTTTCCGTAATCTCTTACATCGAATATATAATCGTTAAAAAGCATCTTTTCCCTCAGAGTAAACAAATCATTCATAGTGTTTAGAAATTCTCGTCTGTATGGCATCGGTTTGTCCAATTTAGCTCTGTATCGTATAATTTCAGCTTTTATGTCCGAACGATACATCCGAGATAAGTACCTCATATGTCTGGCCAACGACTTGGTAGCTCTGTAGCCCATCTTGGCTAAATGTCTATTCATAACTCGACAATAACGTGTAAGTTTCTTTTCTGGGAAACTAGTCGATAACAAACTTAAAAGGTTCCCCAAGAAAGTTTCAAATATATTAGCAGATCGTAGTTTTGTGTTCTGTATCACCGATGGATGTGAGTCAGACGGGTTGTGTCGAGATTCATTAATTCCCAGTAATCTTATATTGCTAGATATTTGTATTAAAAAGAAAAATTCTGCTAAAAAAACAAATTTAATACAGGAACTCATGTTTGAAATATCTACTGTCTACAAGGAAATTAAATTATTACAACGAAATCCAATTTCACGGTATGTAACGATATGGATAGAAAATTAAAAGACGCATTAAATCAACCAGGTACCTTGTTCATGTTTTCTTCCATGTATTCTATTATAGCCAATTTGAATTTAAGTATTATATTTCTTCGAATATGATCGCTTTGCATATAAAGCCTGTAGAAGATAAGCCGCTGAAATATCTCTCTCGTTTTGTCTCCTATATGTCTTATTTTGTCTCTACCGTATCTTTTTAGACTATAAATATAATCGTCCATTTTGTTGTCGTGTGAAATATCAAAAATTGAATTCATACCGGCAATAAATACGTACCTCATGTGTCGCGGAGCCGATATTATGCTCATAAAGTTTCTTACTTTACTGATTAATATTTCTCTATTAAGGTACGAAAGTTTCTTTAAACTGTACGCGAATCTATTAATTATATTTTTGACAAAATAACCGGATCCCAAGCCTTTAAGACTTTTGCTTAAAACATTATAATACTTTGGAATTTTACGCTTTTTAAAACTAGTTAACAAAGCATTACAGATGTTTAGAAGAAAATTGTAGAAAGGTCCAATAGGTTTTTTAATAGTAGGTAAAGTAGTTATAACCGATGTTGTTTTGTTTTTTTGACTTATGTTAATAGTACTTTCAATTAAGTTTTGACATCCAGTAGATTCATCAGGGAATTTCGCATCATTATCAAAATTAGCGCACCGACTCACGTTTCGGGTCACCACAATATCAAATGCACTTCTATTACCTTCATCACTATTAGTACTTTCATCTGTTATTTCAAAGTAATCACCATGAAAACGGTCTATTGCATAACAAACGAATACAAGATCCATTAGACTCATCTGAATATAATTGAATAATTTCATTTCCCTGTTGTTTTATTTGTATTGACCAATTTACATAACAATCCAGCTGACTGAAATGGACAGACTAAATAGTGATTACATGCTCACTGAAGTGTGGGTGAGCAATTTTATTATACCTTGTTATTTTTTATAGACTGTGCTGTACAAGTATTTAAGTATTACCAACTACTAATGGTAATAAAAAATATCGTCACGACTATCATTCCAGATGGGGTAGTATGAGATATTGTCCACTATCGATGTCCCGATAGAGACAAAATTTGACATTCACCATTTTGTCAGGCTCATTATCGTTATCGGTGTTTCATGATCATATTTTTAGCATTGACTAAAATCGATACAAAACTTTTGACACTAGTTAAGATAGTAGTCCACGACACCACGACGCGCGTCGCTTTCAGAATAATCTTAATTTTTTAATAGATTGGTAGTAAATTCATGTTTAATCATATGTAGATCACAAATGTATTAGGTACCTAACTAGTTTAACTATGCATCATCCTGGAAGCTTCTTATAGTGCACTGCACTACGTATCGCAAAGGCCAATTTTGACAAACAACTTGGCGACCAAATTAATAAGATAACAAATTTTAGCCAGCAGAACTTTTTGAATCTAGGTATTGTTATACGTATGGCACTAGATATTTACAGAATTTTAGAATAAACAAACAACAATTTAATTAAGTGTATTTATTTCATTCATTTATTCTTTATTATACACTAAAACTTATACAAAAACTTGTTCCCAGTAATTCTAATAGGTATCTATAGGTATCAATTCTATAGGTATATTTTGAACAAAAGTTCTAATATAGTTAGAACTTTTGTTCAAAATATACCAAGGTTATTTTATCTGAAGTTAGTACAGTTATCTAGGATAAAAAGAAACTTCGGTACCCGTCTTCTTGTTCACGTTTCTAATTCCAAACCAAGTTCTGGTAAATTTCATAATCTGAAATATTAAAAATAAAGATTAATTGATAAACATATCCATTCATTAGACATAAACTAAAATATAGAATGAACTTTTCATTTCTCTTCAAGTAGGAGAACATTTTTTCTGGACAGATTTAGAGGATTTTATTATTGATATAACTGTACTCCTGAGTTGGTCTAATTTTATCACCAGTCACCATTTATCTAGCCCTTTCTTGTCCAGCATTTTGACTTTCAGCCTGTTTCCCAGATCGTTTACCATCCTGGTGAAATCAGAAAACAAACAAACAACTGGAAAGAATATTGTCTTTTGAGGTGTTTGTTTTCTTTTCGTTCGGTAATATGTACTTAATGTAGATTCATACCTGCCAAATTATAATAGTGATTAGAGCAGCCAACAAGGAATCTCCTGCGATCATAACCACGCTACCGAATATCATAGCATCAAATGTAGCCAGAGTCCACTCCTCACTCCACCTACCAAAAACAGACGTACCATATTTTTGGGGTTTTATACTTAACAACTTACCGGTTTAGCAATTTAGCACGCCGCTTTAATTCCGATGGTGCAAGCACTTTGAATTCATGAGTATGCTTGATTGTATCGGTCTGGGTTTTTTCTATGTATGTTAATTATGTATTCACAAATAATAAATGTATCTATGTATTTATATCGGCAGAGCTTGTATTATGAACTCATAATACAAGCCTGCTTAGCTTGGAACTAGATGACGCAATGGGAACTATATAAATAAAATGGAACTAATGTTTTCGATAGCAAAGTAGGTAGAGTATATAATATTAATATTATATTCTAAATAGAAAAATAGTATAACTAAATATATATATGTGGTCTACTATATTATAAAACATTATTATTCGTTCATCAGATTATAGGAAAATTTGTTTTTAATGTATTTTTCCTTTATTTACCAAAATATTTAATTTCTACAATTAAATACGATTTATATACAATTAGTCGATTTGAATTGGAAAGTATCATCTATACATATAAATAAGATTGGAGTGCCTGTTTGTAATACAGTTTTTTACTACATGCATATGTAATATAAACACGGTACATACACCAAAATATTTTTTTTTACAATTTTTGTCTGTCTGTCTGTTTGTTCCAGCTAATCTCTGAAATGGTTGGACCGATTTTGACGGGGCTTCTTTTGGCAGGTAGCTGATGTAATAAGGAGTAACTTAGGCTACTTTTATTTTAGAAAATGAAAGTTAAATCCACGCGGACGGAGCCGCGGGTACAGCTAGTTTATCTATAAACTATATCGATATCCCGGAACCTTTCATTCATCCCATTCATCCCATAAGAGATCCACCTCAGCATTATGTCGTGACTATAGCCACGACCCTGATTTTCAGTGAACCCCATTAAGAAAGAAGTAGTATACAATATCTTAAAGTATGTCTAATAGTAGGTATTACCGAGAAGTCATTTCTTACCACGTCACAGCAAAACAAGACGGCGCAGCATCGTAAGGGTCGTACAACAGGACACTAGTGCTGCCGGATTCCCTGACAGTCAACTCGATGTCTAATAATCGCTCTGGTACTGACCGTTCGCTGGCCACCCAGTTTAAACCATCTAAAGCCTAGAAATACAGTTTAGTATTTTACCAAATAAGACTTGACTCATAATTAAAAGTTATGAATAAAAGTATTAATTAATTTCCCTTTTTAATAATTTATTCACTACCAGATTATGATCTGGCTGGCTATCAAGATCTACTTGCATCGTTGAGGGACACTCGTGATAATGTGATATGACGCAAGTTAAGGGACGCTTATATCATCAGGCGAAACGTATGCTTAAATGTTGTACAATAAAGTTTTTCACACTAAACTTAGAAATCCTGATTATATATGTAAAAGTAATGTTTTAAAAAACATTAAGATAAGATTTCAAAAAATGTTATCCTAAATTGTATTTTGTCTTAAAATTAATCCACGCTAGAAATATCATTAAGGCAGGTATATACTTCGAATAATTTAACTTACTCTTTCAAAGAATGCAGCCAGAAATCTTGATAAAAGAACCTGTCTCGAAACATTTTCTCCTAAGAAATCTGGAAAAATATGATAAATTTACATAGTATTTCAATATTTATTATTCTTATATAGACGCATTGGTACGCCGTGTCGACTTGTAATACCTTAGACTTGAATCTTGACAGACTGAAATTTAAATATCTCTTATATTATTTATATAATCTGGTTCGATATTTTCGATATAAAATAAAAACTTTACTTAAATAAAGTATGAACCTTTTTAGTATAAGAAGTAATGAATACATCTGGAATATATTATAGTACATATATATATCTAACGTGGTCGAGGATGTAGTGTTTGATTGCTTTACTACAATTACTATAAGTTCGAATCTCATTTTATGTTTTCTTAAAACCTGACTTCATACTCTTCCTATTATCCTCCACTAGCCCTGTCATAAATCTTTTCCGCCTGTAGGTGCACCATTCTATTACCTTCCAGTAGTATCATCTAGTTACTACTAGAGAGATATTTTTTCTTATGGATGGTGATAGTGATGATGTCTAAAATAAAAAAAATCTACATTCTAACAACTGAGGTTTTAAATACTGTAAATAGAGATAAGGTTTTAAGTAAGATTTAAGATGAGAGATCTATCAGTTGGTCGTATCTCTTAAATTTAATATTGAATTATTTTCTTACCTGCATCCTGACTGGACAATTGTTTATATACGGCCCTGTAACAAGAATATGTAGTTACTAGACTTTAAAAAGACATTGAACAGTAGTAAATTCCTAATTTGAATCTATTTTTATACATTTACAGATAACTATGTAAATTCCAGAGTTACGCAAAATAGTTTACAAAATTTAAATACAACATGGAAATACTTTTTGGTATTTGCATATCAAATACAAATTGCAAAAAGTGAATCAGCCCTGATTTCGCTGCAAACGATATGATTTAAAAAGGCAAGGAATGAGACATGATAATTTTGTATTTTTATAACTTACCTTAATTGTGGAGCAACAACCACTCGGCACATCGCCAGCGGCCCTACCATCGACCTTAGTTCCTTTGAGTCATCACTCCTTAAAACAAATAGATTTTTTTGCATAGGTAAATATCTTAATATATTTTTTTCGTCTATTAAGCCTTTTTTTTTTTCTTTCGATGTGTCAGATAATTAGCAAATTCTTTATTCATTATACACTATCTTGTAAATACGATAATAGTATAAAAGTTAAAAGTATATAAATATAGAATTAGCTGCCAGTCCGTCAACCATATACCTACGACTACATTTACGAAAAAAACAAAAGAAGTAATTTTCAGAGTTCCTCATGTAAAAATGGAATATGTGTCTATGAAAATATTACCTAGGACGCCTAAGGTACTTAACTTTGGATGGTTACAACATTGTTCTGAGGTTAAAACAATATTGTTAATCTATTTACAGAGCAATTAACACTACGATTTATGAGAGTTGGCGCCGCCCTTTTGGGAATGAAGACAAAACTGAATCTATATATCAACTTATAATATGTAGATGACAACAGAAGCTTGCAGAGTTTCACACAAAAAATGTTTTGTTTTAGCACTGGTGTCAATATCAGCAATGGGTACACCGAAACAAAAGCCAGTAGCAGTATTTATGATTATAAATATAAAAATGAAACATAAGGATATAAAATGGGAAAAAACTCGTAACACTGTGACAATTTTTATATAAAGTTTGTCCGTTAGTTTTGCTATAATATATAATCCTGAACTACAAGTTATTGTAATTTAAATTGTTTTTTTACATATTTGATAATGTATTTATATATATAATAAACAAATATTATAAAATATTAAATGTAAGGTGATTCGATCTTAGATTTAATATAATATTATTAATTTATAAGCACTCACCGTCCATGTATATAGTGAGCGTAATATTCATCTTGGAACACTAATAACGATAGTCCCACACTAGTACATAATTTTGGAAGAAAAGATGATGGGGGATCGAGGATTTTGTTCAGGATAATCCTAAATAATAACACCACAATGTAGGCACTCCACCAAGCTATTGCTGCTACACTCCATTTGTATCCTCGACTTGGAGGCAAGGAATCCTGCCATGTAGATGACATCTAGTGAAAAATAGTAGGGATTAATCGCTTTCGACCTATATAAAGTGTTTTCAAGGCAATACACAAATATTAACGTGATTGGATCAGGAACGTTCCGTGAAAACGTCTTTGACATTAATAGGAATAACATAGCCATAGGAAACTAAAATCAGGAGCAATATTGGAGCAGTTCTGTTCTGATCTTTATGGATCATCTCATAGTGTGATGAGAAATCAGCCCTGACCTCACTACACACGAGGCGATCATAACAACTGTTCCTATATCGATTGATATTGTCCCTCTGATTTTAGTCTCGTGTGTAGCTCGTTTTAGACACTCACATATTGACATTTATAACTAAAAGAATATACCAAAATAGCAACTTATTTACAAATTGTCCTGAATTAATTTTTGATATTTTTTTTTTATATTTGTCTAATCCTAATTTTATCATAGTTAAATATCTAACTACTTACATAGTAAATAAATAATGCTAAAGTAACAGTATATCCAGGCGGTGCTCGTCTTTTGGTTTGCATGTCACTCCACTCTCTCGCTAGTGCTGTAGTTTTGTAATTATTACATGTATCAGAAGTAGAGACATCTGTGAATATATATTTTTTTTAATTGCGAGTATAATACCTATTGGTATTATACTATACTAAAAGGATGTTATGTACCTACTAATTATAATTAAGTAAAAAAAAGAATCTACGATGTACTTAGTTGAGTTTCTTGACAGTTCTTTTTAACTGAAGTAGCTAGCCGAACAGGATGGTAGGGTTAGTGATACAAAATTATAATTTGCTTTAGAGGCCGAAAGGTATATGAATAATTATTTTTTTTATTTTAATTTTATAAAGACTTTCTACAATACTGGAGTTAAAACCCCGAATCTACACAAAGTATTGTACGGTAATGTGCTTGTACTTTATATAGGATGGCTATCCAAAAAAAACATTACCTAAGAATGCTTTTATCCTTGTCATATATTTCTGTCAGTGTTGAGGTTTAATGAGTATCGCACACAATAGAATTTCGTTACTATTGTAGTTTCATAAATGTTTTTAAAGAGATATATGTGAAATAAATTATATGACATTAGCATTGTAAATAATATCCGTTAAGAGGCAAACCATCTATTCTGTACTTAAATAACTAACACGTAAATTAATATTTAATTATCAATTAATAAAAAATATATAATACCTCTTTCGTATGATGAGTTATATTCTGTCCAATCCAAGAAAAATATATCACAAATGCTTTGCTTCCAATTTAACCAAGCTACTTTCAGAAACTAAAAACATACACAAATCGATAAAATTACTTTCTAAAGATCATTAGAATCTAAGCAAGCTAGATTAATTATTGACTTAAAAAAAGTTATTGTGAAATATTAACATTACTAAATTAGAATATTTATATTATTCAAACATTTTACCCACTATTTATTATTTTGCTGTTGAGAACAGTGATCGATTTTTAATGTATTCTGCACAAAAAATATATACAATACCTACAAATTAATATGACTTTTTAGATTTGTTATTGTATCAATATTTTGATATATACAGTAGGTCAGTTATTATTATAATGATGATGATGATGATGATGTAATCCCGACCGATTTCGGCCACGGCGACTGTCTTCAACTCCAGTTTTGCCGTTGATGTGTTCGCATATGGCTTATGTAGCCAATAAGCAATAATCAAATCAAATATCATAACATTAAAGTGCCTATTAAATGAATAGTAAATATAATAGACTTGGCATCGAGAACAATGTAATGTTGAGTACATGGTCCTTAGGCAATATATATATAGATATGCTGATATTACCTTCAATGAAACTGCAGAGTACACAAAAGCCCTCAGTATGTACTCTTCAGTTTTTGATAACGGTAACGTCATTCCCAACGTGCCGGCTTCGGCAGCCAGGGCATGCAGTGTGGATAAAATCGCCGCCTGATGACATAATATACATAATAATATGTAGGTAGATAGATATTATTAGTAACGTGCTGGGTCCATAACCCAGAGGTCCATGGATCGAAACTACGCTCTGCTACGATATTTTATTAATATTCCACTGCGTTTCACTTTAATAAGAAACACTTTCTGATTTCTAATATTAAATATTACGTTTAATGTACGAATGCTCAGAAAAAAATTCTAAAGATGGTAAACATAATAAAGATTGATACGAAAATGCTGTGTTGCTTTGGTCATTCCTTCATCCATCATTCAAAGAGATGGATGAATCATTATTTATACCTTGGCGTTTTATTGTTTCTAACGTATCTATCTACTCTATGCATTATCTACTTCATCCTTCCATAAACTAACCTGGCCCATTGGGATTGCTGTATGTACATATTTAACAGCTATGATTTCAATAACGAAGATTTATATTTGTAAGTCCGGATATATTAGTTAACTGATTTTCTGAACCTGTATATATATATATTTATGTAAGTGAAATAAAACACTATAATAATAAAAATAAAATACTAATAAATTTAAATTTTAATTTAAAAAAATAATATATATATATATTAATACAAAAATGTTTTTTGACGTGCGAGAAATCGAACCCGCGACCGGGAAATAAGGCCGTGTGCAAAACGGCTTGACCACCGAGCCGTATTATCATTTTTATGCTGCATTATGAGTTACAATAGCTAACAATACAATTAATAAGTTGTCTACGTGGCATGTTATTTGTGATCTTGATCTTCCGAAAAAGTAAATCCTAAGGAGTACCACTAACATTATACAACGAGACCGACATGAAGTCAGTTTATCTGCCATTCCAATTAGGTATATTAATATTTTATTGTTCTGTATAATACTCAAAATACATGGGACTTCATTATTATTGAAAATGTACCTGCATATTCTATATATTTTTTCTGTTCAATGTATCATTCATAATTGGTTTGAACCAACATGGTTGACCATGTAAATTGGACAAACTGAAACAGACGGTCATTTTTCACACGTTTACTACCGTAGAATGTATGAGCAAAGTGGAATAGCTATTAAAAGTCCCGTCCGGCTCTACCAGTGCCTACTGGTATGAGTTATATGGGTACCTCCTCTCAGGGTTGCTACTTAGTAGCCGTGAGATCATATCTGCGGCACATGGCGGTAAACTCTTTCTGTGATGAAGTCATTATTATGTGGTTTTCCAGAAGTAATTATTAATAAAAGACAGGACGCAGATTTATTAACATATTATTAATCCATCTAGTGAAGGAGGCGGTGGAGAGAGAGTAGGTATCTGATCCTGTCGATCCACTTATCCACTGCTGAAGATTCCGGGCAAGAGGCAGGGGTATACCTAACTCCGCACCCCCTCTATCCACAATTGGGGCCAGAATGCTCGCCTTGAGTGAGACAACGCCCCAATCAAATAACCCCGGAGTCATGCACGTGTCCACTATTTCACCATTGTCTATGGCGAAATAGGTTGCCCTAACCCCGTGACTCCGGTATCGGCGGCTTGTAGATACAAGATGTGTTTTTTTAGTGAGTAAGAAGTTCACACGACCCCGCACCTGCGACTGTTTTTGTGAAAGTTTTACAATATTTAAAAAAAAGAATTGCCAACTTTAAATAAAAAAGTATTCCTCTACAAAGAACTCTATAAAGAACCTTATACAAAGAAACATAAAATATAATAACATTTCGTACATTAGCTAAGCTCGTACGTTATAGTATTTTGACCATTTTCGTTGAGAAACATTTCATATAAACCTGTATGTTGTATGACAATGAAAATGATATAGTAGCAGGGCATAAAAAACCACTGTTTGAACGGAGATTTTTGTACGGATGGCATCCTTGGTACATATTCACACATAACTCATAGCGTAGCCGTAGGCGTCATTATAATAAGACATATTTGAAAAATATATCGGAACTCTGGTCTAGTTCAGGAATTTCATTCCGAAGAGATAATATCTCGTCAATATAAGTATAATATTTTTTACATGTGATCCGTTATACAGTAGTAATACTATTATTAGTAACAGTAGTAGGTAGTATATGTACTAATATAATAAAGAGAAAAAATAAGTTTTGTTTATTTCCGTTTGTTTGAAGTGAATAAACTCCGAAGATATAAAAGGTTTCCCGTTCTTATAAACTTTATATTCATTGTAGCTGTTACCCGTAAGTCGTAATCTACCTGCATAGCAAATCTCACCAAGAGTCGTTCTATCGTTTAGTCGTAAAAAGATAACAAATCGACTACACTTTGGCATTTACATATAGTATAATTCACTATCTATTCTACATGGCTTTCGTAGAACACACCCTTTAAGATTAAATCTGTATCATTTTATATTTTACATGATCTTATGACTTTCATACTTACAAAATAAAGGGTATCGGCAATAGACCCGGCCAGTAGGGGCACCAAAGAGAAAAGTAAGCCACCTCTACGTAACTCCCCTCGCCATTGTACCAATGCGTACAATGCCAGCAAAGAACCAAGGACCGCGCCCCATATCTGAAAGTAATCATAGTATTGAATAAAGTCCACAAGGTTTTTTATTTATATAACAAATATTATTCTGGGTTTGATTTATATCCTATCGAGGGAATTATTTCATTATCTATATTTAATGGTAGTTGGGTCCGCGTGTTCATATTTAACCAGTGGTATTTGTAATAACTATGCTTTATAACTTCTTCAATATTGTTTTTGTTGTTTATTTGTTGCTAGCGACCCGTCTCACATTGGTCGAAAATGAATAAAAGAGGCATTGCATTTTTTTTAAATAGCGTAATTATGCCAATCATCCTCATATAAAACTGTCATACAATTTTTGTTGGAACTAATATTTGGACAGTAAAAATATAATTCTTGTTTTTCTTGTATGGCACGCTAGACCTTATGGTCAAGTCGATCCCCCTTTGACTACCTAAGTTGTTATCTATGAATCCAAATCACGAAGTTGTACATAAAGTGACGATCCGAGAAGATAAATGGATCCAAAAAATGTACCAATAATCTACCGTAAAGAATAAGCCTTGTATAACAAAATACGTAATCTATATATATTATTGTTTTTTTATATTTTAATTAGGTAATTTAACCTTTTACGTAACGTCACATAATTAGAAATACATAATATAGCATTATTATAATATTTGAGATATAATTACTGATTGTATTGGTTAACGGAGTTTTGTTGAAAAAACGATCACTGAACTTTTATAACGCGATCCAGTTCAGAGAGTTTAACTTCGCATTCATAAATTGAGTTTCAAATTGAATTTCAAAATTGAATGAACAGAAGGGTAATGTAATGGACAGTTAAATGTAGATAGCTATACATAGTCCATTTTTAAATCGTTACAACTGTTTACCTGTTTGGAAAGTACTCACTCAATCCTGAGGAGATAAAAACTATCACTGCTAAAAATATCCTTAAATTCTTGTACTTAACAGATCTAGGCAGCGAACTCTGTAAAAATGGCGAGCCCAATAGATCGAAGTGATACAAGTCTACAATAGCCCAAATATCTCAATAAAAAATACAGTTTGGACGCTATAGCGCCCAAACTGTATTTTTTAGATTTAATTGAATGTCATTTTATAAAATGACATTCAATTAAATCTAAATTTCCAAATTTATACTATTTGATGATGTACAATTGGTCGTCAAGATATTCCCAGCAACAGTGAATTTTACTTATATTATCCGTTTAATTTGAGTTCATAAATTATATTCACAACGCTAACATAGAAATGTTTACAAACATCACTAAAACCAAGGGTAATATCGGAGCAGTAATTGGGAACGTCCTGGAACGCTTTCTAAATCGTCTCGTCTGTAACAAAATCAGTACCGATTTCTTATTCGTCCAGTAGGACCAAAGAGCAGTAGCTCCAAAATTGCCTCTAATTGTAGTGTCGCGTGTAATGTATTTAATTTTGTTGGACATATTCATTGTCAGTTTATAAGAATTTATTAATTATTCTTACCTCTAAACCTCTAATGACTCCAGCACTGGGCATATCATGTACCACCGTTAATGAAGTTGTAACTACATCAGTGAAAGGCGATAGTGTAGCATATTTCAATTCTACCATAATTCGACCCCTCAACGAACTCGATTTGTACTTCTGTCGTTGTATCCTATAATTTAGGATTTAATTTTACATATTAGGTACATAGTCTAGGTATATCTACATGGGAAACCTGTGTCATTTATTTATTCTATTATAATGTCAGCCTCGGTGGTCTAGCAGTTTGACACACTTCTCTTTACTTTCGATGAGCGCGATTTCGATTCTTCGCACAGTGTTTCTAACATTTGTATTCATGTGTATATTTGTTTTTATCGGCCTAAATATTGTCTATATATATCATGTATGTATTAACAAATTAAATATCTATATATTTATATGCGTAGTCTAGTGTCCATAACACAAGCTATGCTTAGCTTGGTAGTAGATGACCCTGTGTGAAGTCTACAAAGATATTATTATTATTCTGCAGCCACAACCAGCAAAAGTATTATTATGTAATCTTTGCAAAAAGTCCTCTGCGTGAGTGCCTCAATTCATGAATCAAGCAGGTTGATTTGCGAAGTCTTGATATAAAGCAGTGGAATTAGAAGATAAAAGGCCATACCATCCGTCCATCCATACTATTAGTCATATCGATCGGATGGGGTGCATCCGATCGATACGACCAATTCAATTGGAGATCGATATTACAACGGCTCGACCCCAAGCGATACTCTCAGACTAAAGTCATATCCATCAGGCAGAAATTAGCCTTCAGCTGCTCTATAAGTCTTTCCGTGGATTTGGAGTGTCATCTGTACTCGCTCCTTATCGTACGTTGAAACTGTTAAGCCAGCTGTGGCCAACAGCGTTAGAATAGTTCGAAAGAAAACTATAATTAGGTGGGCCGTCAGCTTGTTTGCCATTCAAATATATAAAATAAAGTCAAGTGCATGGAGGTATGGCACGGCTTGGAATTAATAGTTTGTTTTGTATAAACCTATCACGCTGATGGCGTAATAAATGTATTGGAACACAGTATCACAAATTGGATCATGTAAAACGGGATTTTAACGCCCACGCCACTAACTTGAATAATCTGACCGTAATACGTGCCATGCCACAAAGTAAAATGCATGAACAACATTGTTTTAATTTATCTATGTAAAATTCTGAACTTCTAGAAATAGTAAGTCGTTTACTATATCCATGCATATTATTATTATATTAAAAGTGTGATTGCTTATCTGTTTGTTATGTTTCATGAATAAACGGCTTAACGGATCCTAGTTACAGGAGACGAACAAAGGCTATCTTTTATCTAAAAAAATAATTTAGAAAGGGTAAAATAGGGAATTTATAGTTTGTGCTGACGAATTGCATGCGACTGTTATTATGAACTTACATCCTTATTCTTACTAATATTATAAATGCAAAAGCAATTTTGTCTGTATGTCTCGGTTTCATGTCAAAACTACCGAACCGATTTAAATTAAATTTGGTACACAGAGAGTCCCTGGGAAAGGACCTAGGCTACTTTTTAATGCAAAAAATGGTTAAGGTAAGGGATTGAAAGGGGAGATAGAGGGTTAAATTATTGAATATTTTTCTTTATTTGGTCAACGACTCTATAACACGCGGACGAAGACGCGGGCATAGCTAGTATAATATATGTAATGTGTTAAGCTTAAGGGATATCGTTGTGAACCAATTTCGATTAATCTGTTTGCGAATAATATGGCTTACACACTCATAGTAATTGCGTCATGCATGATTGGCAGGCAATATATTTTGTAGAACAAATATCTGTTTGTTTTTTATGAACTAGGTTACAATATTAACCTATTTACATAATTCTTAGATGTTAGAGACATACGAAGTTAAAGTAACAGTGTAATATTTATTTAGAAAATAAATGTTAAGTTACTTGGAAGAGCGACATTGAAGCGTATTCTTTATTTGTATTTCTTTTGTTTTGTGGTCTTCAAATATTTGAATTAATATTTTATATTTATTTGACTGTGAGGTAAACAATACAGCTTTTGTAGTGCTACGAAATGTATGGATTCGTTTCGTTATACAACTTTGACGAAATACCTTTGATTATCTACTTACCTAAAATTGAATAGGTAAAGGACGTATTGTTATTTTATATTTACTTATATAAAATGCAATATTATTATTTTATATGCTGATTTTTAGTTAATGACAATGTAATGATAGATCCGCCTGCGCTAACGATTTACGCTGGAGGAAGGAGTGAAGGAGAATAAGATGATCATAAGGTCAGCTCAGTTACGTCATCCTGACAAATTCACCCGGATTAGAAAATCTAATACATGAAATCAATTGACTCTTTTAGTTAATTTATTTTTAATAGTGATAACAAGTCTTTTCTGTAGGAAAGTTATTAAACAACTACCAGGTATTACGGCAGATCTTTTTTTGTTTTATTAAATTCACAATAAAAAGTGATGATCTACGCACAATACGACAATCCTACTATATTCATTGGTTTTTATAAATGGCTCCTATAATCTAAGAACAATAAGGTCCTGTAAAAAAAATTTTAAATATCGACGGAATAACAACTTGTTAAATATTGACTTGTTTAAATTTAAATAAAAAATAAGCCAGAAAAAAATACAGATTCGGAACTGGAATTTATTCGAATTAAATTGTTTCCAACTAAATGCGAAACAAAAGCGCCGCCACCGACAGAAAACATTCCCTTGTTAACGAATCACAACGAGCAAATGAAGCAAAAACAGTATAAATCTGAAGCGAATTTTACATAAACAAAGTTCCCTCATCAGAATTTTGTTAAACGAAATCTAAATCCACCTGTTGTTTTCATTTTAAAGTCAAATAGATCGTTATTAAATTCTAACTACAGGTATAATAATAAATTTTCATAAACATATTATTTATAAACTTTTCCCCGAGGTCTTTCTGTAATCTGCTCATTTCATTAAAAGTTATGTTCTTTACATAAACACGTCCATTATATATAATATTATTTTTCGTAGATAATTTTCACTTCCAAGAAAACAATAGTTACAAATTTAAATGAAAATGCTTATCTATACCATCTACATTACTTCGTTTGAGTTACTCATTTACTAAGACTTTCAGTTGTAGGCCAAAAAGTTTGCTTTGTAAATTGTTTCGTTTGTAGGGTGCAAATTAGATAGTGAAATTACAAGATAAGAGGCATGACATCTTAGTTCTAAGGAATGGCATGCAATGGCGGATCCAGCTTTGGCGCCTGGAGGGGGTCACATACTGGTGATCAAGTCAAGAACTTTAAATGTAGTTACATAAAATCTGTATGGTGACAAAATATATAGATAAAATCATTATGTTCAATTAGTGGTCCACCTAAGCCCTGGAAACAGCTCAGGTGGGGAGGGGAGGGGGGTCATGATCCCCTGGATCCGCCATTAATGGCATGAATGGTATCTCTCACACATCACACAAGGTAACGTTATGTTAGTGCTGTTCATGCACATAGGCGACAGTTACCACTTACCAGCTCAGCTTGTTTAACATTTCAATTACTTAAAAAATTAAAATGAAAATACTCACTGTATTCTAATATTCATCGATCTTAAATATACCGTGTTGGTTTCATTTTTACTAATCGATAAATAGTTGCCTACCAGAATATATCGTCTAAACATATTTGTAGGCCACGTGTCTTTCTGAAATCATAGAAAAAATCTTATTATCTCTGAATTTAGTTTATGTTAGTGCATAGAAGCTGCTAAACACTTACTACAGGTTCTTAATGTTAAATCTTTATTTAAAAGACTTTTAGGATCGACGAGTTTCGTAAATTCTTATTTGTACATTTAATTGAAATTATCGTGCTTTAGGGATTATATGACATAATTCTACTTAAAAAATCATCGATAAATTAAAAATTCCGTCTTATGATTAATATTGGTCTCATTTCTTCGTCTATAAAATTTAATATTTCTAAAGTATTTTATTGAACTTACTTTAGAAAACTTTAATACCGTTATATTCAGGATAACTCAAAAAGCAAAATAAATATTAAAATAGGTTCACTAATATAAAAGTTCTTAGATAACATAAAAAAACCCAGTCGACTTGAAACACAGAACATCTGAACCTTTTTTAAGTCAGTTGAAAATTAAATCATAGGATCTTTATAAACGATAATTCCTCTTAAAAACTCACCTGGACGTAGGAACGACTTGTTTTGCGTATCATAACTGGTATCGTTCTCAATTCACCATCCATAACATTAAATATTTCAAATGTGCTATCATTATCAATAGAAGACAATGTCGAAATATTTATATTGCAATTGTATCTGTAAATTTAAGATTTATTGGAACATGTAATAATAAAATATTACATTATAAACATATTTTAGGTGCACAATATAATAGAGATTTCATTTCTTATTACTAACTAAATGGATGTATATTCATTAATATCACATAGAAGAACACCTCGGTGATCTAGCGGTTTAGCATACCTCCTCACATCTCATGATAATGGGTTCGATTTCTCGCACGGTACAAGAATTTGTATTTAGAATTATGATTGTTTGTATCGCTCTCAAACAACTAGATAACAATAATATGTAGAGCATAATACAATTGTTAAATCAACCGTAACAAAAATACAAGAATTTTCCTCAAGAACATTTTATTCACTGCGACGAAATTATTACAACGTCGACGCGGTAGTAAATTCTACTTTATACAAAAAGAATTATGAAAATCCTTTCAGTTTCCATAAAGATATCGCGTAATATAGACAAAGAAATACCGATGAAGCGAGAATTCCTTCCTTTTGACAGTCAGTTGAAAAGAAAATATTCAAGCGGATAACTTACGAAAAATCATTGCCGATTATTATTTTAATAGGTGGAAGACATAATAAAGGTTTGCGGTCGTAATCGTTTAGAAACTTCACACCTCCTTCTGACGTATACACTGCTACTCCCAATAGGAAACCAACCTGACAGATAAAATTACAATTAAATCGACTTTCAAGACTTACCATACTGTGTATTCAGACGAACTCGGTGGTGCACAGTGATGCGCAACCTATCATTTGCGAACCCCATTTTTTTCGAAAAAATTTGTCGCGATCCCTGAGTATAGAGTAGAAGTTTTTTTTAATAATCAACGTAGTTAAAATGAAACTATTTCTGAAATTTCCTTTTATTAAATGTTTTTACACAACGAAGTTAGTTTACCTACGTGAAGATATTTATTAGTACGATACTTAGAAAAACATTTATTGACATCACACCAAGATTACGCATCTCTATACAAGTACAAGTTTTATTTTTTATATAAAGTTCTTTAAATTTGGTGATTCGGAAAATTTTTCAAACAGAGAAATTTAACAGTAGCACCCAAAACCTACGGGTTGCGCACCACTAGTCTAGCATACCGCCTTGCTTCCGATGGTCGCGAGTTAGATCCATCTCTCTAACTGTTTTCTATGTATGTTAGTATAATTTTATTTGTCTGTTTCATTAGAAATGCAAAAACGACTAATGTTCCGATGGTTTCCGATTAGTGCATCTTTGGATAACCTTACGCCTGGCCGACTGTATAAACGACTTAATAATATTTTTTTCTTTAACTAACACATTTTTTCTATACCACGCAGGTTGCAATCAAGTACGGCCCATCTGATGGTAAACCACATTTAACTGTATACTAAAAATACATTAAAAAAATCTAGACTAATCTCATCAAATAAAGTGATTTATCGAAATGTATTGCATCTCCAGCACAAAAATATTTATCACGGGTAGTATTTATATTACCACGTATAAAAAAATAGTTTATCTTATATATGGTATTTAATTGATTTTTTTAGTTTAAATTAAGAATTTGAACTTACCTTTCCTACAGAGAGATCTATATCGCCTGGTTTGTTATCAACTGTCTCATCTAATGACAGATGCGGTAACCCTGTGAATATTATTTCGTACTATATATTAATTTATAATAAATATACAGAATGTAACAAATTAAATACTTACTGCACTTTGAACTACTACTTTGCCCCATGCATTATTTCAATAAATTTACAAACAAATTACATACTGAATCCTTCCTCAGAAATCACATGTTAATAGATAAAAATCGTGTTAAGATCCATTTGTTAGTTTCTTTTGATGGACTTTGTTTTATAATATGTAAGTATATATAAATAAAAGCAATAAAATTACAAGGGATGACAAGATAGTGCTCTAAAATGGCAACGGCATGGCATCAAAATACTTTTTGTGAGATCCCTGGTTGCTATTTTTCTTCAAGTGGGCAGTTAACTTTTTTTTCTATTCCAATTATATAAAATAAATGTATAATATAGAGTAGGTCTTAAAGAAAGTATTCAACATTAACGTGAATGGAGCGAAAATGGAGAGAACGAACAAAAAATAGATGGCTGAATTGTGTGAAAGATGATATGTATAAAAGGAGAGTAAGCTCAGACTTGACGGTTGATAGGGATCAGTGGAAGAAGATGATATACTGCGACAACCCCAAATAATGGGATTAAGGCAAAGCAATGAGGATAATAAAGAGTATATATAATACATGAATATGAACTTAGTGCCTAACACAAATAAATATGTACTTGTATAATACACCGAATGGACTTGCCCTTATCGTATTATTTCGGGTCAGCGGAGTATAATTTCCTATTTCATTCGTTTCTTATCAGTCGCCATGTCTACGTTTCCCCAATTCACTTTCCTATAAAAGGGAGGCGACAAACGTAAATGTTTATTTATAATTTTCTACACTGGACCCAAAATTTTCATGTCAATCCGCCCTGCCTTTACATCAGACAATTATTATGGAGACCTCTATTTTTTTTATAAATTACGGCTCAATATGATCTATAGCTAACAGCTATGGTTAATAATTTTCTGAGTTTATACATATATATGTAGTATTTAATACAGTACTGTATTACTGTTTAATTTTAAATGTCTGATTGTAAGCTGTTTTCTAACAATTCAAATTATCCATTGTAATAAAAAATGTTGTCTACTTACAAAATTATTTACTTCACTGACCTTTTGGAGTTTGTAATTTAGGCTGCAACCAGAGCCTGCAGGGTCCCGCTAAATCTGTCACGTAAAAATTTTTAACACATTCCCTTGTTAATGTTCGACATGACAAAATATCGTTTTGCTGAAATTTTAAATAAAAGTATATTATTATAAAAATTATAGCTATTTGTATACTTTATCTGGATTCACGTATCTTTTCAAACGTGAAAAGAGTTCTCTAACGTTAACTCTTTTCCAATTGTTCTTTACTTTTTTGCATAAAAAAATAATAAAATCAGCGTCGTTTTCGCGAAGATACGTAATAATTTCGTCTACTAGGGTTCTTACATATCTCTTTCCGGTTGTAAAAAGTTTTTATTTTGTACATTTCGACATTATAAGAAAGTCAAATAGATAGACACACTTCTATCTTCATAATTAGTATAGCTTAAATGAATATGAACGTATGTCAGATTTTAAAAATATTCCATTATAATTTTATAAGCGACATTTTCATTTTAAGAAAATTTCCCGGTTTTGTTATTTTTATTATAATTTAGTGTTATGTAGGTGCCAGTATGTTAGAACCCTCAATTATCTAGGAAAAACAAAGGAAGATTAACTTTTTATTAAACGAAAATATAGTAGGATTCAGCATCAAAAAACATTTGCAGAACATGTCAAAAGATTTTTTGGTATATTATATAACTATGAAATCCCGGGTAGCAAAGCCCGGGATTTCATTTCCTTTTTTGAAATGTATGATGTCCGTCCTCAAATATAATCTTAATATCAAATATAATTAAGATTCTTTCGATCATTTAGATTTCAAGAGGTAACAAACAGGTTGAATTACTGTCTAGCTGACACCCGTGATTTTCGGCAGAAACTTTCGCCTTCAATTTCATCCCCTTCAGATTATTTTCTGATAAAAAACATAGTTTAAATCAATGATAATACATTTACATATTAAATTCTAAAGTCCATTCCACAAAAATAACAAACAGTCAGACTTACGCATTTACTCCAAAATCGATATTATATATTGATACTAATATAGACTGTATGATGTATGTAGGATGATAGATAACACTTACGCTACACAGATATTCATGTTTAACAAATTCCAACACATCAGATGGATGTAGTTTTGTTTCTTCATATTTGGGCCGTTCAGATAAGTAACGCTTCGGTATACATATCCCTTTGGCCACTATTTGATTCTTGGCACAAGTACAGGTTTCGCAACGTACACAGATGTTGCCCTGTGCTTTATAACCACGAGCACATTTAACACACAGAACCTCCTTCATTGGGGAACCATCGAAATTCTGTGTTACTGTAAGTAAAATAAGGAACACTAAAAATTTTGGATTACTGAAAGTAAAATGAAAAACAGCGGTTAACTGTTAAGTTTCAATTGTTCCTCGTTTTAAATATTTCGTTTATATCGAATGAAGTTTATTTTTATCAAATTCATCTGCTTTTATTTCAAATAAATACTAAATAAAACTAATTATGATATCAACTATGAAGTATGTTGTGTGCAATCGCATGTAGTTACTTACTTAGGAAAATTAAAAAATTGTATGAAACTCCGCAACGTTTAATGTATATTTTCGAGGCCAGTAATCAAAGTTCGTGCTTCTGTATTACTTCCTAATCCTATCTAGCGTGTTTTCACAATTCAGCATAATTTAATCTGCTTAAAATCCCGAATGTTGAAAGCCTAGGCTTAAAGGACTTGAGCACAATAAGTTTTTAAACTAACTGAACAAAACATGGTCGGGTTCTGAATTAAATTACTCAATTAGTGTCGTTTCTAAATCAAGTTGGTATGTTGTACTTTATGACAAGATATAGGTCGCAGTTACGACGTCGTTAAGTTTAACGAGGATTCTTCTAAATAAAGAAGTAGGTGCTTATGCAGCTATCTTAGTTAACATCTAAAATGGTCTACTCTCTAAAATCAGATGCAATATCTGATCAACGGTGGGAAATCATACTAGATCGTTTCTAAGATCACTTAGTGTGTGTAGCGTCATCAAAGCCGTTTTATGATATTGTTCCTACTGCCTAACAGCTTCAATATTGCCACTGATTTGTTTTTAAATTATCCAATACGGAATTCAGAGGAACTGTACGCATGCAGCCATGTCTGTTTCAGTTTTTCATACTTTCAACTATTATGTACCTACGTTTAGTGTCGTATTCATCTAAAGACTGGAATAACTGTCAAATTAAAACTCATTGTTTCTCATATATGTAATCTGTTTTTGACCCATTTTATTGACTCCTGCTTATTTATTATTCATTATGTAATTCATTTTGCAAGATTAAAATGTATGAAAGCAAATGAATTCCCTTTAATAACCAAAATGAATGTATAAATTATCTTTATCCTTATTACGTTCGCAAATATTCTTCAGTGAATCTACATAAAATAAACACGTGAATAAAATAAATTTATGTTCTCTTATATTATAATAATTATGTTTATTTTTAATGAGTTTATTATCTCATTTATTTTCCTTAATTTTATCTCGGTAATCTCGGGTTAACTTTGTAAACCCTATGTTATTTTTCGCCATTTCAAAATGATGAAAATTACAGCTTCACTGTTTTATATATGTTACGTGATATCCTCTCTAATTATAACAAATTTAAGCATTACTTTACTAACTCTAAACCTAAATTATTGAAATACATTTTAATCATCATATTTGCTTTAATTATGGTATAGATATTAAAAGTATGTAAGTATTAACAAAAAAAGTTCACATATGTCGCCATTGTTTTGACATGCAAAAGTTTACAATTTTTTTTTGAAAAGTCAATTGAAATAAAAATTAGATTTATCAGTTAAAATTACATTTACGAGTATAAGACTTCTTTCCGTAAACCTAAGTATACAGGTGTTTAGATAAGCATCTATTAATCTACTATAAGTAGCTGTCAATTAAAGAATTCATACGAGATCTCACCAGAAATGTAATCAATAGGACACTTCCTACAGACATATCGACCAGACAGGTTCTGGCATTTACGTGGCACACATGTAGAACCATCGTCAGACACAATTTCAGTAGCACTGCACGTTTTACAACGAGCGATGCCTGATGGAACGCTGTGCTCTTCGCAAACGCATGAAAACCCTGAAATACCCAATGAATATATCAGAATAAAAAAAATACCATCATGACTATTATTAGCACAGATGGAATAGTCACTTGCATAGAACTAACATAGAACACATTGCATAGAACCTCATTCCTTCTTATCCTGTAATTTCACTGCGATATTTCTGATTACTTTTGATTGCTTGCCGATGTACATAAATTATTATTTTACCTTCTAAAAGAAGAATAGGCAAAAATAATTAACTTGAAATAAAAAAAAACAACACTAATTAGGCATAGGTATATCTGAAATCCTGTGCAATATTTCGTTATTTTTATTTATATATAATATTATATCTATTGATTGAAGTTTTACTCATAGATATTTAAATTGAACTATAGGTATCCGTACTTTGAACTTTTTAGATGGTTTAAGGATAGATTTCATTAGATTTGTTTATCATATTGTTTAAACAATATACACATTATTGTTATTTTCTAAACAACACAACACAATGTGTCGTACATATATATAAATATAATATAGTCGTGTTTCAAGAACAAATAAAGGCCCTACAAAAAAAAGTCTATACAGGGAAAAAAATATCTAAAATATATTTAACTTACCATCAGCAGATGCAACCATTGATACGTTCGTGGGACACGCTTGGCATGTTCTCAAACTCGGTTCATAAAACTCTGTCTTGTTACAATTGGGTATATCAAATCCATATACCACAAATGTTACCAATAATACATTGAATAGCACACCGACTTTCATTTTAAACGTGTGTAATATACAAACTATGCTTATTAAAAACTACTTGAGATTTTAATCCTTCAGGTTATTGAAAATTTTCAATAGTATTGAATAGACTTGTTTAATAGTCCATACTTTATTATAACTAGATTTTAAGTAAGATATTAAATTGTATGATCTATTATTGAAATATACACTATCAATGAACACTGTAGCATTTTGTATTTCCAATTTTGATTTTGAACAATTCAACAGTGTTTTGTTTACGTAATATATTCCAATTCCGTTGCTAGGCAACTGGCGCATGAATAGGGTACTTCCCATCCAAGTAACGGGTCACGCACACAAAGCTTGTAACTAAAGACATAATAATAGCACTTCTTTCGTTTATTACTAAATACGTAAATAATAATCAAAACACAGTACATGAAAAAAGTACTTATCTATACAAATAAATATAATTGGAGTGTCTGTTTGTAATTTCATATTAACAGCTTTTGACTAATTTCATATGCAAATTGTGTACGGTATTTTCATGAACAAAAAATATGTCTCTCTGTTTTTCCTTAGTAATCTTGCTTATCTTTAAAACGGCTACACCGATTTTGACGGACCTCTCACTAGCAGATAGCTAATGTTATAAAGAATAACCTACTTTTATTTTAGAAAGTTTATTTGTTTTAATAAAATAGAGAGGACTAAATTCCACGGTCACGTCGCAGGTACTCAGCAGCTAGAGTCATAATAACTCCTGTTGTAGTGGAATAACAATTAGCTAAAGGGTGAGGTCGCCCGAGAAGTAACACCGACTAAGTTGTGGGTAATTTTACGTACAAAAGCATCATTATGCTGAACTTTAATATTAGTTACGTATAATTAGTATTGCAAATCAAAGAAACCTATTTTATACCGCGAACCATTTATAAGTTTGTAACAAAGAATATGATGACATATCGGCCTCCCCTCGGTCATCATTGGAAATAATTGTGGTAAATTCCTAGTGAACTCCTCTTGATTTTACTATGAAATAATTACGACTATTTCCAATGGGGATGACGCCACTGACATGATTTCATCCTAATCCTATCATCCGCGGTGCAAAATTCTATATTCACCCATTAAAAAAACGGTTGTCATTTTTATCGGGTAGGTAGACCCTCAGCATATTTACTATTCCAATCACATATAAAAAATGGAACAACCCTTTTTTGCCTACAGTTGTAATATTTCTGTTGACACTTGGTACCCTTCCAATTGTCTACGGTTCCACATAATTTATATTTATGTATGTATGTATGCATGCATGTAGCACACTATCAAACAAACTTACACACACACACACATCATGTATAACGCTACAGGTGAGGCAATACCCACCGCGCCCCTCCTATCGATCTCCCACCAAACTCAAACAGGGATCGAAATTACGATGCCCTGAGTCGATGTTCGAACCCCTAGCGGTGCCCTCAAATTCAAGTATCCGTCAGGCGGGAGTTGACTGCCGTTGGGTTAGCAGCAGGTTTGGAGTGCCATCTACACTCACCCCCTATCGCCCGATGAAGCTGTAAAGGTCAGCTGTCTTAGAGTAGTCCGAAAGAGCTACTCAACTAAGATTACAAGCACGTATTCCAAATGCAAACAGTGCGTACTCCTGCATACATTCAGCAGCATCAAAATAATACAATATAATCATTGATTTCCATTAACTACCAACTACGAAATAAAACCAATCATATGTAATTTATAAATGTATAATTTATTATTTTACAACACTTCGCATTAAAAATTCTAATTGACACAAAACTAAATGAGAACATCGCTGTGTAGTTCTAGAAGAAATGTTTATATAAAAATAGATATTGATATAAATGACAACATTAGAAGTATGCCTACATTTGTATAAAAGTAGGAACAATTTCTTCAAAATTATTTTCCTTTACAAAAATCACACCTACTTATAAATACACATGTACGGTGTAGGCAATGCAGTACGAAGAAATATTAAATACTTCAAAAACATTGCGGTCAATTCTAAAATATGATTATGAACTCTATTTATAAAAATTATTTTACTATTGCGACCAGTCACAACTTCACATAAGTGTGATGAAGGTCGTATAAATATTTACATATAAACCACCTGGAAGAAATTGACTATCAACTATAATACTAAAACTATATCAAAATCGCAATACATGTAATACAGATATACCTAATACAATGATCCTTGCTGGTCCATCATACCATTACCTACCATTATTAATTAATATTTAATTTAATAATCTATAGCAATTGAATAGATATAGATATGTAATAAGTAGTTTATGCTTTGCTATAAAACATATAAAAATCTTAATCGCTGCCTGTGCATGGTGAAAATAATATTATTGACCTTATGAACGTAATAATGTAAACTATTTTTAGGATATTTTTGTGCGCGCTAATGTAAGAAATGGCTTACCCGATTTTGGTGCTGTTTACATTATTCTATTTTTATAGCATAGGCTGCAAATGACATTGCGGCACACGGGAAGTGCACCCAAGTTGCCGTTCAATTCACTCATACACCGTCCTTGTATGGCGACTTTAGTATATTAATAAAATCGACTAGTAATAAAACTAATGAGTTTATACTTGATGCTGCGAAGAATAAAATTAAAAAAAGAAACATCCGGTCATTTTTACTTTACGACAAAAAGCCTCTTCATTGTAAAAAAATCCTAAATAAAACTTTATAATACCTAAAATATGGTGGCTGCGTTGGGTGAATAGACTTAACTTCTTTATAATTATTCGTAGTCAATAGAATGCGAAACAAATACATACGTGCAGTGAATAATAATTTAGTTTTTTATATAGTTATATATTTTGTTATTTTATATTAGTACTTAGCTATTCTTGTTATTTAGGTAGGTACGTCAACAACGTAACTGAAGTACCTCCTCTTAATATGTTTACAAACATTGTTTATTTCTAATACAGTACATAATAATGTAGTTATTTATTGTTTATCATTAAACACTATTGTATCCATCACTTCCTAATTAGGTATCAAAGAAGTCCTTATTTTGGTATTAGTCCGTAATATAAATAATATTACAATATTACATATATTACACACTAATACCAAAATAATGAAGTCACTATTATGGTATTAATGTGTAAAATATGTAATATTGTAATCTTTTTCTTAAGGTACATTTGTACCTACCTATTAAAAATTTTACAAAAATCAGTATATACTCGTATTTTGACCAGTCTATGGACCAGCATTCACCATTGTGAATTTTACTACTTATATTTAGTTCACTGACTAAGAAACAGTATAAGAATATAAAACGCAAACTATAATCACAGTATTTATCTAGAATATAAATTAGGTACCAAATAAACCTCATAAATTTTTACATTTACAACTTTACATTAGATTTATATTTAACAAACGTATTAGCACTGTTACAGTGTAATATGCAAATATAATCGTGTTTAGGTCATTAAGCGAATAAACCCAGCATTAAGCAAACACAATACCATGTTTATATAGTAACTACGCGCATATAATTTATGCTCAGTTTGTTTGCTGAGTAATCTGAAGCAGCAAATTGAGCATAACTTCAGTAATGCGATCCACATTAAAATTCATATCAACTCGCAAACATAACGAATTAGGAGTGTAAGTACCGAAATTCCTTGAAAATAATTCTCCTTTTAAGTAATAATTTGACACAACTTCTCTTATCTGTGGGTAATTATTTTGATATACGTACCTAAGTAAAAATTAATTGATTAAATGAAATAATAAAGATTGTACTTTATTTAAATTATATTTTATTATGTACAATACGGATGATTTAGATATAAAAAATTGTAGTATAGATGTGGAACAATATGCTATTATACTTTATTTCACAGCTAAGTCAGTTTATAAAAGAAATACATTTTATGAACGATGTATATATTTTTTAAAACGTTACACAAATAATAAAATATTATGTCTTGATTTTGATTATTATAATAATAATAATAATACCCCTTTACATAATGCCATCTAGCCCCAAGGTATACCTAAAGAATAAATGCCTTTATTCAGTATTACTTTGTAGGATAAACAACTAATAAAGCCTTAATTAAATTTGAGGCTGTATTAATCAGGTACGTTGGGATAGGCATTATTATTAGTATATTAGTCCCAAAACAAAATTAAGATTAAAACTTACTGTTTGTTTGAATATACTGTGTATTTCCGACTACTTATTGAATTATCAACCAATTCTCGATTTTATATTAAATGTCATTCTCTTGTACATTTTTTCTTAAAGTAAAATTAGTTTTATTTTCTGACAAAATAATAATTACTTATTTTGGTTTCACTTTTTTATTGTCAAAGATTCCCGGATATAATAATTTCATAATTATTTCTAATATAATTAATTAAAAGACGTAAACATTATGTTTTGGTTATCGATTTTATTTTACTCTCGTCGAGAATAAGGATAACAGTAAGTAAATCAAAATAGTACCTATTTTCGTTGATCATTCTCGACGAAAATATATTTAAGTCAATTCAGTCAATACATTAAAATTAAAATATTTATACTACAGTTTACTATATTTTACTGAAATCCAAATAATCATAAGGGGCCATCCATAAATTCAATCACACATATTTCACTAATTATAAATACCATCAACGGTCATTTCTGGTCACATTTTAGTCCCACTGAAAATCACTAGCTGAGTGGAGCTTATAGTGCAGCATTAGTTTTCAAGTTATTTTATATTTCCACATTGTAATATGATATGCTATGTAAGCAGAATAAATGGCTATTGTTATTAATACTTAGTAAAAATTTCGGATTTTAATGCTAAAAGACCAGGATAGGTCTTAGATTTTAGCATCCATCAGAGGTCATGATTACTTTTTCGTCGTTTCTGATTCCTATAACCTCTTGTCATACAATGTCACACTTTGTCATACCCCGCGCCCTTAAGGACGTAATATATCGATGCTCCTAACCAGCTTTATATAATAATAATATCCCTGACCAATTCACACAGCGCCATCTAGTCCCAATGTAAGCAGAGCTTGTGTTATGGGTACTAAATAATACAATTTTTTTTGTAAATAATATACATAATATACATAGAAAACACCCAGATTGATACAAACAATCATACTCATGAATATACATAAATGTTGTACCATTCGAAGAATCGAGCCGCGACCATCGGAAGTAAAGCGGTGTGGTAAGCTGCTAAACATCCGAGGTCGGAAAAATTTAAGCAGCTAAAGTAGGTGGTTCTACAACTAAATATGGCACCTGCAAAGCCATTGGTGGTTGGGGTAGGGCAGGGAATAAAATGGGGTACTGGGGGGGCGGCTGTGGTCCCTGGCTCACCAGCCTAGCTTCGGGCTCGGAGCATTGCAGTAGCCAGTGTGTCAACATCCTGCCTCTGCCCTTCAGTTCAACCTCACCGCGCCGTTCCACCATGAACGTGCCCCATTGTTGGAGCAATATTCGTGTACTCTCGCTTAAATGTATTCGGAGCGCTAAAAATAATACATTTTGTTGCAATTAGTGATGCCAGGTAGGGGGATTTTGTGGTTAAGGGGTAATTTTGAGGGAACAAATGTGTAGAGATTTGTGAGAGGTAAGAAATTGGGTCTTGGTCATTAATTTCTTTTTATAAACTATGATTCTGGAATAAAAGGGTCAACAAAACTCGTATTACGCCTCTCGTTCTGAAGGCGTTTATTATTAGACATAATTCATACATTTATAATACAATAATAAATATAGAAAATTAAATCTTACGTTGTCCGCTAGACTCCATTCGACTTGCAGTATTAACAGTGTCCCCAAAGAGGCAATAATGGGGCATTTTCACACCCACAACACCCGCGCACACGGGACCAGAGTGGACCCCCACGCGGACCTACGAACCATTTTAATAGATTATCTTATTAATATCATAAATGCGAAAGTTTGTAAGTATGGATGTTTGTTACTCTTTTACGCAAAAAACACTGAACGGATTTTGGTGAAATTTTACAGTAATATAGCTGGGAATATTGGAATAACACATAGACTATATTTTATATTGAAATTTAATGCGGGTGAGACCGCGGGCACAGCTAGTTATTGTATAATTGTAACTTTTGTATTGGGATGAAATAGGTTTCAACGGTACCAGATTATATAGACTGTACTTATAGGAAAGGTGTGTGTGATGGTAAGGTTTTTTTACGAGATTGTAAAAAGGGATGTAAAAACATTTGTATTCTGTGTAAAAATGTAAATATAACGTGATGATTTTTTTTAAATACATAGTTAGAGTTGTCTAAATTAAGTATAAAATAATTTATTAAGACAAATGTGACATACAAAAATAAATCCAAATGTGAGTGTGAGAGCCTTATGCTACATAGCAGTATAAAATAAACATGTCGACCATAAAGTCTTTAAGAAAATTAAGTATACATTCCAAATACAAACCCTTCATGTATAAACGTTTCGATTTTCGGAAGTATTTCCATATTATTCACTTTAAGCTCATTATGCTTGCTTAACAAAGTTGAATACGAAGAAAACCGTATCAATCTGGCCATACAGAAAACAAATCGCGATAAGCTTTCTTTATTTACTCTGTTGTATTCTTTAGTTACAAATTTATTTACCTTTCTAGTTATTTATTCTTTTATTGAACTATTCCAATATTACTGGCCGCAACTAGCTTATAGTTTCATCAAGCGAAAATGTGGGAGTACAAAGCGTTGCACTCTAAATTCTCGGAAGTCTTTATGAAGCCGCTGAAGTTAGAATTTTGCCTGACTTTACTCTGCGGCAAAGCTTCGATATCTCGGCTCAGGCCATAATATTTTCGACCACCGTCGGAATGAGACAGGGGATCGATCAACATTTATAACAGTTATAAAATATATTAAATAATAACAATAATACCCCTGGACAATTCACACAATGTCATCTAGTGTCAAGGTAAGCACAGCTTGTGTTTTGGGTAGTAAACAAGTGATATAAACACTTAGATTTTTTTTTCGTAAATAAAAAGAATAGTTCGATAGATAGACGGACCGATACAAACAATCTTACTAATGAATAGAAATGTTTATACCGTGCGGAAAGTTGAACGCACGACCATCGGAAGTAAAGCGATGTGCTAAACCACTAGACCACCGAGGCCGTCAATAAATTAAAAGAAAATATGTACTATCGCTTACCTCCAAACGATGTGTAGGTCGATGCCTAACCACAAACCCTCGCACCGCTTCTACGATGGCTAGTGCCATGAGGCATATTTCCCGAGCGTGCAGGTCGCCGTTACGCTCAGGTAGACCAGATACCACCATATACGCGTCGCCTATTGTCTCTACCTGTATTAATAAAGCACACTTAATAATAACTGCTTTAATTAAGTTCATACTAATGTTAGAAATCCGGAAGTGTTCCTGTATGTCTGAATTTTTGTTCGTCTATTACGAGTACTTGTTATGACTAAATGACTGAACGGATTATTACTAATTTAGATTTTTTTTCGGCCTACTCTAATGCTGTTGGCCGCAGCTGGCCTTTACAGCTTCATCGGACGATGAACTAATTAAATACATGAAGATAGATTGTATCATGAATGGATAGGATTATCTGAAACAGATTATGTCTGAAATAAGCAGTCGAAATCATCATTGATATTAAGTTCCGTTAAATTAAATTGTTAAAATAGGGTTTCTCATTTAATTAAATATTTCAATTTATTATTAAGCATGTGATTTAATGTTACTATCTTTTCTAGTCAATTTATTAAACAGAAAGGCAAAATGGCTGATGACGGCTTCATGATAAGTACCTGTTTGTTTCATAACATTTTATCATGAGTTTTTGAGTTAACCTTAATTATATCTCAAAATGTTCATAATGAAAGCCGCAGATTTCCGCTAGTTAATAAATATTAATAAGACATAAATAATATGAATAATAATATTGATTTCACGGAAAATAACAAAGTAGGCGTGTGGAAATTTACAAATTGTAGACAAATGGATAATTTGTATGGGAGATATTTACATTAAGTATCTTTGCTTGCTTACTGGGTAATTTACTTTGAATAATTTATGTCGGCTCGACGAACTTAATGAAATGTATTCCTATTCAGATATTAGAATAGCATAGAATATAAGAGAAATAATCTTTATTTAAATCAATTTAATTTTAAGCGCTTTTGTATATATATATACCAAATGAGCCAGCAAACGTTGTTTTGTCACATAAATTAAAGTCGCTATTAAAAATAGGAGTTGGTGATAGAAGAGTGAACATTTAGGGTTCTCTGATCTACTGAATATGCATATAAAAATTCATAAAAATCTTTCAAGCCTTTTCGGAGGAGTATGGTAACTAATTTGTGACACGAGAATGTTATGTACAAGATTTTTTTATTTCCGCTAATATATACAGATCCTTTCACGACTGTTGTAAACCTTTCACTTGACGAAATTTCACTATCCAATTGGAATCCAATTCGCCTACCAACTCGTAATAAGTTAAAAAATATAAAATGACAAAGTTTTTGGTGACAGATTCGACTTTTGGTTTCAAAGTATAAAAGGTTACATTTAGATTTTTACTATTTGTTTGATTTACGAAGAAAGACTCCAGAATGAGTAAGTGGTTAGATCGATCACTCACTCTTTCTTTCTCACTCTTTTACTAGGTCATGCAAAATAAAGTTCTCTTAATTAATTAGTAGTTTGATTTATCTTACAAGTATAACAGTATTAGTTTCTCTTTACATATACTTTCTAGTTGATGTAGACATTATAGAAATGTCTATATTTAATTTTCTCATATATACATCAATCACTTTATTTAAGTTTTGTCCCACCTACACAGTGTCGGTTAAATCCATATCTAATTTTATTTACGGCTACGCAGCAAATTCGATTATATCACTAAGTTTTGTACGCGGATAAGCACCTTGAAAGTTACCTTTTTTTAAATAAACCAAGAAGGGGAGAAAGATGAAATCTAATTTTAGGATTTTTAGGTATGACGTGAATTCCAAAGCCCGCCGTGGCTTAGCGGTATACTACCTGACTTGGACCTCGACGATTGTAAATTCAAATAGGGCTGACAATAAAGAAAACTATGTATGTAAATTTATTTTTTATACAATGACAATTAATTCGAATGACGGTAAGCTCGACCTTTCCATATTGAATGCATCATTTAGAGACTCTCTTTCACGCCAGGGTTTCTTGTCAGTTCTTTTAGGGTCGAACTATCAGAACTGATGAATTAAACGTAACATAAGTGTCTGCAATTAGATCTACATGAATAGAATAGTATAGAATGTTATTAACACGTCGACCAACAGTATGACAAAAAAAAAATACAAACAATTTACACACGTTACAAAGCAGACTCAATGTGGACCACAACTCAGCATAATGCTTGAAACATAGTTTCTAGCGCACATTTTCAGTTGGGCTGAAATCTACGTTCATACAAATTACAATAAATATATATATATATATAAAACAGATATTATATAAAATAAAAAGATATTTTAATTTACCATACCTTATAAACATCATAAAATCCTATGATTCTGTCAAAAGTGCTGTACAAATCGTTGAGTAAATCTACGACTTGTATGGGAGTGGAAGCGGCGCACAGCTCCGTGAAGCCGACTATGTCACTAAAGTATACTGTGACGCACTCAAAGCTCTCCGGCTGCACCATTTCACCGGCCATTAGTTGCTGGGCTACAGGCCTGTGTCAATAAAACATTCTTATAACAGACTAGTAAACCTTACTATATTATTATGTTATCTGTGATAATATTATAAACGGACAAGTTTGTGTGTGTGGATATATAGATAGATAGATGGATTTCACGGAAAAACTACCTAGTGAATTTACAAACGTTTAGCAGTTAAGCGCGCCTTGCTTTCGATTATCGCAGTTTCGATTCCTCTCACGATACAAACATTTGTATTCATGAGTATGGTTGTTTGTATACTATGTATAATAGTATGTATTTACAAAAAATATGTATCTATATGCATTTATCAGTTGTGTAGTACCCATCACGCAGGCTCTGCTTAGCTTGGGACTAGATGGCGCTGTGTAAATTGTCCTGAGATATTATTTAGTGAAACATTATTACCATTAACATGCGTTTACAATAGCTATGATACCTATGTACACATCGCAAATCATATGTTATTTACATAAGAATTCACAGCATAACGAATATTATATTATTATCAATGCAAATATTATAAATATTTCTTTGTTATCTTTAGACGACTAAATGATTGAAGAAATCTTAATAAATGTGAAACTAGATGGTCCCTCAAGGATAGTTATAAACTACCTTATAATAAAAAAACAGTTGACAAATCATGGGTAAAAGTAGCAAATATGTATTTGATATGTAAACATTTAGTTATTAAAATAACTGTATATATGTATATGTTAACTATGTCTAAAGTACACGTAACGGATTTGGTACTGTTTTAACTATCATTTAGAGAATTTCTTCGGGAAGCTTTCTATGCATAATATGTTATATTTAAGGTATTGTAGCTCCATCACATACACTACACCGTCCGATGCAAGGACAAGCCGCTAGTTATATTAATTCAACATTAATAGGCTTTGAATTGCCTTTAATAGTACTGAGAACGCTTGTCTAGTCTAATTTGCTATAGATATATAGCATTTTCGTTAAATAATTCATGATCGTAATTAATAATATTAATATCTCTGAACAATGCATATATAGATCGTTATCGAGTCCCAAGATAAGCATAGCTTGTGTTATATATGTGTTATATATATACTAAACAACTATTTTCGTAAATACTTACATAATATACACAGAAAACTCTAATACAAATAATCATAATCACGAATAAAATGTTTGCACCTGACGATGAATCGAACCCACGACCATTGGAAGTAAAGCGGTGTGTTAAACCGCTGGACCGCCGAGAGCTTCGTTATAACAATTTAATTTCAAAATAGTTAATATCGTTAAGTCTCGGACCGATATCGAAGGGTAGTAAGGTTTGGAAAGATGATAGAATATTAAATTTTATTACTAAATCGTTGTTAACGATCCAATATTAATTACTTTAAAAAACGATATTAAAAACAAACTTTAGGTCAAAGGCGAAACGAAACGTTCACCTTTGTCAACCCATAATAAAATTTTACACCTGACTCGTATTTCTTATTTCAAATGTCCTCAACCATATTTATTATTCTAGAATATCATTTAATTATTATTGTCATTAAATGTAGACCAGAACACAAATAAAACTGGTATTAAACAATGACATTACGGTATCTCACAAAATAAGAGTTTCGTCAACGAATAAACAACAATACAATTGTACACAAATGCTCGGTTACGAGCTATAAAATGTGTTTTACTGTAGCGTATACGAGCCAGAGGAATTTAATTGCTATGCTTTATGTATGTATGCCTCTTAGTAATATAAATCACCTTAAAGCTGTAACTAAGTTGGAAAATAGCCGATAGTTGTAAAGGGTAATACCAAACCATATACAACGTGGAATAGTCATTCAACTGAAGCACTTTTAACAAGAAACAAAGTAGAATAAATGTTGATCTTATCGAACTATATTAATCAAGTACACATTCATATAGTATTTATGTTTTAACATTAACAACACAAACCTTGGTGGTCTAGCGGTTTAGGTCACCGCTTTACCTCCAATAATTACAAATCCGATGCTTCCCACAAATATTTGTCTTCATAATTATGATTGTTTGTAGTAGTAGTCTGGGTGATACTTATGTATATTATGTATATATTTACGAAACATATTTTAAGTATTTCTACAATTGTCTCAAAACCATAACATAAACGCAGCTTAGTTTGAAATAAGATAGCCCTGTGCGAATTGTTCTGGGTTGTTATTATTTTTTTTCATTTCTTTCTCCTAAATTCACCCAAGAGAGCTTAATTTATTACAATAAAGTGCTATCATTATAGACAATAATTATTTTGGCATGGCATAAGTATGTACTTCAGTCCCCACTAAAGTATTTATACTGTTATCCCTACGTACTCAATAATCAGTTTCAGAGGCTGACAACCTAAACACTGAAAACTGGACCACAGATTGCAAATGATTTATGGTATCATTATATTATTATTGAAACGGCAATACACATACAGGTACTGTATATATAAAGTCTCTGTATATTTATGTCTGTGTAAAAATAACTTGAGAAACTCTTGAGAAACTCTTGTTGTATGTCTAATAAAGCTATTACAAATATTTTTATAGATATTTAATGCAAAATAACCCAGTTAAAAAAGAAAATGGTAGCCATCTTGCTTCTTGGACAAAAAAGAATAAATTATAGTATAAATAACAATATTACACTCCGTTCATTTTAGCTTGGTAACTGGTATATTTTGTAAACAATCTTAACATTATTTTTAACAAAATAACAGTGCGTAAAATAAACAACTGAAGGGAATAAAACGGTCTTTTAATTTATCACTTGATTGCGTATTAATGTAACTTAATAATAAGCTACATTAGTACTTATTTCGTATTGTTTTTATGAATCATATTATTTTTTTTTATCCGTCTTATCTATAAATGACTAATTATTCTTCTATATTGCACGATTAATAAAAATATCACATCTTTAATCAAATGAAAAGAATGTTTATGTGTATATATAGTGATGCATCTACAGAAGAAGATAGAATGAATTTGTTACCTGGGTAGTACTTGATATAATAACTCTTCAGATCTCCGCTTCTCCAACGAGAGTTGTTCCGTTTTCTCCTCTACGAGAGATTCCAGATTGTTCGCGTACTGCTCCATACGACGGAGAAGGTCGTCCATCAAATTATCACAGTAACCCCTGACAAATTTAACTATTGAAATATTTATGGTTTTAAACATACGTATACAGGCACTAATTTAATATATTAAACAGAGAAAGTCGATTTTGTTATGAAGAAATTTAACGGTGAAATTATGAAACGTATATCGTTTTTTCAAACAGACTTACAAAACAAAAGAGCTCTCAATTCTCAACGGTAGGCATATTATTATGTGCGTAGATTATTATATGCTTAAATATAATACAATATAACTATGGTCATTTATAATTCAACTTGCTTGCCATTTGCAGCACCTACCTTGTATTAAAATAAAATCTTTCTAAAAAAGGACAAGGGTTTTATATTTGCAATCTTTTATTCTCAATGTAGGCGTATATGTATAGAATAAGTTTTAAAATATTTTGCTTGTAGTCTCACTTAAGCTCTTAACTCCAGTTTCATTCAATACATCTACCCACATACTCGTATTTAACGTGTAACAGCTGCTACACGGCTAATAGATATTCTATACATGTCTAGGATAGGATACATATGGCGCATGCAATTTTAATGCCCTCAGGGCGGCTGAAATTCTGTTGAGATTAATGATTATGGCCGTACTGCGGTACTAAATGAGTTACCTAACACTGAACGCGACAGCAAAATGTGTACTAAATATATTGCCAACCATATGTAAATCACTCATAGCGAATCATATTCAGTTGTAATTAAAATAAAGTATTTCAGCAGATATTTAACACGTTCAATACCTACAAATTCCAATTTATTTGTTTTTTGTACAACATTAAACATATTTAAATCTATCATCATCGATATAGCTCGATAAGATCTGTATCGAAGCTTAACGAACGATAATATCTAGTTTAATAAGATCAGCTTAGCTTTGTACATTAATGACTATAATACAGTGTAGAATCTACTAACAAACTGCCATACACCTCTATCTTACCAATTCTAACCGCCATTATTGCTTTGTAAGATATATTTCAGTTTAAAAGGCGAGATATGCCAGTGAAATTACTACGCATGAACCACTTAACATCAGTTGGGCCATCCGTATATTTGTTATTCCAGTTACATAAAAATAATCACAATTGGAAAATAGTGCATAATTAATAACATAACTTACTTAATATAATTTGCATTAATGGTGTCAAAAGAAGGCCGTTCATCAGGACACTCGGCCCAGCAGCGTGCAGCCAACTCTAGGAGTTCGGCCGCTGCGCCGGCGCCGCCACCCGCGGCACCTACAGCTCCCACATCGCTCACACACACCACCGGCCTGAATGGAGGCGACTCGCGAGCACACACTCTTGACACTATTTCTGATAAAGAAAAAACTTCGCAGATCTTATAGGATGTTAATAACCACTAATAGTAGGGGTTCGATAGTCCTTCGAGCCGGAGAACACGTTTTAAATATTTTTCATGGTTGTTTTTTGCACACAATATATAAATTAGTCGACCTTACTAAAAATATACTAGTTGAGTATCATCGCAACTAGTGTAGAGCTATTAATAAAGAATACATATGTGCGTAAATATCCTATAGGATTTTGACTTTGACAAAATAAGTTGACAAAAAAGTATATGCATGTTTCAAAATTAGTTAGGAATAATATAGAGGGTTAAAATATAATTAAAATTATTTTTATAATAGCATTGAAGAGATCGCGTAAGTTACAAAAAAAAAATAAAAGTTTTCAAAATGTCTTTATAAAACTATGACTATATTTTTAGGTAGGTAGGTAGGTATAGAAACTTTCAGAAATGCGTAGATACTGTTCCCGAAACAACTTGTATTCGTTGTTCGGATGAAATAAAAAATTTACAGCGCCAATTATTAATATGATATTAATAAACTTAATTAAACTCCCAAATTAAAAGTTTCTATGTCAGAATATTCACTGTAAAAGTTTCATTACTTCGTCGCTGACTCACCTCGGATCATTAAAAATCCATGAAATTTTCAGGAAACCCACAAACTTCAAACTTAGGATTATCTGACCGAGATTATAAATACTATAATTATAAATGGATTCTGAGGAATAGCTGATTCTAGTAATATTATTGGCGTCTTAAATACTACTTTTTAGTCTTCTTACTTCATAAAATTCTAGATCTGGATAAAGCAAAATATTTGCAGCCTCAAATATATATCTTACTAACTACTCGCCCCGGCTTCGCCCGGGTGTACATATATTATACATATAAACCTTGAATCACTCTATATCTACTAAAAAAACCGCTTCAAAATCCGTTGCGTAGTTTTAAAAATTTTAAGCATACATTGGGACGGACAGACAGCGACAGCAACTTTGTTTTATACTATGTATTGATAATGAAATGAATTTAAGAGCCGATATAAAGACCTAAAATATAGGTTTCTATTTATTTATTAGTAAATACTCACCCTTATGGGACATAGCAGTTGTGTAGTGATGGAAAGGTCCAGCTCGAAGAACAATCTCTTCAAGGATGATTCCAAAACTGTACACATCGCCTTTAAGGGAGGCTACAGCACCAGGGTATATGCTGGCTGCTACCAACTCCGGGGAGGTCCATAGCAGTTCTAATATAATAATTACAAAATCAGATATTTTTGTCTACAACGACAACCTTCTTTCTGATATCCGAAAGATATCAGTGTGAAATCTGCTGATAGATTTATCGTAAAAGTATCACTTAGTTCTAGTTAACAAAATGAAGCAATATTTTAACTAATTTTAATTAATATAACAATAATTGTTGTTTCATACAGAAATAGAAATAATCTTTAATCCAATGTACTGTATACAAGTATGGAAAGAGATATATTTTTACTCTACCACTATATACAGCAAAGAAACAACTATATACAGAAAGCAGATTTAGCCAAGAAGGTAAGAAAAGTAACTCTGCTGTTTCTGTATATGTTCTTGTTATCTTATTATGAGTATAGTATAATAGTCACTTTGATATAATAGGTCATCACAGTACCTACGTACTAAAGAAATACGGCAGACAATTGAATGTTATTTTTAAATAATAACCTAAGTATATCTAAGAATAAAGTAGATACCTATTTTAGTTGTCAATATCTACAAGGAAAATATCAATAAGAGAAAAGGGTAAAATGCAGAAATTATTCAAAAGGGTCCTCTTCGAATATTAAGTGCCCGCAAATTTCCGCGCTTCGCATAATACGAACCTTTTACGTTTCGACAGCTGTTAAACTTTCGCCTTCAAAGGGTCCTTTTTGGTGTAATTACTGCATGGATTTATTATAATCGACCATCAAATAACAAGATCTATAACTGAGTATCTACACCCACATTTATTGTATTTAAGCAAAGACTCATTTCTCGGAACGAGAAAGAAGCTGGTCATCTTATAAATTGAGTACCTACATATATCTTAAATTAGTAACATAAATTGAATTTATTTAGAAAATAGTTAGCCAAAAGTCTGCAAAATTATAAAATAATAAATATATATATTAGAGTTTGATAGGAGTCTTTTTCCGCGATTGTTATTATAACTTTTACATATACATATTTTATGTGTATTTTATATATTCATATAAACATTTGCTAAATTAAATAAGCCAAGTAACAGATTACAATTTCCTCCACCTACACTATATCTGCTACAGAACTATTAACTATTCTTCATCAGTCACAAGAATCTTTGCCGAATATCAGGTAAGAACTTAAGTCGTTATATAATGCCTCAAATGCTTAATTTATTGTATGGAGTACAAGTAAATATAAAATATACCGAAAGTGTGATGCAGTAATTCAAAACTTTCGTAGTTTATAGTTATAGTAGTAAATAGAAAATATTTTCATAAGAACAGCCGCGTTATATAAACATATCGACATCAAACCACATTACCGAAAGTATAGCAAAGTTATCTAAATTATATGACGCTTGTATCGTTAATGTTGATATAATAAGTCAAACTAAAAGTAATCTCATAAGATTTTAACTACAACCTTCGAATATCGTCTAGGTTAGTTAGGTCATGACATAGATATACTCCTACCTACAATAGATTGATCAAAATCTTAACTATTCCCATTAGCTATTAAATTGTAAGAATCAGAAGATGGATAATATGTTATCGTCTGATCTTGAAATACTATTATCGAAAACACATATGTCTAGTTAACACCACGTTACACATGATAACAAACTAAATTCGTTGAAGATAATTACTGTAATAGTACGTGTCATCCTTTATCAAGTCGGTGGGCGTGCATAATGTGTTCAGGCCGTAGTCGGAGATCTTCAGGACGAAGCGTCCATCGATGAGGCAGTTTGAAGAGCGAAGTTTACCATGCGCACCCAGCCCGCCGTGTAAATAGCACATGCCCTGTACATCGAATATTATTTACATAGTAACATACGAGCCCCTGAAATTAGTCTGCGAAACTAGCTAGAGACCTCACTAGATAATCTGAAGTATGTCTAATGAAATTCATTATTAAATACATAGGTACATACAATAAAAAACGAATCTAAAATATAGTCATAACTTTTTATAAAATTATCGTGGGAATAAGCTCCATTGACTACAAAATGTCATAATAATTAATTCAATTTTTCAATAAACTTACTAGTATTAATAAATTAATAGCATTCCATTTTTAAACATCAGAGCCTCATTCAAATTGAACCAAAATTATGGGTCTAAATAATCATACTTTGGCGCCAAACCAGTAAATAAATTCTGAATGTATTTTTTTTTGTAGTCATATTCATAATTATTGGAAAGGCAAAGAAACTAAACCTATACAGCTGTTCACGGAATAATCTTTGTTAATGTCAAAGTGAGCCCCAGAACAGGGCCTCGTCACTTACAAAATATTGTAAGAAACCTTACTTCTCCGATTCGTTTTTGAGCATAGCCTGTGCGCAGGTACAATTAATTTATTTCGAAATATTCCTTTTCATCAATAGACCTACATCAGTACAATACAATTTAAGTGGAATAGATAGAAATCAAAGTGATACATAAAAAAGTAAAGAATTTATAAAAAATAATGGTAGGCAAGCTGCCAGCAACAATGTTTATTTCCAACAGTAGGTTTATGTACTCACCTGTACAATATCATGTACTAATGATGTCCTAAAGTTCCAGTCCAGCTGTAATTCGTCGTTTGCCAACACGTCCTTCAAGGAACCTTTCGGGCAGTACTCGGTTAATACAAACACTAGTGGGCAATCGACGCATGCGCCGATAAAACGTGCTGTGTTCTCGTGGGAAACATTCCGTGCCTAGGAAATTAAAGAAATATAAATAATATTTATTGAAATAAACTCAATACAAGCACTTTTGAATAGTCATATTTTTTTATTTTACCACCCATTCGGAACGCACTCTTTACAAGAAGAATGATCAAGAAACTTGTGTGTTGCTCTTTTGTTATTTGAAATAAATTATTACACAATAACAAGTAAGAGGCATGCTATAGGTACATAGAAACCTCTTATTAACTACGCACTCAATTTTAGTGCAATCAGATAATATTGTCAGCGCTATGAATTTAATTATTTACTATAACACTTCAATATATAAGCATTTTTACAGAGAAAGTATTTTACACAACATTTGAAATGTTTTTTAGGCAGATTTAGAAAAGACTGTGGTGGTTTGTTGTAAAACCTAACGCAATTACCATAAAACGAATTATGTTACAATAATTAATTGATAGAAAAAGAATATTATTATATTAACACTATTTGTTAGTGAGAACTAGTAGTTCTTTACTATCAATATATAGTAGGTACATTAAGAATTAGTAGTCACCAGTAATTCCTACAGCGTACACAAAAAAAAAACAGGTTTATATAGATACTTTTTTTTATCGTATGCTAATGTGTTGTTGTTGTGTTAGGTTTGTGCAACATTTTAATAAGGTAACGGCGGTAACTGCGGTATGCTGAATGCTTGTCTATTATGTTAGTTAATACATAAAACCTCAATGTCTATAAAGTAAAATTTCGTTCAACAAAAAAAACACCATATAACTACTTAAAAAAAGGACTCATCATGAAGAAAAGATAAATAAAAAAATGTGTAGGTACCTGTCTAATTTCCCAAAATAGCTTTTTATTTAAATCTAGTTTTTTTCTGTGTATCTTCTTAACAGCAACTCGATTGCCTTTATAAAGGCCGACGGTAAATGAAGACAGCGTGAGAGATGGAGCCCCCAGCGATGGTGTGCCACTACCACTTCGGGTATTCCAACCAAGAGACAGCTAGTGAATAAAAAAATACAGCATTTAGAAAAAAACAAGACATATGTCTTAAGATATAAGTAATTTCATTAAAGTCAACTGAATACCTAAAATATATACGTCTAAAGTATTTTCTGAATCACACGATACAGACTTGCATAGCTAGTGTGTGGTTCGCCGGAATATCATAATATAAAAGTATTTTGTTGGCTAATAAAGATTAGTAATATTATCATTATTTTATATATCTTCCTTTTTACGGGGGTAATACGTACAAACACGCGGGCCTTACCCAAGCGTCGATGAGTTTTACAGTTATATGAGGATGAATATTATTATTATTATTATTTACGCTATTGTCGCATTTTATTATTATTATACCGTCACGACTGTTACCCATATAGGTTAGTCAGAAACATTGTCAACTGTAGATATTGTGGTGAATGAAACATTTGACATACCCACGTGTTTCTATATTTTGAATCTAACGTGGGAGATAGCGAGCCTGCTATCGTCACTGTAATTAATGTTTTGTTTGATATGGGCATTTCCATCACTGGAGATCGATTCAGAAATGTAATTTGAAATAAATAGTATTTATTTTTGTGTCGGCTAGGTTTGAACTCACGACCTCTCTACGTAGTCGTCCGTCTAATAGGCTTAATTTATGGTTGTAAACCACTACCAAGCCTTTTATAATAAAATATTACTTTTTACGAAATTTAAGTTATTGATACACATATTAATGTATAACCAAATTAAATCTTGACCAATAAAGAACAACAGCTGAAAGTACCGTGTTACTTCTTTCATGAACTAGTTGAAAAGATGGACAAACTCAAAGAATTTATTGAACTCTCTTTAAATCTGTATATCTTTCGTTTAAGAACCTTCTAAAGAACCTTTATATAAACGATGACTATATCAAACATTAATTTTCTGTAGGCTGTTATAAAATACAAGAAATTTAAAGTTACAACTAACAAGTTCTTATAATATTATATAATTATTTTACGTTAATTTTCTAATTTATTTTATTAAAACATTAATTCAGAGCTAATTATCAGAATGTATAAATACAAACTTGTAATACGTACTATTACATAGTTAATGTAAAAGCCCTATTGCACTTTACCATATCAATTTCCTACGCCACTCACGCAAGTGGTACTAATTAAACGACAGAGGCTTTTATGTTACGTTTAATCTATACAAATAGCTTACAGCGTATCCGATAAATGGATGTGTTTATAATGACTTTTATTGCAATTGAATTGAATTAATTGGCTCTTACCGTAAATAAGTTACAACAAATTTACCAAAAGGTATTCAAGTAAATAAAAGGATTTTTAATAAATATACATAAACTTGTATATGAATTTAGTAACCATTAATACAAAATATCAGTAGATACTTATAAAAACAACTATTCAGATACAGTTTATTGCTAGTTGGTGTAGCTGATTATCTTTAGCATATTGCCTCAAGCTTTAATAATTACGGGTTCGATGCCCAAACAATACAATTCCAGAATAATACAACAGGCTCAAAAAAATGTGTATTCATCAGTCTCTTTGTATTAGTCTGGAAGCTTTATATGAATATGTATGTCTTTCCAAATGAAATCTATTAGTTGTCTAGTACTTGTAGTACAAGCTGTCCTAATTTATGATAAGGTGGTTATTTTCTCTGTTTAACTACATTTACGAGTAGCTCAGTGTGATTAGTAAATAAAAACATTCAGAACATCAAAGAACTAAAATATGATATGATCAATATCTACCACCTTAGATTTATTGATGTATGTATACCCAATTGTCTTTAGAACTGTTACTATGATGTAATCTTTGTCATTTTTTTTAATAATGTCTCAATTAAAAAACAAGAGCTCCACCGATAAGAGCGCGGCTTTTCAATTAACAATAAGAAATATCTATACCATAAATGCGATGGCGTATCCACATATATGAGGTACAAATTGAATGCTCTATTTTATTTTTAAGCGAATCACATAATCAGTCCAGAATTAGATCAAGTACTTGTGGTATATGAATCCTAGTAATTAAAGCACATCCCGGTGGGATCGCCTTTTCATAAGATACCACTAATTGGGGTCGTCGGTTACCAATATTCTACGCCTTTCAAATGTCTTACAGTACATAGGTATCTTACGGTATAGAGATATATATAAGGACGTTCAATTGAGTTCTGTTGTATTAAAATACAGTAATTAATAAAATGAATGAATACAATTAATATGTTACGAAAATAGGTACAATAATAAATAAATAAATAACCCTGGGCAATTAACATAGCGCTATCTAATCCCACAGTAAGCAGAGCTTGTGTTATGGGTACTAAACAAGTCATATAAATACTTATCCATTTTTTTTTCAATATATACATAATACACATAGATAATATCCAGATCTATGCAAACAATCATACACATAAATACAAATGTTTGCACCGTGCGAAGAATCGAAGCTGCGACCGTCGGAAGCAAAGCGGTGTGCTAGATGGCTATACCACCGAAGCCATCAAACGACTAGAGTTCATGTTTTCTACAATGTCAATCAACAGCTATATGAATAATAAATACGCTATATTTAAAATATGGGCCGTTTAATTGGAAATAAAATTTGCTTTTTGTGAATATAATAATAGCACAATTTATCTTACAATATTTTTAAAGTAAACAAACGACGGTATTTAATATCACGTAAAATAATGATGTTGTTATTTTTAATAATGATAAACCATTATCTATACCATTTCATATACTTATTAGAACGTAATTACAAAAATGGTCATCAAAAACACTCTGCAACATCTCTTATATTATTAGTAACAACGATAAATCCCACGCAAAATGTAAGCTTAACAATTTATTATTCACGAGCCGGGCAGATTAATATTGCGGTCCCTAGAGCAAATATCAAAGTTAATAAGAATTTGTGAAAATATATACAACAGTTGATTTTGATATAGGAACCCTAAATCTATTAATTAATTATATACAATAAACATGTAGAAGTTCAAGTATGTAATATTATTTTATATATGGGTAAGATATAAAACGTGAATAACAATATTATAATTATCTGTTCAAAAAATTATATAGCTCCTGGAGTTTTAAACAAATTTATCAATACATCATGAGTGTTACAGAACACAATCGTGGTTTGCTTACATTTAAAAAGTTGTGAGAACAAATCTAGCCACACAAAAAAAAACTTTATTTATATTGCTGATTGACTCTCCGGTGAAGCAAACAAATATAAAATTAATTCGAGAACGGTGGTAGACTCCTGCCTACATAGGATTCAAATATACCCAACAAATGTGGTCATATCAAGTATTGCGTTCTCCTCGGCGACCACAATGTTAATTAACAGTATCTCTGAAAGAAAACCACCAAATTAGGTAGGTATACATGTTTGCAATACATATATCACAACTCTGTTTTATAGTATATCCGATCTGTAATGGTTAATATTACTGGATAATATTTTGTAGACTCCCGCGACACGTCTTCGCCTAGTGCTAGATCCAAATTATATAACAGCTATGTTGTATATGTAAATTTTGAAATAAATAAATACAAGTCACAAATACGGCTCACAAATACCTAAGAACGCAGATGTCTCCGTAAAAAATACCTCTCTGAGCCAACCTAGTTCAGATATGGTAATTAGAGCAAATTGTAGTAGAAAGAGGAAAGAATGCAAAAAGTCTCTACACTTGCCTAGATAATTATATCTGCATCTCCTAAGAATCCTTCTGTATAGTCTCAAACTGTAATTATACGCATCTATCTGATCATAATGTATCATTGAAGGTTGCTAAGCAGTTTCCACTAATATTGTAAATATATATATTTGACTATTACCTTTACCTTACATCATAAAGAATATAAAATCTCATAATAATTTCTTAATTATTATGAGATATTATATTTTTTATGATTAATATTAATATTGTATATTAATAAGCAATGTTGTATATATATAAATAATATTAAACGATTTGATTTCGTGATATGTGTCCTACACAAAGATATTAATAAAAAAATATGTCTATTATCCGACATTCCTTGAAAATATCTACGAAATTTAATAAGCAAATCGTTCAGGATAACGAATATATATATTACGCTTTAAAAATATTAGAACATGAAATAAATATTCATTCATTTGCGTTCTTAATTAAATGGTATAACATTACCTTAACAACCTCGTTGATGCTGTGAAGCGCAGGACTGGCTCCGAGCCCCGTGCCAACTTCAACCAATACCTCTTCTGGGCGCACTCTCCACGCCATGTTATTCAGCTCAGCATCGATACGGGCCTGCCTTTTAACAATAATCTTATTAAATGATTGCTATACTTGCAAAATGGTTTTCAAGTAACAATTTCTGTATTGGAGAATAAATATATAAATTGTTCAAGAAAAATGGAAAACCTTTTTCGGAGGTTGCGATGCGAAACTTTCAAACGGTATAATAAAGACACAGTACAATATCATGGGGAAGTTAAAGCAAAACGCAGCTGCGTAATTACGTCTAACTTAGGAGTTGTGGCTGAAAAATGGATCAAAAGCCTTTCATATTTTAATGGACATTTCATATATTTTAGGGAATAAAAAGAAAAAACTGTGTAACTCATAAATTCTAAAGATACGATACCTTAGTTTTTAATCAAATATGACGGTTGTAATCGTCACATATAAATTAATTAATATTATTAATTCCATAAAACACAAAGAATGTTGTTCTAAATCTAATAATCAAAATATGAATAAAATTAATTAATATATATCGTATATTAAACCTCCTAGTTTATTAAGTATCATTATATAATTAAACGAAAAAAATTAACATTGATATTTACAGTTAGAAGTTTTTACACATTTTTTTAAATATCTCTATATTTTCTAGCATTTCGCTAGAATCATTTCTATAGCACATAAAATTATATACCATTTCTATAGGACATAAAATTAAATTTTCATATTTGTTTTGGTCATTAGGTACTTAAAGGCAAATAAAAACAAGGAATATAACTAAATATGAATCTGAACTCTGTTTAAGATCTGAGAGACTTTTATAAATAGCATTTGTACGGATAACCTTCTTTGAAATACTTATTCAATCCGAACTAATGCAATTTTAAAAATAGCCGTAATAAATTTTAGGTAAAACTCCTACACAATATTAAATCTTGAAGCTGATATCTATATATTGTTACCTCTAATTACAAAGGCTTTAGAAAAGGTGCCGTTGATCTTACAACAGATGAGATCGGGTCTTAATATGATTAAATGAAATTGTTAGCGCGGACTAAATACAGTCTGCTTCATAATAAGTCAATTGTGTCTCTAAAATATATGAACGCTTAAATACAAATTCAATTAATCCAAAAAATTGTAAAATAAATTTATATTTCCTTACTTAATTTCTTATGTACATTTTATTATCAAATTGTTACTGCAAATAAATGAATTTTATTGCTCTATTCTCCATAAACGTTACATAGGTTGAAATTGGTTTATGTTTTATATTATAACTATTACTAACTATGTATTGATATTAGTAATTATAATTTGATTATTACGAATTTGTACATTTTATTTTGTGACTACGAAGATGATAATACCACAGATAAGAAAATATTACAGAATATTAACCATTCCTACCGCTACTATATATATGAAATGAACTGTACCTACAGAAGATAGTTTGAGAAGTGCCTTAAGTATTATCTTACAAATTAGGTAAACAAAGAAGATTAGGTACTTTCGTTCATAAATAAAGATTTCTTTCATAGGACGAGCTTACTGGAAGACATCTTTTTTGAGATAATCTCGCCTTTGTATATCATATTTAAAAAGAGGTATGTTTGTATATGTACCTTATGTTATATATATACATATATGTACAATAATAAATAGGCATAAAACAGCTTTATTTTGTGCTGCAGTAGGTACAACATTCAATGAGTAACTTATTGTGGTTCAATAAAAATAAAAAGTATTTTAAAAATAGGTAATAAATGTTTCTTCGAACAACGTTGGTCGCGCAAGATTACAAACCATACCAGGGTTGCCAACAATACTTCGGTTTAACACAGGCTTACCAGCTTTCACTACAATCAAAATTGTGTAATGTAGAATGCATCCGAGATCAATATTAAAATATTTGATACATAGTTGGTTAGCGTGATACATAAAATATAGATAACTTTTGAAGTCAGAATCTTTAAAGTTTTATTGACAACCCTGTGTCCTTTGCAGGAATTGATATAAGACTCGCAGGCTAGTTATAACATTTGTCTTTATTTACACACTATCTTTTTTTGTAGCATTGCACGTGATATTTTTAACTTTATACTTACTTATAAGCAACGCAAGCAGCCGTAACAGCGAACGTTAAAAATATCGCCAGTCCAATAAAGCAGTATATAATAACAGTCTGGGCCTCTGAGCAGCGTGAAAAAAATAAAAATCTCTTCATCAAGTGAACTGTGCACTAGGACGGAGACTTTCTAATCTAAACTTTGTCGAGGCTCAATTGTAAGAGAACTAAATTATTTGCATTTTATTCACGAAGGAAAGAAATGAAAATGAATGTGAAATTATAACAAGTTAAACGAGCAAAGCTAAACGCAATGTATTGGAGAATCTGATACACTTTTGTTGTCTGCAGAAGAACTTGTAATTAGTAAAGTTTATATCGATATTCACGGAGTTCTGGAGATTTCTAATTATTAATATTACTAACTAGCTATTTACAGAGGTTTTACACGTGCCAAAATATCTCTTCTAATCTCACATATCTATATTTCCTAACATTTATTTAATTAAATATTTATGTATCGCATATTATTTACTATAATCTCGTAATACTAGTGATCAAATTATGCTACCGACTATATATTTTGGACGTAATCAGCAAAGAGACTACTAGAAGAAAATTTCAAAAAGGAAATGGCTTTCTAGCCATTTCCTTAGCTGTATCTGGATATGCGGATATCAGGATAGTTGTATCTTGATATGTGGATTACCTAGTCCATTATCTAAGATAGTAATAGTTTAAATGAACACTTGATGAGTCTTTTTTCTATTCAAACTCATAGACCCGCGTAACTTCGTCTGCGTCACACTTCTGCCGTTTTTTTTGCTACATTTTTCATTATAGCTCAGCTTATACTGAGCATAATATACGTAGCATAATATTATATAGCCCATAATATTCCTTGAAGAATCAACTATTCAATATTAAAAGAATTTTCCAAATCAAGGTAATTTTGAAAATATTTTTTTTTACAAAATAGATCAACGATCAAAGAGATAGTACAACGATACAAATTCACAAACTTTACCTATTTATAATATTAATATAGGCAATAGTCCTATATATGCGTATTATAGAAGAATATTTGTTAACTGTTAATCCTTTTACCACTAGATACGTAAACTCACAATCAAGTAGTTGCTCTACCGTTTACCAATATGCGGTTCACCTTTGATCTAAGTTTCTATGGCAAAGTTTTTGCCGTTCGATAACAGATACAACTTTATTGAGATATAAGACCCTAATTATATATTGTCTTTATATCTCAATAAAGTTGTAATGGTAACGACAATTTGATCTTTATCTTTAACATTAGTCACAAAATGTCTTACGAAAATTGAATTTAATTTCCCTAGACGTGACTGGCACAAGAATCTATTACATGACGAATAAGAAAAGTATATTTTGTTCAAAAAAACAAACCGAAATTAATGAGGATAGAATTTGTAAGTGACCAAAACTCAAATAATTTCCATATATGTATATAAAAAAAAATATGTGCAGAATAGGTACAGATTGATGAATTTTGTTTTACTATATGTAACGCGTAAGAAAAATAATATAAAAAATATTTGTAAAACTTAGCACGTAAGATATACCTGTACAAAAAATTCCAGTGAAATTGACGACCTCTTTCCTCCTTTTTGAGATCATTGAGGAATTATGAATTTTATTGTCAGTAGTATAAGTATTGAATTCATTAGTACAGGTGGTTTTTTTTATATGTATGCATGAGAAATTAATGAACGACAATATAGTATGTACGATTCTCAAACAATTGTAGCGAAAGAGGACAACATATTAACATTTATAATATTAATTCCCATACATATAGTTACAAAAATATATCAGTGTAAAAACTAATATAAGATAAAATATTGTAATAAGATATACTTTACCTCCCTGGCACATGGGGTCTGTGCCCCAAAACCCGCACCTTGGTGTATCTGGTGGCGGACCTCGACGACCACCAGGCCAATGTATCGCCTTACCAGCCACCGGTTTGTAACTGCTATTCAGACCGTGGTAAAATGCCACAACCTACGCAAACAGAGGTCAATATATTCTTAAAATATTATATATAGGCAGTGAAATTACAGGGTAAGGACATAATATTTAAGCTTTCATGAATAGCAACAATTGAGAACAGCTTTATTCATTCATAATTTAAAAATTGCGCTATTGCAATTTCCTGTTTTTTCATCAATTTGTTTAATTGTTGATACAACAGGACTCCAACCTTTTTCTTGATTCGTTAACAGCTTTTCCTTTTTCTTGATTTAATAACAGTGTCTTGATCTTCCCCTTCCCCTCTTTCCTTCTATCTTTCTTTGGCCCAACATTATCCCACGTCTATTTTCAATGGTATTTATGATTTCCTTTGCAATACGTTGTCATTTATATTTTATCTTTTAAGCCAATTCTTTCCATCCTTCTCCAACAACATATTTCAAACTATCTAGAAGGCTACTACAGGAGTCATATGATAACGTAATGTCTGTGGTAGGTACTGTTCGTGTATGTATATAGGCGACGGTTACTATTTTCCATCCGATTGCCCGTTAACTTGTTTAGATCATATCAGATTGTTTAGAAGGCATATACGTAACTTAATATAATTGTGCAGTGTAAATATAGCTTTGGTATAAATTTACACTAATATGTAATATAATGACTGCCATATAAATCTCAAAAATCGAAGATCACGAAATTTAACTGTGCAGACTGTCAAATTGTTTTTTTTCCAAAATATCAATAATTTTACAAGAGAAAATAAATTACAGAATATATTATAAGGAAATAATCAACACCAAATGATTACTACCGAATTGGCCTTAGGGATAAATCATATAAAAAAACAAGTTTATTCATGGAACGATCAATAACATAATATTTACTTACATCGGCAATAATCATCACATATTATTATGTTGTTGTTGTTGAAACATGTGCAGATATACATGTATATAAAACCGACGGAAATAAATATAATTCTAGTACGGTTCGTATTCAAAATTCAATTTTGAGTTTATCGTATAGAGTCGAATGTGCAAGAGTATTATTGAACACTAGCTTTTGCCCGCGGCTTCGCTCGCGTTAATTTATCCCCTTAGGGGTGGAATTTATCAAAATTCTTTCTTAGGGGATGCCTACGTCATAGTAGTTATGCATGCAAAGTCTCAGCCCGATCGGTTTAAAATTAACAAAGTTTCATACAAAATTTCATCCCTTATTTTATCCCCTTGGGGGTAGATCTATCTATCGATCTAGATAGATTAATCAAAATCCTTTCTTAGCAGACGCCTACGTCATAACATCTACCTGCATGCCAAATTTTAGCCCGATCCGACCAGTGGTTTGGGCTGTGCGTTGATAGCTCACTATGTCAGTCACCTTTGAGTTATATATATTTAGATAGACTAATATAGATCGCTACATATTGCCGAATAGACATCTAAATAAATCCTCTATTTGCCATTTTTATTCGTTCAGTAGATAGGTAGCTACGTGAAGTTTGAATAATTTTATTTTCTTCCAAAACTTTAATAAAAAAAATCTGTTTCAGAAATATTTTTTTAAATAAATTTATAATGCTGCCAGTATTTAATATACACAATTAATCAGCTAAAACAATTTTAATGAAATTTTATACGATAATACTCGAGAGGAAGTCTAATGACTTTATTGTATTATTATATTCCTAAGGGGAGTAAAATGAGACTCACTGATATTATCATCAACCTCCATCTCGTCAATTGGATCTGTCAAATTCTAACTTCCCAACTAATATTATAAAAGCGAAAGTGAATTTGTTTATTATGCTTTCAGGCCTAAACTGGTGAATTGACAATGAATATGATGAGTTTTAGTATAGAGATAATTTGAACTCTAAAGACGAGTTACTTATTCCCGCAAAAAACATATGGAGTGTGGGGTTAGGTAAAGAGCAATTTTTGTATAAAACTTATACTGCGTCGCCCGATTAACTTTAAACTTTACAGAATTATTTTTTATCATTAACTAGCTTCCCGACCTGTCTTCGCACAAGATATACGATATACATATGTTGTACAAATAAACCTTGATTCACTCTATCGATTGCTGAAAACTGCCTTAAAATCCGTTGCGTAGTTTAAAAGATCTAAGCCGGAGCGACTTCTTTTTATACTATACAATGATAAACATAATTAAAAAAATAATTAATATTCCATACGCAGGCGAAGTCGCTGATAAAACCTAGTAGGATATTATATATGTTTAGATGTAACGTATCTGAAATCAAGCGACAGTAATCCTTAAATTGAACTTTTCCCAAAGGATGAGAGGCCGAAATATGAAGATAAGTTTGAACCTCCTTGGTAGTAGATGCTCAGTTTTATAAATAGATACCGTCTACTATTAATATACATCTACATTTCCATTCAACCTATTCAAGTACTATTGCAAATTTAACCATCAATATCGGCGCATAATTAAAAAAATAACACATAACATTTGTTACCCACAATTTGGTCTGTTTTTATTAAGATGATAAATCATTTATGTCCGTTTTCATGATATCTATCTTCGCATAATTCATTAGCATCCGTCCAGCCGTTTTGTCGTAAAAGTGTAACAGAGTAACAGAGTTAAGAAGCCGCCAGACACCCTTTCACATTTATAACATTAGAACGCATATGGATTACAAATCAGTAGAAATCTATCTTGTATATACGTAGACTTTTTACATATATATATATTTTAGAAGATACAGACAAAAAATATATGTATGTCAGAATTTAATAGTATTTAAGTTTAATTATATTGTGAAATTATATATTTTCGTATAGTTACTAAATCATGGCAGCATTTTACTTATTTCCGTACAATTCTTGTAATATGTTTGCACACGTGTCAGCGTACCTCAAATTTTCCGGTCACCGGATCTAAATCTAGTATTGCGTAGTCGGCATCTCTATCCCCCACTGCGTCGATTCTTACATGCCCCGTTATACCTGTACACAAAATTAAACATAATAGAAAGCTGTAAGTTCTATAATAATAATATTAACCCAGGATAACTTATACGGGACAATCTAGTCCCAAGCAGAGCTTGTGTTATTACTAGACAACTGATAAGAATACTTGAATTATTTTTTTTGTAAATACATACGTATTTTTTTTTTAATATGCGTAATATATGTATATAACGTATGTATTCACTTAATAAAAAAAAGTCTCTCAGAAAACAATCTAAGTGTACGCGAGAGAGCTCCTCTGCTACAAACAATCATACTCATGAATACCGTTTACACCGTCCGAGGAATCGAATCCGCGACCATCGGAAGAGAAGCGATATGCTCAACCGCTAGATCTTCGAGGCTGTCAAAACGATATTGTAGTTCTCTCAAGAAAAAATGGTGCTCTCATTTTTTTATACACTTTAACTCGTAATTAATAGTCATTTTATGACTTTAATTTGCAGAATCTGGACACATGGCCTTCTTTCACAGATCTTGAGAAATTATATATGAAACCACAAGAGATGCACCAGATAATAAAAAAAATCTCAAAATCGGTTCACATACAAAAAAGCTCTGAAGTACATACACAAAATTCAATTTGTACATATGAAATTAAATAAAAGAAACAACAAATTTATTCAACTAATAAACGTACAAACCGATGAATATAGGAAATATTATGTAATATATAAAAAAATAATATTCACTTACCATGGAAATCACGGCCCCACATTCGTCGAGTGATGGTCCGCCCATCTCTTATGTCCTCCCCAACGGTTAGAGTCTCATTCAATGCCATCCCCAATAAGTACACACCGTCGTAGAAAGCGCCGATAAAGAAATTCACCTGTTAAAAAGCAGTTCATTAACGTAATTATGCTCAACTAACGTCCTACTTCGACTTCGCAAAAAAAAGTAAGATCCCTGTAATATAAGTGTACCCTTACACTTATATTACAGGGATTTCATTTTTTTTTAAAGTATATTACATCATTCATGTTTCTCACTAACAGTGTAGCTTCCTAGTTCTGAAATTATTTTAAAATCAGTTAAGGTACCATCAATACATGATGTCAAATGATTTATGGCTCCCCCTTCGACCTTGACACAGCTACAATTAACTCCTTCTGTGACGTCACCTATGTAACAATTAAATGACGTAGTCTAGTAACTTGAAACAGTTATGCTCGCTATAAAGTTCAAACTTGTGGCTGCGTGGTGGGCCGGGTCAATGTGTTCCCTCTAATATAGTTGAGTGCAATGATAGTTTATCCGTTAGACTCGTGAACAAGTGCTGCTTGCGAGAACTGGTATGTTTGAGTTGTGAACACTGATTAGACTATTTGGCAAAATTGCAATATGCTGGTAGTCACTGTATTCTCCAAAAATTTAATTTAAAAATGAATCTTTACTATTGTAAACATGTACAGCCATTTTGAAAAGAATACGACCTATGTTTCATATCAGTTCTTCTGATGTCGAAATCATTCCGAAATGACGGTAGATTTGACATATCATAAGACTCTGTAATAGACCTACATGAATAAAGATATTTGATTCAATGTTTATATTATCAAACAAACAGCAAATTCCAATTGAATTTCCATTTATAATAATATTTAATAATAAAATACAATGTATAATGTCAAAACCCTTAATAATAACACGCGATATATATATATATATATATATATATAGCACATGAAAATTAGTCAAATAGATAAACTTTATAATATATAGATATTATTTTCCCCATAAGGTAACTTCAAAAAAAGAAAACTTCCCAATTCCCACAATAAACCTAAGCTCGAATAGAATCGACTTTTAAAAAGTTAGGTAAGTCCCTCACGAGTTAAGTGCCGAAGCGGTCCCATAAAGGTTGCAGTTCACGATAATAATATAACGTAAACTTTACACGAGTTCAATGAACAGACAAAATATTTAGGGAGCTACGTTGTCACATTCACATATAAAAACTTGATAAACGCGACACTTGCTACGTGACAAGCAAAAACTATCAATTTTGTCTACATACATACTTACTGAAACCTTAGAAAGATTATTATAAAAGAAAATAATATAATGTTTTGTTATCATATCTAATTTAGATAGAAAGTCATCCGAAATAATGTTTATATTTTTTTCCTGTTTATTTATTCAGGAGCTTAGGTTCGCAATAATCAGAATATTCTCACTAGGGATTTACTGATTCACCTGAAGATAATGGACGGTAATAGGAGGGTACTTCAAATCCTCGTTTGCGTAGTAATTAATAATAGTAACCTTGGACGATTTGCAAGCATCATATTGTCCCAAACAAAACAGAATTTGTGTTATGGCTTCCAGAGAACTAATAGAATACTTGGATAGATATTTATTATAATAATAATAATAATAATAGTAATAATATAATATATATATATATATATATATATTGTCAATACATGCATAATATATTTAGAAACCACACCCAAACACCCAGACCGAGAAAAACTATCATACTCGATAATATAAATGTTTGCGTCGTACAAAGAATCGAACCCGCAACTATCGAAAGTAAGGAGGTGTGCTAAACCGTCAACTACTACTTAGATTAGGTAATAAATTAACTGGAAAGACGTACAGAAAAAAACTACATGTACATCCGAAACAAGTAAAATAAAAGCTTATCAAAGGATCCTAATAACATTATATAACCACGTTAGTTAGGGCAGCTAGTTATATGACTTGGTTTTCCTCAAGTAATAACACGTTATTATTTGAGGAAAACCAAGAAGCTTATTACCTGAGGCAGGTACTATTGTTTTGTGCACAAGAAAATATTTGCAGCTTTTTCCTTTACATGTTTGGAGACGATCCCACACAACTCAATTACACCTGACTTTCGACAACTATAATCCATATCTACCACCTCCGATTGATCGCCCTCCAATTCTAAAGGGGATTGAAATCCGAGGTTCGAACTCCTAGCGGTGGCTTCTGACTAAAGTAGTATTCCTCAGCCATGAATTAGCCTTTAACTGCTCCATAAGTCCTACCGCTGGTTTGTTGTGCCATCTGCACTCGCTCACTATCGTTCGGTGAAGCTGTAAAGGCCAGCAGTGGCTAACAGCATTCGAAAAAATGTCCATGTCCATACTAATATTACGAATGTAAAAATGTGTCTGTCCGTCTGCTTCTCACTTTTTTACCACGACTAAACGGCTGTACAGAAATTTACGAAATATGTAAAGATATAGTTTATTTCGAGGATGAACATAGGTTATCTTTAATCTTAGAATATCTAGGAGACATTATAATAGGCGTGGGTAGTAAAGTGTGTTCAAACGAAATCGTGTCTAATAGCTAGTTTTATATAATCACAAAAAATATTTTACTATCACAAAAAACATACAATTAGTTTGAAGGGATGCTGTAGAGTATGGAGACATGACACTTAGTAGTCAGAAATGAGAACTCAGATGAAAGTAAGCTAAGTAAAAATCTAAGATAAATACTATTACATCTTAACTATATATTACCACAGGTAACATAATATTACATAATATTACGTTTATCAAATATACTAACCTCTTCACCATCCATAAAAGTATAATTATAGTGTTGCTTCGCTCTCGCTCTCACTGCATCAGCGAAATCATCAAACCGATCGCCGGTGGGCAGTTTCAGGGATACTCTGAGTAGGGCTTCATACGCGACCCTGGCGGCTGCGTCTCGATTGTCACCTGCCGCCCAACCTGTCTCGCCCCAATACCCGCCCTACAGAATAACCACAAAATAACAATATTTATACCATATAATTATATCTTTTATTTTTTATAACCACATTTTGAAGTAGTCATATGTGCCCCTAATAATATCTATAATCTTTTAACACATGTTAGAATTAAATTAATTCACTAGTTTTATTTTACACTTCATACAAACGGGATATTTATGATGGTAATAATAATAATAATAATAACCCAAAAATTAATAAAAATAGATAAATAGAGACAACGTCATCTAACCCCAAATTAAGCAGAGCTTGTGTTATGGGTACTGGACAACTAATAGAAATAGATATTTTTTGTAAATACATATGTAAATAGAAAATACACAGAACTATATAAACAATCTTACTTATGAATACAAATGTTTGTACCGTGCGAGGAATCGAGCTAAACAGCTAGACCACCTAGCTCGTAAATAATATTATTTATGAGCTTCCGATATTTCGACCCTATTATTAACGTCTTGGTCAAGGGTCGCCTGGAGATGACAGTAGATGTACGAATATGCTTACTTAGTCTTTTTGTACGGACCACATAATCACTACCGCTGAATATCACTTGTTAGAAATACGAGAAAATATATTCACTTCGACTTTTTGTATCATGTGATAAAAAATTATTTTCGTAGTAAATATCCCGTTTATATCTTATGTACAATTTTACAATTGTACAAAATTATAAAGAACCGTGAAAATAGTGAATTAATTTATGCACAACAAAAAAGATAATTCAGCATAACACAAAATATCCAGACTTAATATAAACTATTCGGAGAAAAAATATTTTCGTAATCTATGTAATATATATATAATACAACAAACACGTAACACGTAATTATACTAGGTACAACTTAAAAACTTCTGGGGAATTCATTTATACAGAGGAATAAACTTACCATTGCGTTAAACATTCTCCAAGTTACATACAATGAAAACGTTTATACTGAATTTTCGTTATTATAAACACATTATTTATTAAGTCTTAATTCATTCTTGTAATATGTATATATATGAAAATTAATTGAAACTTGCAAATTAAAGCAATGTTCAAACAATAATTTCGCCATCCGCATATTAAATGAAAACAAAGGAGCAGAACCCGCTTAGAATACAAACTTTAAACTCCCTGATATGTATATGAATAGGAGAGTAGGTGCCAAGACTCAGAAGTCAGCTTAAGGAGCGATGTTTTGAATTAATAACGGAGCTTACGAATAGCAAGGTTACTTATAGTTGCATTTCAGATTGCACCTTTTTTAATTAATTAATTAAATTCTTAAAGTAGGTAAGCAGTAAGTAATTTCCAATATCCAAAACAAAGTCTTTCTGCACGAAAGATCGTCAATCAATCTATTGATGATATGAAAATTAAGGTGGTCGTAGAACAAAATATTAATTATCATTAAATGCCACCTCGATTAAGCGCGATTACTTTAACGAGTGCGCCAGTGGTGATCAACCAATTTTCAGAGATATTTCTAGCAGTGAAAAATCTCTGATTATTTATTTTCAAAATTAAAAATTTTGAGGGTTAAAGATTAATATTATAACAAATTTCAGAAAGAAGAATATCTGGAAAAGGACTAAAAATAGACAGAGAGAAGAATTCTTAAGTGGTAACTGGATATCAATAAATGTACGTCATTGACCATTCTTTAGAGGAGGACTATAGTCAACAAGTGACAATAGTTGAAATATTCATGGTGATGATCATGTAATTAAATCCTTATATATAATCATGATTAAACAAATCCTCGGAACGGCGTGGTCGTTCCGTGAAGCCTGTGAAGACACCAGTAGGCATCTGCACTTCCTAGAGGAGCTTGGCTGGCTACTTTGGTAGTCTCGGACCTTAAGGCACAAAGGCTCAGAGGAAAGGCTAAATGAGAATAATAAAGAGTTGGTCTGTTCTTACATTACATTATAATCATGGTTATACAAACCTGGAATATTTCTACGTCCAGAAACGCCCAGTCTCCTCTCGTCATACCAAGTGTATGTGCAGCTAGTAGAAACTCACGCACCAAAGGCCCTCGAACGCTCAGGATAACAACTGACAATAAAATAAAGTTATTACAAAAAAAAATGTGTATTTGCCTTATTTTATTATTTCACTGTTCGTGGGAAGTTAGCAGTCGTGGGTGTACTTCGTTACTTTTCGTCGAGTATTTTTGAAGACAGGGAAGGCAAGACGAAAACCTACCACCGCCTTATCAAAACACAAAATATAAGTGCGATTGATGGCAATACGCCTATAGTGAATGTAATTCACTTTTTTTATGTAACTGGAATGGCCAGTGTGCTTATTTAATGGTAAGTGTCAGCCATCATCAGTATATATGTATAAATAGATCAACAAACACTAAGTCAACCATTTTGGAAGATTCCATTAATTCTCACTATCTATTCATGTAAACTATTCTTATTCTGTTATCTTTCGCCCTCTTAGCTAATTCCTCACTACGTGTTAAATAATTACTTTGTTCTTAATATTTATGTGAAATAAAATAAAATGTAAATATTGTATGAAAATAAAAAATATTATTATTAATATATCTTTATATCTTAATTGTGATTTATTATATTTATAGATAATATCATTCGCGTTTTAATCTGATTATTTTTAAACTAATAAGCAATGTGTTATTGTATAAACTGTATGTATTATATATGTTAATTAGTATTGTTTATTTTTAATATTACTTTGCTTTTTTTATTTCTCTAGCTCATTCATGCGGCAACTACCTAGTTTGGGTACCCAAACCTAGTCTGGAAGAGATTGCTTCTGCGATAAGACCGCCTTTTGTACCTTACCTTCCTATACACGTAATAATGTATATTCTTTGTAATTTAATTTCGGTGTAATAACGACTTCATTAAAAATAAATAAATAAATCGCTATGACAATAAGATGATGTGACTTTGTACACCTCCTATCATCCTCCCCTGTCGGCCCGCCCGCCCAGCGGCACCGTTAGTACAGGCGGGTGCACCGTTCCATTATCACTCATTAAATAAAACAGAGTGTAGTTCTCAGAGTAATTTTATCAAGTTTGAAATCGATGTTTTATATAATAATATACTATTGATAAATAGTAATTTTGCAATGAAGTATTGAATTAAAATGAACTGCCTATATATCTTATCAATATTATAAACGCGAAAGTTTGTGACTATTGATGAATGTTTGATAAACTTTACGCAAAACTACTGAACGGATTTTGATGAAACTTTACAGTAATTAAAAAATTTGCTTATACATCAGAATAACATAGGCTATAAATTTCCCGCGGGTGAAACCGCGAGCACAGCTAGTCTCATATAAATATATACATCTCGATTTTTATATACATCCACCATTATCGTGATCTTGACTGAGGATTCACAACGTACTTTGTGCGTGACCTTTATGTAACCTTGAGCTTACCTGTTTATGTATAAAAGATTAGGTGAATTGAAAAAAAATAAGGCATTTTATTTACCCTTACCCTTTCAACTGTTTTTATAATCCATCAACGGTGACAGAATAGATAATAATCTTACCAACTTTTCAAGTTAATCTGATCCAGGCAATTTTTATGCAAAAATTTCTTTTTGAATATTCCGATAATTCACAGAATATTCCGCAGTCTTTGAATTACTTTTAAATATTAAAACCTTTGGGGATACTGAAGGGTTTTCAAAAAGTGTTTTACCCTTTATGGGTCAGTATTGTAATGGTATAATTGACGCGGGGGCCGGTTAGGCATGAATAAATAATTTGCGATTTTTTCAAAGGGTCAGTCAAGGTCAGACCCGCTGGTTGCTTTTGGGTCATGTTCATACTATATTATATGTATTACGAGACATATGCGAACAAATATAAAAGTAGACAATATTACTAAAAACGACAATTACTAATAAAACTATTATAACATATTTTAAAGATTTGAAATAAAACAAAACAATAATAGTTAGAAATGTTTGTTTGAGATTTCCGTTTTTCATGAATAAGGTAATCTGTATATGTATAAGGAAAAGCATTATTGAAAAACTAGCTGACTCATTACTAAGGCTACAAATAAGATAACATTACACACTAAGGCGAAACTAAGGAAATAAAGAACCGATGTGTGATAGGTTTAATAAATGTTGCAAACATTTATTAAGCATTGAATAATACGTGTGTGATTATGTATTATTCAATTTATTTTTATTTTATCAATTAAAAATAAAAACAGAAAGGAAATACTACATATTTATATAATAATAAGAAATATTATGCATATTATATAAATATATACATATTATATAAACTGTTCAATACAAAAGATGGAAGCTTCATTATATTCCTGAATAATAAAGTTATATTTTATAAATAAAATAAATATTTGCTGAAACAAAAGAATATATAATTTATAAAAAAAAATACAATATAGCATTAGAGATAACCCGCTATTTAAACAATTTTCGTTTTACTTTTTTATCTGAACGTCATGAGCATAATACGCTTTCTACAAAGCCTGCCGACGTCTTTGATAACTGTGTGCCTACTTGAAAATTCTGCTTTGAACTCTCTGTATGAAACATTCCATCTGATCAAGAGGCTTAAAACGTGATGCTATTAAACTCTGTTACTACATTAAATCTGTACGGGCCTCATGTACCATATCGTGACAGCTAATTTCGCAAATCTATTTGATTTTATATTGAGTTTCAAATTTAGGATTGATACAATAATCTTCATCTGTAACATACAGTAATGAAAAGACACAAACAATACATTAAAGAACACATGTTTAGTTACAATAAGACGGCCTTATTGGTGAAATCAATCGTTTCAAGGTAACCTTAGGAAAACGGATTTAAATATCGAACAGGAAGGTAATATACATATATACAGGAGAAACCTAAAAAATAAGAAACATAACGTATAATGATGATGATTGGTAATAGGAATGAAGAAATGACAAAAAGGAATGAAATCCATATAGATAATAAAAAGCCATACACGTTATTTCATTGTCAAAAATCTAATTTTGTTTTAAAATGTATTATATGCCTACTTTTAAAAGAGATACTAAAGTAATCCTAAGAACATATTTTCTCTCATCTCATATTCCAATCGAGAAATGACAGTTTAAAAAGGTTTTTTTATGTTCAAAACTCAGTCCTGCATAAAGGGACAGACATCGCTCATGAACGCATTTCGATGAATATAGGCACAGAAATTAGTTCAAAAAACATTACACCAAATCGTTTGGCAACTATAATTGGCTAATATCCTCGTCTTAGTGAGAAAAACCCGAGCCTGTAATGTGACGTTGATTGTTATAGATGAAAGAAGTACAATACCATGACATATCTAAATTGAGATCACAGAACAAATAACAGTTGCTATCCCAAGTCAAACACAATAAAACGCGCAACTTATTGACTGTGCGATAATAAAATAAAATCATAATAAATATAGAGTCCTCGTTAAACCTTTCAGCTGCAATGAAATATCGTACTTTATAATCGTCAGTATAAAGAGCAAAACCATAAATTCAATTATACACGACCCAGTACACGCAATGACTTTGAACTTTCTCCCGTTCCAGACATGATATAAATGGTTGAACGTGTCTATATATGACTTCAGATAAAATAAAATAATACGACTACCCACTGCAATTTGTAGAACAGATACAAAGAGAAGAGACTAATGATGGGAGACTACTACCCCATTGCTAGCCATAGACACCGTATTAAGCTAACGATTTTCCTGGACACCTCTACAGTTTTATGGATGATAATACAATGATGTACCTGCACTAAAGGCATAGGCCGGTGCGCTACCAGTGGAAAATAGTAATAGATATATATAATATATAGAATTCTCTGTATTACTAACAAACCTATCCCTTCCTGCCTCCTGCTATCTTAGTTGTTAATTAATAAAGAAGTCGCTACGGTAGGTTAATTGACCTAAGTTACATATCTTACCTTTCACGAAAATAAACAGGGGGTGATTACTTATTAACAATTTATATATCAGACACGAGGGTCTCATGGGTGTCTACTGACCAGATGCGACCTCATCCTTTGATCCTTTACTGAGACCTCACCAGCGTACAATATTACAGTAGAATCTACGAAAAACCGTTTTGAAACGTTATGAATGTTTGTAATATACAATTTTAATTTATATTTTTTACTCATTAAAATGCACAGATACATTTAGTGCAGAAGAGTCATTCACCGCTGGATATAGTAATAAAGTATTTTATGTAAATTAGTGAGTTGTTTTACGACGACTGTATACCTAGTTACTTTTATTAGCAAGTTAAGCAAGTTAATGCACTTATTATGCGAAATATAATTTAAGACATTGTTCTATAAAAAACGACTTTAGTCTTGTAGAAATTAGTAATAGGACAAACAAGAGAGTTCATTCCCTTCTATATTTCTTGATGTTGTTTAAATTTCGAATCAATAGTAACTTATACATATTCACACTAAAAATTGTTATACAGATTTATACAAAAATGGAATAAAAAAGTTCATCTCAAGAATATGTAGCAATACAATTAACCTTATGTAATTATTATATTAAAAGGAATAATAATATATAAAATGGTAGCAAGTTGTGTTTGCCCTATATAACGGAACTGTGGCGTTTGGAATATTTTCTTATTAAAAAAGTAAACATCAAAATATCTAAATAGGTTTGGAATTTACGAAGAAAACACAACGAATAGTATACAAAAATATATCACATTTGTGAAGCTGCTTCCTTTTAAAGTCGCTTATGTCACAAATTTCAGATTCTAATCGATTATGGTTTGTATTTTTATTTCTAGCACTAATGCAATAATATAAAGCCCTGTCAAAGACATTTTTATAAAGTATTATAAAGTTTAGTTACGTATTTAATACATTGCTAATATAGATTCATGACTTATTTTGTATAACTGGAGTAGCAATATTTTGACAGCCTAGTGATGAAAAGTAATAACTATCGCCTATAGGCAATAACCACAATAATAATATCACTAAACAAGTCACACAGCGCCATCTAGCACCAAGGGAAGCAGAGCTTGTGTTATAGATACTAGATATAATACATAAATACATTTTTTAAATACGTACATCATATACATACAGCCAACACCCAGACCGATACAAATAATCATACTCATGAATACAAATATTTGTACCATGCGAATTCCTCGCAAAGCCACGACCATCAGAAGTAAAGAGAAATGCTAAACCGCTAGACCACAGAAAGAATACTGTGGTCAAGCGGAAAGAAAAAAAACAAAACAATGTTATTGAACGAAATAATTTTTTTCTGACTAATACTAATTACTTGACTTACTACTTTATATAAAATACAATGATAATATAGGAAATAAGATATTCTGTTTTGACCCGAATTATTTATATAATAAAAATGAATTTACCTCGTGCGTACATGCTGACGTCCCGTAATAGCGCCTCACAAGACTCCCTCTCGTTTCCATCCAGTTCTCTAACGGCTTTCAAGATCCCCTCCTTCCGTAGTCCCCATTCTAAGCTTTTACCTGAATAAAAAATGTAGACTCACTAACGGTCGGATTTGATCGCTATTACAGAAGGTCTTCCACAGAGTAACACCCAATTCGATTAAATATAAATGAATATTACTACTTTAGAACACTATTTTGATTTGAGCTTGGTCCGATCAATTCATTGCCAAACTCGTTTCTTTTCATGGATGATAATATAATAGAACGGCGTATTTAACTGCGCTAACGATATATACTGACGGGACTCGAATGCAGGATGAGACGAAATCAGGTCGGTTATCTCATTGTAGGAAATTGACCACAATGGTTTCCAAGTGTGGGGACCACTATTCCCCACTATCCCTTGCCCCGAGTAGGAATTGTTAGTAATTGAAAAGTAATGGCCCCATTGCTAGCTATATAGGTCGTAACAGATCCACCTTCACGATACTCTCTATAAACAGTCCTGACGAATTTGCGATGGTTGGCAAACTGATCTGATTTCATGCTCCTTTTATCATCCTCTGCAAGTGCCTCTTGCCATTCCATTATCATCTATTAAAAAACGTATAATCATAACAAGGTACTTTAATATATATATAACTGAATTCGTTCTTATTAAATACTAATTTAAATTATTTATGTTTGATTAATTGATGATCATTTCAATTGATGTTGTTTCATAAAATGAATCTTTCAAGATAGAAGTCACAATAATAAGTAGCATATATATAAATAATTGTTGCATTAATTACGAACTACGAATAGCTATCCTCGTATACATCATCAAAATGTCAAGGCGATAAGTGTATATTGGTTCGGACGAAAATAATTTCGGTACTGCTCTGGTCAATTGAGACACAACTAAATCTTAGTAATTCTATATCCAATAGTATGTCTTAAAGCTACACACGGTACCACTTAAGTCCCGATTGGTCGGAACAACAGACCCTTTCAGTAAGTAATAGCATGCCTAGACCGAACGGGTACCACATTGTGACTTTATCTTAAATTCACAATGTGGTACCCCTATTAGTACATATACAAAGCGTGTAACAAAACTTTTGATATAGTATTCGACTGTATATTTCAATTTTTTTTTGTGCATGCTGTATACCTACATGTCGTTATTGACAGGGTTGAACAGTAGCCTATACCTTTCAATGATGATAATGCTACGTATATGCTAAACATGATATTTGATAAAGTGTGTGAGCATAAAAAACAAACCCGATTTCGGATTCCTCGAATCCATCCCCGACAATCGAAAGTAGTTCAGTGTTCAAAACCTAAGCTAGACCACTGAGGTTGTCATGTAAGATGAAATATAAATATGTGACGGCATGTGTGTGTATGTTATAATAATACTGAAATAAACTCACCAACAGTAAGGGAGAATAGATCAGACTTGTCAAGCAACAGTGCAACGTGCGCCCACCCGAACCTTTCGAAGACGCTAGTGAATACGTGCGGTAGCCGACATTGACAGTACGACATCCGAGTCAGTGTGGGGTACTTTCCTTTGTCGTTGAACAATGTTTGAGGCTACAAAACAAGACATCAACAGTTTACTATACATACCTATCATGTATATGCTTATGTATATATATATATATATTTGTGTAGATTGTATGTAACGACTTAAATCTTTCAGCCATATTTTTTTATTGTTATAGTAATCATTTGTAGAAGTTTATTACAGAACAAAAAATTAAGAATACTAAGCAGAAATATGAAAAATTCAGGACATTTGATAGGTGGCGGGCGTATTAATATATAAGACAACGGATATTTATAGGAGTATATAACAGGCAAGTTTTTGTTCGCTCTTCTTGTGATGCGTATGCATTCCGAATGAGTGGTAGAGTTAAAAAATGTGACTATTCAAAAGTTCTTACATTAAGTTTTTTTAAATAAAGATTATATCTATTTCTATAAATGGCATATCTTATATATAAAATTCTCGTGTCACGGTCTTCATTCCCATACTCCTCCGAAACGGCTTGACCGATTCTCATGAAATTTTGTGAGCGTATTGAGTAGGTTTGAGAATCCACCCCTAATTTTTTATTTTTATTTTAAGGCAAAACAACGTTTGCCTGGACAGCCAGGACAGGTAATACATATATTAATATAAACATGACGTATACCCCCGTATATAAATAATAAGATACTACAAAATTAAAGACATTATTAGTTGTTACCGGGGTACACTTACGACACAATCTTTCACCTTGTTTTGGCATTTTAAATAATGATTTCGACAATTCACACCCAGCGCCATCTAATCCCAAGCTAAGCAGAGCTTGAGTTATAGACAACTGATATGAATACATATAGATATTTATGTACATTTTTTTGTAAATACATACAACTTAATAGGTTGTAGGTAACAAAGAAAACACCCGGACCAATACAAACAATCATACTCATACAACTCAACTCTTATTCAACTCATTATTTATTTTTTTAATATTATATTACTTATTGTAGTACTATATCTTACAATGTATGATTGTAGTAAATAATATTGCTACCTTGATTCCTTTGCGTAGATTTCTTAATCGATGCATTCTGCTGACAACACTCGCTGGTGCTGCCAGTTCACCTTCAGAAGGGGGCTGCAACAAAATTAAAAGTATACTAGCGGATCCGAAAGAAGTAGCCTACCCGAAAAAGCAGTTCACCAATATAATTAGCTTATACAGCTACGTTATAAGATAAGAAATAGCTTTAATAATTATACAAAAATATTTCCAATAAAAAATACAGTTTTTTTAATTTTATTTCCACTCTTACAGCTATTTTTATAGTTCTTAGCCTAATAGAATAGTGTAGCTAGTATTTTTTTTAAATTGGTTGTAACTTATAATACATAAAGTGCTCTTCGTGAATTCACTCATTTTAATAAGCTACTAACTAAAGTAATTTGTACAGAGTACAAATGTACTACAAAAGTACTCGAAGATGAGAAGGCAAACGACGAAATGGAATCATCTTAAGAGGGATTACAGGTAAAGCCTCATGTGCCACTTAATTGAACACATCTCTGTAAACCACATTTTATGCTTGTTGAAAGTCCTACTATGTAAAGCCTATATAGAATATATATAGAATAATTAGGTGTAATGAACTTGTATAATTCGGGATTGAACTAATACTCCCAACAACGAACTACGCTAATTAGTTCGCAGATTTTTTGCTCTTTAGTTCGTTGGGTAAAATGTAAAAATTGTATTTGCAGGAAATAACATTTATAAACTAGCTTAGGTTAACCAGCCTACTACCGTTCTTTGACTCGAGATGGGAGCGAACGATCCCAGTCGCTAACTATTACGCGCAAGACGTAGACGTAGTTAGGAAATAGAAAATATAGAATAGCTACAACCATGCAATTTCAAATAATAATAATAATAATAATTTATAAACACAATGTAACTATAACAAAATAATAATAATAAAACACCTGTAAAATTGTCCGAAAGTTCTTGTCTTCCACTTAAAATTTAAAATAGTAATTTTTCTACATTATTTTAGTAGTTTACCTATCAAAAGGAGTATACTAAATGTTAAATAAATAATAATAATAAAACAACAACTTAAATACTATTTTGGAAGATGCGTAGGTGCATAATGTATATAGAAGACGTTCAAATCCCTGTACTCATTAATACAAATGGTTGTATCGTGCGAGGAATCGAACCTACGACCATTGGAAGTGAAGCAGTGCGCTATACCGCTACACTTCCGAAGCCGTCAATCGATGATTGATCGTTACGTCATTATGTATCGATGTATTGTTATGGACATCACTATTCTGCTTCCGTTTCTATGTTACATATTGGACAATGGCTACCTGTGAAAACTTACTAAATAATAAATAACTAGTATAAATTAATATAAATCATAAAACACAGGATTGTTACAAACATAATCTTTTAATGAAACATCATCATAAATCATTATGATTGCCGTTTGTAACATATTTTACTAATCAATAAAGCTTCAATAGATAAATAAAATGTTTTTTGTTTTGGATAGTGCAAATAAATCAGGTTTAAAGTTTCGAAATACTTATTTTTAATTCAATATTAATAATTAGTAGTCCATAAGTGAAATGTGGACACAAAAGCCTTTTAAGTAAAAGACTTATAACTTCGTAAGTTATTGTTTACAAATAAGTCTAGATTAATAATATAGATAAACGTGTTTTAGCACGAATAATTTTATGGTAAATGGTCACAAACTGGCTGGCTTAGTTAGGCGGCTAGTGTAACTTAGTTAAAAACGTCGAGAGAGGTAAATACCATTATTTACTACAAAATTATTCGTTTTAAAAATCGTTTAACTATATTAATAATGTGTACTAAACGCGAAACTAAAAATGAGTAAAGTCTAGACTGTTATCATGTCTAACTAACGGTTTCAATTGGTAATCCAAATGCCAAATAGTGATTTCTAGTAATAATCCGATTATTTATTTTAATAAATTACAGACTAACTTTAACACTGAGATATCAAGTTGGAAACCCGCAATCAAGTGTGGCCCGCGAGAGATGGCACATGACAACTAATGGTTTCTATAATTTATTTGTTAAAAATAACAAATTTTAACACTAAGATATCAAGTTGAAACTATTGTACATACAATCAGCCTCAAACCGAACGCAATCAACTGTGGCACGCGAGAGATGCCATGAAGGGAAGGATAGACAGTCGGTTTGTCGGCTCATTGCTTTCTCATCCAATTCCATTACAATGCCACCCGCTCAATGCCAAGTTCACTGCGCCGTCCGTCGCAAGCTTTCACTTTGATTTGTTTGTACCCTTGGCCAAAGTGATACATTCGCGGTCGAACGAGTAGTTCACTTGACACGACTGGAACATTCCTGTTCTATTGTTTGGTTTACATTACGCATAGTGATAGAATAAACTTACCTTTACGTTAACATATATATACTTGTAATATTATAAAACTGTGTGTCTTTTTGTTACATTTTCACGGAGAAACAACTGAACTCATTTTGATGAAGAGGATGGACGAAATCTTTCATCTAAAAGAAGCTAAGTCTCGGTATTATAAACATCGCGTCTGCGTGTTTGCTATCTTTTCAGGAGCAAACGGCTGAATAGATGTTAATGAAAGACATGGATGTATCATAAGGACGTACATAGGCTGACCTTTATCCCAAAACAACAAAATTACGAGTAGCAGTAAGTGAATATTATAGAAATGAAATGTGTTTATTAAATAACTAACTGACCCATCTAACTTCGTCTACATCAAATTTTTCCGTTTTTGTAACATTTTCCATTGCTGTGATACGCGCAAATAACATGTTTTCTACTAGTAAAGAAAAAGTGTAAAGAGTTTCTAAATCGGTTCAGTTGGTCCAGATATTACTTTTTTAAATATTATATACAGAATTTTTTCTAACCAGTAAGTAACTTTCTTTTCAGATATTTTATTAACATGTTAAACGTGACTACATGTGGATTTACCATCCATTGCTAAAAACTAAAAAGTTCAGAAATTACGTCACACATTAAAGCGGAGAGGTCTACAAAGTGTGACAAGGGATGAAAAGGGTATTAAATTTCGTGACATCACCTTTCAAAATAAAATGTAATATATTAATAAGAACAATTGCATAATAATGAATAAAATTAATTTGCTAAATATGTGACATCATATTAGTGGCAGAGTCAAATGTGACTAGTCATGAAGATAAATCTATGTTCCTAGTAGTTGACGGTTAGTATTACCTATTAATCTCGTATACAAGAGAGAGATACAAGATACAAAGGCAGACATTGGTTGTCAAATAAATGGAATTTACGGTCCAATGAATTCGGTGTTAATTGTTAATAGTGTACGGTAATGATTTGAATATACAATACATTCCAAAGGCTTTGACCAAGGGTTCTAAAACACTTATTGGTTTCACTACTGCGTCACTCTGTAGTGTTTCGGGACAAATTGGCGAAAGGATACCTTATATGACTGTCATTATCTTTATATGCCGATATGTTTAAAATATTATATCAGATCAACATACTTCTTAATATAGAAGTTAGGCTACCATAATTATTGTCTATACAAATGTTATAAAGAGATAAAATTTACAATTTTGAATGTTCCGGGTTCTCCAATACCACTGATACAATTTTGAATTTCTTTTAGTGTTGGATAGCCTATTCATCAAAGATAATAATAATAATAACACGATAATACATCATCATCATCATCTTTAGACAAATGATTTGATTTGAAAAATGTTGCAAAAACTGAAAGATCGTGATGCAGACCAAGTTCCGTGGTAAGGTGGTGAGGTATCAAATTATTATTTACTGTCATAAAATGAGTTGAACGTTTTTTAAGTCTTAAGAGGCCTAGACTGATGATTGTGTACTGTTATAATGCGAGTCATCATAACCGAAATGTGCAAGTAAGACGGAATCTGATATTAAATAATACATTGTGTAAGGAAACAAGTTTATAGTACTTAGTTCTGTTCTCTCTGACTACCTCCTAAGGAATCTGACGTGAATATAGATAACCGTATAAAATAGCTTTTTATGATCAATCAAATTCTCAGTAAATTAGGCGTCCATTTAATTATATCTATGATATTTATAAACAATTTTTAAATTTTCACGCAATTTATTTTTCCTATAGTAAAATATATTAGGCAAGACGTATAAGATACAGTAGTTGTTAAGTATTTAATTATTTAAATACAAGCGACTAGGACTAATAGGTGACCGTATTAAGTAATTAGTTAACTACGTACATCTTGAGCTACGGAACCTTGACCTAGACTTCATTACCTTCTGACATCTTAGTTTAATCATCATTATAAAACAAACTACTAACACTGTCCTTATATTGTCGCATTGTTCACAAAAATCTTTCTTATAAGAAATTCATTTAAAAGACTTCTATTTATAATCACGATATTTGTAAACGGTCTGGCAAAAATTAAACAACCCTAGACAATTCACATAACGCCATCTAATCCCAAGATAGACAGAGTTTATCCCCAGAGCATTACAAACAATCATACTTATAAATACAAATGTTTGCATTGTACGAGGAATAGAACCTGCGACCATCGGATGTAAGGTAGTGTGCTAAACCACTTGACTACCGACGCCGTCGAAACTATATCAGGGCCTTATTATTTTTGTTATTATTTTATGTGTACGTTAGTCTATAAGGTATATATGTATGTATTATATGGGCTAAGAAGTTGCTTCATTACATAGTACAAAACAAAGTCGCTGTCGCTGTCTGTCCATCCCTATGTATGCTTAAATCTTTAAAACTACGCAACGGATTTTGAAGCGGTTTTTTAATAAATAGAGTGATTCAAGAGGAAGGTTTATATATATAATACATGTACATATGTGCGAAGCGGGGCGAGTAAGTAGTATAGCATAAATAAATAAACAATATGCATTTATTAAAATGATTATCCTATTCACACTTGGTGCACAGAGAAATTAAATTTCAATTACAAGAGGGAGACTATGTACAAAGATGTCTGTGGGTATCCCTTTGTCTGTCTTATTACTGCCAATCAGCTCCTTTGCAAGCTATGTTTCGGTTTTGAAAGCT